AAAGTCCCTCTTCCTACCTTTGTTGAGGCTCGTTCGATGCTGTTCTTGCATGAGGTGCAGCTTCAGAACGCGACCCTTCCTTCTTCTCCCGCGGTAACCTCGGCCTTGGTGGTGGCTGCTTCACCCGGTTCTTCTCAGCAGTCGACGTCCGCTTCTCCTTCTCCTGTTTTATCCAGTCGTGGCCGTGGAAGGGGTCGCGGCTTCCAGAATTCAGGAGGCCGAGGCCGCGGGCGTGGTCGAAATCAATATTTTGGTCAGTCCTCTTCTCCGTTTAATCACTCTTATTCTTCTTATCCGGCTCCCATGTTTACTCCCAGGCAGTGTGCTCTCTCTCTTCTTGGACCCCCTCCTTCTTCCTCGTCAATTCGGGTCCTGTTCGATGTCAATTGTGCCACCAGTTTAATCACTCTGCCCGGGATTGTTATCAATTCCAACAGCCCGCTTATTTTGTTGATCAACATAACCGGCTTTCTGTCCCTCCGTCTATTGATTCTTCTTGGTATATGGACACGGCTTGTGGTAATACTATGACTCCCAATCAAGGTACTCTTACTAATTCCAAACCCTATCTTGGTTCTACTCAAGTTGTGATTGGTAATGGTTCAAATTTACCTATTAAATCTATTGGTACACTTCCTTGTTCTCAATTTCGCTTTCCTAGGGTTTATTATATACCTTCACTTACCAAAAATCTTGTTTCTGTGCGTCAATTTGCAACTGAAAATCAATGTTCTATTGAATTTGATCCCTTTGGTTTTTCTGTGAAGGATCTTTGGACGAGGAACCCTCGTCTACGTTGCAATAGTGTTGGTTCCCTTTACACTTTCCCATCCACCATTTTGGATCAATCTCGCGCACCGTCTTCTTCATCATGTCCGGCGTTTGCTGCTTCTGTCTCTTCTCATGTCTGGCATCAACGCCTTGGTCACCCCAATTCTTCTATTTTATCTAGCTTAGTGTCACATCGCCGCCTTCCTGGTTCGGTGGTTTCCTCAAATAAATTTAGTTTTTGTCAGGCTTGTCAAATTGGGAAGCATCATAAGCTCCCTTTTATACCTTCTACTTCGGTTACTTTCAAAACTTTCGATTTAATACATACCGATGTTTGGATTTCTCCATGTCTTTCATTCAGTGGTTTCAAGTATTTTGTACTTTTTCTTGATGATTTTACTCATTATTTATGGGTGTATCCACTTAAAAATAAATCTGAGGTACCTCACAAATTTATTCACTTCTACACTTTTGTCCAAACTCAATTCAATACTTCTATAAAAACTCTTCAATCTGACGGTGCTGCTGAATATATTCACTCTCATTTTCTTCAATCTTTTCTCAAATCTAAGGGAATTGCCATGCGCATTTCTTGTCCATACACTCCTCAACAAAACGGCAAAGCTGAGCGCATGAATAAGACTGTCCTCAATATGGTCCGCACCCTCCTCAATCAAGCTCACTTGTCACCTGAATTCTGGGTAGAGGCCTTAAATACTAGTGTTTATCTGATAAACCGTTTACCTACCAAATCCAAGAACAATTTTGTTCTCTTCTCCCTTCTTTTTGGTACTCTACCTAATTATGGTGTCTTGTGGGTCTTTGGATGTTCTTGCTTTCCTAATCTATCTCATTTAGCTTCTCATAAGCTCCAACCTCGGTGCACTCCATGTATCTTCCTCGGTTATCCTGAGTCTTATAAAGGTCACTGTTGTTTTGATCCTGCTTCCAAGAAAATTTACACTTCCCCTCATGTTGTTTTTGATGAAACCTCTTTCCCGTTTCCTCAACTATCTTCGGTTCCACCACTCTCTACTCCCAACTCCCGTTTTAAACATCCTTCATTTCTCATTCCACGGTCCATTCCCATTTCTGTGATATCTTCACCTCCTGAAGAAAAAGTGTCCACTGTTCCTTCTGTACATTCAGACCCTACACCTTCTGCTTCCTTGTCAACTCATTCGGGTCCTCCTTCTTCAAACCCTCCTACTCATCATATGGTCACCCGCACTCGGGATGGCACCCGTAAACCTAAACAGATCCCCTCTCTTACTACTACTACAACATCTTCACTTCCCCATGAACCAACATCTTTCACTGAAGGCAATAAATACCCTGAATGGAGAGCTGCTATGAGTGTTGAATATAATGCTCTCCTCACTAACCATACATGGGATTTGGTCCCTCCTCCTATTTCTGCTAACATTATTGGCTCAAAATGGATTTTTCGAGTTAAGCTCAAATCCGATGGTTCACTTGATCGATGTAAAGTACGTTTGGTCGCTCAAGATTACAATCAAAAGCCTAGTATTGATTATGATCAAACGTTTAGTCCGGTGGTTAAACCAGTGACAATTCGGACTGTATTAAGCATTGCTGCTTCTCGAAAATGGCCCGTCCATCAGTTGGATGTTAAAAATACATTTTTGCATGGTCATCTTAATGAAATTGTCTACATGAAACAGCCTACTGGTTTTGTTCATCCAGATCATCCTCACTATGTCTGTCGATTGAACAAAGCTCTTTATGGCTTAAAGCAGCCTTCCCGAGCTTGGTTTCACAGATTCACTGCTTTTCTGTTTTCTCAGGGTTTTAAAGGCAGTCACTCAGACTCTTCTATGTTTGTGTATTCTGCTGGATCAGACATGGCGGTTTTGTTACTTTATGTTGATGACATTCTCTTGATAGCAACTAGTAATCGTCTGCTCACTACTATTATTCAGTCGCTGAAAGGTGCTTTTGCCATGACTGATCTTGGTCCAATCAGCTATTTTCTCGGTGTTTCTGTTGCTCCTCACTCTGGTGGTTGGTTTTTACACCAACGTAAGTATGCTGAGGAATTGTTGGCTCGTAGTCATCTCACTGATGCCAATCCTGTTGCAACTCCCCTTGCTCCCGCTTTTCAGTTTTCTATTGATGAGTCTCCGCCTTTTCACAATCCAACTCTCTATCGGAGCTTGGTGGGTGCCTTACAGTATCTTACCATCACCAGACCGGACCTCCAGTATGCGGTTAACCTTGTCTGTCAGCATATGCATGATCCCCGGGAACAACATTTTCAAGCTATCAAGCATATTCTACGATATATTAAAGGCACACTTCATTATGGCATTCATCTCCGAGCTGGTCCTCTTGGTCGCCTGGTTACTTATTCTGATGCTAATTGGGCCGGGTGTCCCACTACTCGCCGTTCTACCACCGGTTTTTGTGTCTTCTTAGGCTCCTCTCTCATTTCCTGGTCCTCCAAGAAACAATCTACAGTTTCCAGATCTTCTGCTGAGTCTGAATATCGCGCGGTTACTTCTGCTTTGGTTGAAACGGTTTGGTTAGAGAATCTTCTGTCAGAACTTCATATCAAGCTTCCTCAGCGCCCAGTGATATTGTGTGACAATGTCTTTGCTACATACCTAGCTATCAATCCTGTTAATCATGCCCGAACCAAACATATTGGTCTGGACATTCATTTTGTTCGTGAACATGTCGCTGCTGGTCTTCTTCAAGTTCTTCATATCTCCACCCATTCTCAACTAGCAGATGTATTCACCAAATCCTTGCCTAAGGATAAATTTTATTTGTTTAGAACCAATCTGTGCATGATTTCCTCTCCTGCTGCGATTGCGGGGGGATGATAGAATATATAAATACGGAAACCCAAATTAGGGTTTCCGATAGTCACGGCTAGGGTTATTGTAATATTGTACTATATATATGATGTTGTACACATGTAATAATACATGAAAAATATTCTTTCACTCATTTCCGAGCCAATCCTATTCTTTTTTTTTTTTTGGTGCAATGAAGGACGCAAATGCCTAATGTCTTAAACTATTACAGAACGTTGGTATGACACACCAATAATATCATGTTGTAGCCATGGTTGAACCCCAGACGATGGATCATTTAACCAAGAGAAACCTCCGGGACTAGCAGCCGCCAACAATGCAAGAGAGTCCACAATAAAATTCGACTCACCATAAATATGCTCTACCTTCACATTCCATGCCCTTGCCAATCCTAATCTTTAGACTATGAGTAGTGTATGCCAAAGTTAAGAATTCATTGCAAGTTACTCCTAAATACGATAAACAATTTAATATTGTAGATGGGATTGAAAGAGTTCAATTGAGATTGATTTTGGCACTTGAATATAACCAAGTTGGTAAAATAAAAAAATTTATCCCAGCCGTTATTTTTAGTATGATAAAGTATACTATTATTTCGGAACGGAAGTAGTAACGAATTTACACAATGCATATGCATGGCTGAACCGATGGATTCAAAGACTAAGGCTCTGTTTGGAAGGTTTTTTTGACGATTTTTTCAAAATAATTAAATACTAACTGTCCCATCTCAGCATAACTTTTTACATTTTCAATGTACCTTTTTACATTCTCAATACAAAAATACCTAAAAATACACACTGAAAAAACAATCCAAACATAGCCTAACTTTTTACAAGGTCTTAATTATCGTTACGACATTATTATCAATAACGAATGGCTTTGATTTTTATTGCCTGTGTGATTTATGGCGCGATTCTATTTGGTGGAAATTTCAAATTAATTTATTGCCGCAATTATACGTGATATTTTCACAATTCGTAGACGAAGATGAGATTAACAGGAGAACAGCGGTGAGTTATAAGAGTTAGTTTATTACAACACTTGGTCTTAAGATTATACTTCCTCTGTCCTAAAATTATTGTTCAATTTGAGATTTTATTTTTAGTACAATTTGAACTAAAAATGAAAATTCACATTGGACAATAATCATGGGACACGGAGGGAGTAACACTTTGTTCGTGAAATTTTAACGGTCCGCTTACAAGTTACAAGTTGTGTGCCTAGATGATGAAATGCCGGTTTAACAAGAGAGAAAGAAAGGAAGGAAGATGGAGGTGTAAAACTTCTGCTGCAAAATGATGATCGAGGGCATGATCTGACCATGGGGTATTGCAACAAATTAGGGCACTATCGATGTAACACCAATTACTTTCACTGTAATATCGTCAAGAGTTTTAAAAAATATAAAGGAAAATAGGTAACTCAGCAACGCTACATTTGGAGAAGATTGAAGAAATGCCAGCTGAAATTACTTCCTTCTAAACCAAAGAAGCAAAGCTATAAAATGAAAACTTTCGAAATTCATCATGGGACATGATATGAACTTATAATTACCCCATCATTCAGCTAGCAAATAATATCCGTGATCACCTTAAACACATTGTTGCAAAATGAACGTAATCACTTGTACTTAAAGAAAAAGAAGAAGGAAACTCATTATGTATAATCAAATATTATAAAAGAGATGAACTGCCGGGAGGAATAACATACCACGTGACATGCATATCAATGCTCAAGCCACAGCTCAGACGACCTTCCACCAGTTCAATTAGTTCCCTAATTAGACCTTCATTTCTACCATTAAAAAAAAAAAAAAAAAGCTAACTAAAATAACCCTTAAAGATATCCATCCACCTTGTGAAGCTATAGGGTGTTAAACAAACACAAACTATTAAGTCATAAACTGAAAACAATTAAAACCTCCAAAACAAATGAACCAAAAGCTAGCTAGCTAATTCATGGGTACTAAAAAAAAAAAAAAACCTATAAAGGAGCAGTAGTAGAATTAGAAGAGCTGAAACTAGTAAGATCCGTCCAATTAGCAGCAGCAGCAGCAGCAGCAGAAGCACTACTCCATTGATGATGATCATTCCCAGTTGGAATATTAATATTGTTATTATTATTATTCATCCCCAGAAGTTGTCTTGACAAGTTTAACTCCTGATTATTATGATCTTCCATCTTCACTGAAGCCAGTTGACTTAGTATCGAAGCCGGAAGCTTGGGCCTAACCAATTGCTGGCCCGCTTCCCCACCAAACCCCGATGGAAGCTCCATACTTGTTTGAACTTGCTGGAAAAGCCCACTAGACGCAGAATCCAATCCACCCAGAAACGGAAACTGCGCCGGTAACCGCCACTGCTCCACTCCGGCCGCAGATAAAAGTGACGCCACTCCTCCTCCACCACCACCGCCGCCAACTCCGCCGAGAAAATTAGAACCCAAGTGAAAGCTCATCTCGCTCGCTGTCGTCCCAACCGGTGACGGAGTCGAAAGCCCGGTGTAATTCAAACCAATATCTCCAGCGCTGTAATGGTCGTTAAGCCCACTCAACGGAGATAAGAACCTCAAAGGCGGGATTTGAGGTGGGGTCAGGCCCAACAAACTAGGTAAATGAGGTGAACCGCCATTGTGAGAGGAAACAGTGGTATTGCTTGTTGAGCTGGAAGCGGTTTGCCGGTCACTACTGCTGGCCGGAGATTTAGAACCGGTGGTAGTATTATTAGATGATGATTTTGTCCGTTTGTTTCTCCGGCAGCCACCTCCGACGGGAACGTTTCTTAGGGCTCCGCCACGTGTCCAGTAGCGTCTGCAAGTCTTGCAGAAATGCCTTGGTTGGGTTAAGCTGTAGTTGTTGAAGTAGCAGAACTTGGTGTTTGATGACTCGCAACGAGGGCATTTTAGGGATGTTTCCGGCATCGGTATGTTGGCTAACCGGGCTCGTTCCGCCATCGAACCGGGCCGGATTGAGCCCATGTGTGGGTGGATTGGCGGTGGCGGCGGCGGCCCAGATGAACCCTGCTGCTGCTGCTGCTGCGACGGCGGCTGAAGCTGAGGGCTTGCATTGATATTTCCATGATTAGGTTGCTGCAAAAAAAGAAAAAAACAAAAAAACAAAAAAAAAGGACAAAAGATTTAATTCACTTCATTTCTTCTCCTGGTTTTATTTTTCCATATTTGAAGAGGAAAGAAAAATGAAAGAATAAATAAACCAAGATTAATTATGTGATGATATTCAACAAAGATGTCCGAATATTATTATGGACAATAAAGGTGGCTGGTAAGGAGAATATTTATCTTTTGAAATTCTTGGTTACTTTTTTTTTTTTTTTTCTTTGAGGGGGTGCTTTAAAGGAGAAGCCATGAAAGCATATTATATAGTCCATCAACAAAAGAAGGGAAAACCACCATACCTGTTGCCAGTTGGCTGGATCAAGATAAGCTGGAAGGGAAGAAAAAACCATGGTTCTCCTTCTTGTGATAACTTTCTCTCTTTAAAATTCTATCTTCTTTCCTTTTGTAAAGGTTGATGTGTTTTTTTGGGGGCGTTCCGAGCTCTCTCTCTTGAGCTAGTGGAGAATCACATCAACTATGAGGGTTTTCTCTGTGTGTGTGTGAGTGTGATGATCAAGAGATAGAAAGAGATAAAGCCTAAAGGGGGGAGAAGGGAGAGGAGAATGAGAATAATGAGCTAAAAATAAAAGGGTAGGTCTTTATGCTCACCATATATTTATACAGGGAATCATGCAAGATGGTGTATCATTTTTTATTTTTTATTTTTTAATCTCAGTAACACTATTATTTTATTATTTCATGTACTAAGATGAGTGCTTTGAGCCCTTGTTGTTTTGTCCTTACTCTGTCGATTATTTTTGGTTTTTTAAGAAAAATATTAATACAACTCAAAACTCTTGCTTTTTAGAATTTCGAGAGGGGCGATGTTTACTTTCTTAAAGGCTAAGGTTCTGGTGATTGAAACTGTCTCTTCTTATATATAATCCCCTTCCTAAAATTCCTCCATCTTGGGCGAACGTAACTCAAAACTACAGGAAGCATAAATTAGTGGCTTCGTTCATCCCTGCATGGAAAAAGCAATGATTGTACGTTTTGATTATGCAGAGAGAAGATAATATAGTAGTTTTGAAGGTCTCATCTCCGGACGTAGTAAAGAAGTAGCAATTATTAAGTTGATGAGGAGATCCCGTTGATTGAATTTGTTTTATATTCTTGATTATCTTCTATTAATTAATCAAAGTGCTCTCACGTTGGTATTCCTAATTGCATGGCCATTAAGCAAATTAATAACCAATTAATTAATCTTGCCACTGCATGTCAATTATTGTATATAGAAGATAGTACAGTTTTTTTTTTTATTATTAATTTGATTGTTTTTGTTTTGTAAGATAAAGTGCTCCGTGTGTGTGTGTGTGGGTGGGTGGTTTGGGAGCGTTGATGACAACAGTTTCTAAAGTAAAAACCTCCCGACCAAAAGCTTTTTCCGTCCTGGTAGAGTGATAGGTTCCTTCTTCTTCACTTCTCCTCCTTCGTTTTCCCTTTCATTTCCATATATGCACAATGGAATCTTGGAATGTGTTAGTACATCATCTCATTCAACACTGGCCTTCTGCTTTAGGGATATCACCAAGGATAAAATTCAACGGGAAAAATGTATGGGTGACATTAGAGTTTAGACTTATCCTTAAAGATCATTGGGTTTAAAACCCCTTTAAAAAAATGTATTTGAATACGTACCTGAAAATTTATTTCATTTTGTTACATCTTATTTGCATATGTATACGATTAATTGACATACTGTATAATTTATGTGAAAAATGACATTCATATATATATTTAAACTGAAATAATGATTAACATGACATATGTGTAAATTATATGTTCCTTATATTTATATTGGTAATTATATATTGAACCTGCTAGTTTTGTAGTTTTCTTGCCTTTTCATTAGTTAACACTATTTAATTTCACTATGAATTGTCATAGTGTGTATCGTTAATTTGTCATTTTACTTAGTTTGATAAATTTCTTAATGTTTGTCGACTTTTTGTCGTAGTTATTATTAGAAGCACTACATGTGTACCTAGCGACGAACATAAAAATTCACTATGTAGGGGTTTTTCCCTTAGATATTTGGAAAATAATACTCTTAGTGAATGAAAATAGTGATAAAATATAGTGACTGATGTGCAATAATTATGGCTTCTAATTTTTTGTTATTTTCCCTTTGAATTTTTGTTTTTCTCCCAAAATTATATTTTTACTCTTAATTAATAAATAGACACGTTTAACAAGTGGATGGTGTATTTGTCTTTTCATTTGTCACTAAATATTTTCACTTTACTTGGTCGCTAGATGTATCATTGCTGGAGATATTTTTAGGTTATTTTTTGAGATTTTTCATCACCGTAGAGAAGACGTGGAAGAAAATTTTTGAACTTCGATTCCGTATACATTTTTTGTAAGTTCGAACTCATTGGTGAATCATAAGAATATTACTCAAGGGGCAAGCACTGAGCATAATGAATACGTACGTATACACACTTTTTGAGTCCAATTCAAATCATTTGGTCAAAAAGGTTCAAAGTTCAAACAGTGAAAGCCTGGTCTGCGATTAATAAGATATTAACTGGTATACTAATTAACAGTTGATTCTTGCCACTCGGTGCCAAAAAGATAGAATGGAATTTGCCATATTGGATGACCTGAATCACTTTGATGCTGGATGATCTGTCCGACTAGCAGCTGCCTATCTCTATCTCGCCCTTTTCTCCCATTTTTGTTTTCTTCTTTCCTAAGTTTAAAACATTAGTAAGAAACATTTGTTTACTTTTACTAATAGTAATGGAACTATGGAGATCAAGGAAAAGATATTTATTAAATTAAAAAGAAACACAAAAGTTGATGAGAACATTCACTGCATACATAGATTACTTCATCCGTTTCATTAGTTTATTTTACTATGCTGTTTTAATTCAATAAGATGGGCTATACATATTGAGACGGAAGAAATACTAAATTAATTAAGCTCAAGCATTAACAGAGCTTCTTTCTCCAATGGAAAGGAGTAGACTGCAGGTTTTGATTACAGTTTCATTTCCATGTGTATGAAAATATTGGTTAACTACTGCCTCGGGTCCTACATAATTTGCAGGAGTATAACACTCGCCAGACCCCAATACCCAGACATCAAAGATGACAAGCAGCATAGTCGCGTGATAAGGGATTGAATCCACAGAATAAATGAATACTACACATAAAACTTAAAAGTAATCATTTACATTGTTTTGACCTGAAATTTTCAGAATCAAGAAGTTTCATTACAAGTGCCTCCAACCTCTTTGCCCTTTCAGATGGTTTAATGACATCTGGATTCCCATAAATTATACAAGGATCTTTTCCTGAACCTGGATTTCCTAAACACCAGCCACCAGGTACAAACAGGCCGGCCGATCTTCTCAGAATTTCCTTGTCAATTTTGTCAAGAATGCGACTGTCGTGGCCAAATCTATGACCAAAAACTGCACCACTCTGAACCATGTCATCAAAATGTTCTATTGTCAGGTTAGTAGGATTCTCCTTCCGCGGCTCATCCCATCGGACATAATGCAAGTCATGGTTTACGGTTGTATTCTGGTAGTCCTTATGGTTACAAAGTAGTGTATGAAAGTAACCCTCATGGGATGACAGGAAATTTGTGTAGTACAGGAGAAGAGTGCGCGGAAGATTGTCCCAGCCCCAGATGCAGAACTCCAAAAAAGATCTTGTCAGCACCACCCCTGTTGATCCTGGACATCAGAAAATTGTACAGAGGATACATGTCAAGAACCATGTCAACATATAACTGACTTGGATCTAAATACAATAAAAAGATTTGGCAGGCCTTCAAAATAGTCTGTCTGTTAAGTTTCTCCCTCAAATTTTGGACAAATAAACAGAAAGAATTGCCAAGGGTTTCAGGACATAGTTTGGCATCTTAAAATTATAAAACTGCAGAAGAGAGCTCCAAATGTGTATCTAGGCAATTTTTTGTTCCAAACGTGAGGCAGCTAACAAAGGGCCACCGAAAGTAATAGAAACAAATCACCATAAGAGCAAAAGTAGATGATGTTCTTAACCAGTCAAAAGGAGAAGGTTCATGAAGCATAACTTGAAAGGTCTGTTGCAGAAGGTTCAGGAAGACCAGTTACAACCCTGGATGGAAACAGATTAAGCACATGTAGAGTATGCATGGATGCTCCACATTAACTGATGTACCCGTAGAAAGTAAGGACTAACAGCCAACGACTACATCTAGTCTGCAAAGCTATGGGAATTGGGATCCCGTGCAGAGGTACATTTGGGCATATGACATCTGCATATCGCATTCACGCATCATCCAAAACAGAAAATTGGTCCTCACAGATTTGATACGAGACGCAAGAACAAAATGTTCCTCAGTTATTATCCAATAAAGCAATAGAAGTAACTAGCCCATGGTGATATTGAAGAGAAAATGCAAATCAAGGGATTATATCCCTAACTCTAGACCAAGAATTTTAACAAAAGATCATCACACTGTACAACTAAAGCATAAAGTGAGAACCAAGCAAGACACCACATTAACTATAAAAAAAATCAATCACCCAGAAGAAATAAATGCATACAAGAGTAAATTAGTGTGCAGGAAAGATGAGTTGTCACAGTTCAAAAACTCAAGTATATACCTGTAAATAGCTTAAAGGACGCAGGAATTGATCTTTTTTCCTTGGCCCAAAATACACCCGATTTCTTCACATGATATAATCCAGAGTCGATAATTATAGGTCTTGCTCTCTGAAACCTGCGAGTTCAGAAAACAGGAGTTCAAGAACAACTCCAGCTGCAAAAATATGAAGTAGCCCCCCTGGGCATAAATGATACCAAAGCTGTTGAGTAACTAGCCAAAGGCAAGTCTTGAGTGCTCACTCTTTCCAACCAAGATCACTTGTATGCTCAAGGAAATTCAGGTCTCTGGGTAAAAATGAGAAAATGTGCAGTATATCTGGGACAAAGAGAATGATGTTTCCAGTTCATCAGGAAAATGTATACAAATCCAAAAACAGTATATGAAAACACAGTTCTATGAAGTAACAACAGGGAGAATAAAAAGAAAAGGGCCTAACCGGTGAGAATTATAGCATCGGTAACAATAACAGCTTAGTACACCTAAATTAAAGTCCTCTAAACAACTTATCCAAGGCATTGTGCTGAATTTAACAAAGAAACTCCTAGCAATACGTCATCCCATCAAAATGCCTAATCATCAACCTCCCTAACAACATTGTACTCGCATCTCTGCAACATTCCAATGCTCTTAAACTTCCCATTTTCTTCCGTTTCAGCAAATATCAGACATAAAACTTCCTAAATTCTACGCGTGAGCTTCAGAATACATTTCTAAGTCAAGGAATCTATAAGTCAATAAGCCTAATAGAAACCTACACCAGTATACTATGCACAGGACAGTTCATAAACATAAATGGTATTTTTAATAAGAACAAGACATAAGAATGTAACGAACCATCTTGGGGCATGAGGGGATAATCCGAGGCACTAAGGTTGATAAACCAGTCCCAATTCGGAGCCTGCTTCAACAAAATGGCAACGCCGTGAAGCAGAGAAGAAATTGTGGTGGGCCCTTTGAGAGTGACCAAATTGGCCTTCCCAACCACCATTACACTCCTGAATTCTCGAATCACCGCCTCGGATTTCACGAATTTCGCGAGCTCAAGTCTCTCGTCGTCGGAGGCTTCCAAATCAAGGTGGAGCAAGTAGGAATTCCGGGGATGGTACACCGCCTGAAGCAGCCTCTTCAACTTACCAGAATCGCCCTTTGAACCGGAAATTAAGTAAGCAAACCGGGGCAATTCGGGGAACGGATACGATTTTCTTAGAGCATCACCAAGTGGGTTGGTATCAGAATTATTCGAAAAGGTAGTAAAGAACAAGGAAGAAATTAGCTTGAGAAAAAGTACCAGAGCAAAAATGGAAATGAGAATAAGGGGAAATGAGCATCTCTTTTGAGCCCTTTTTGCGAAATAGTAGTAATTCGCTTTCATTTTAGAAAAACAATTGGGTCTGCCCTTTTTACAGGTCGGCTGAATAACAACAACAATAACTGGATGCAAACTATTGCAAAAGCAAGAAAGAAAGCGTAATCTTGCAATTAGTTGGGGGGATTTTTTACAAAAGCGTGAAGAAGAAGAAGGATTAATGAAATGTGGGTTCAATTTTGAGGTGGGAATCTGGTTTTGGTTTGATTAGTGGCAGCTCTTAGCTTGAGTACTAAGGTAAAGTGAAACTTGGGGAAAAGAAGTGGGGTTGCCGAGGAGGGGAACTGTGTCGGAAGAATGGGTCTTTCCCACTGTCGGTGTGCTATGTCGTGAAGTATCTCCAAAAGGTTTTTAATAAAAGACTTATTTTAGGCTCGGACTTTCCTTGATCAGACGATTATCAGTTCAGAATCTTCGGATCATTTCCTGACAAATTAACCAGCTCGGTTGGGTTTTTGTTTCGTATCGACCTATATGGTTAAGGGCGAAGGAATCTCTTCTACTCCACCGCAACTACATTAGTTTGGGTTTTTGTTTCATGATGCAAAAAATAAGTTAAAAGCTCCAAGCCCAATACTTACTGGGCTTGTAGAGGTTCTTACTCTCGATTCCTTTTTCTATAAACTTCATATTACTATCCATTTAAAAGATAATCGTTTTATGAAATGTAAATTTTTTAAATCCAATTGTCAAAGGAAAAGATGATGCAGAAATTGAGTTCGAATTTTTTTTTTTTCGGAAGGGGGGGTTTATGATGTTGCTATGTACATTATGCGATTATAACTTTGTTTATAGGAATTGAAATGTGAGTTGGGCATTCTTCTGTCCTAAAAAAAATCCTCATAAAATTTTAAATTTGCATTAAAAACAATATGAATCTCCATACTTATTATGGAGTTTTTTGGGAACATAAGTAGTACATTTTAGGAAGAAAAAAATGGTTCTTTGAATTATGACTACATGTGGATAAGCAGCCGATTTTTTTAAATTAAAAAAGAAAAAACATAATTTTCCATCTACACGTTCTGCGAATTATGATAATATGTGGATATCATTGAATATTTATGCAATCATGCTTGAGAAATGAGTAACACTGAATAAATATTCAAGCAGTCAAATGATGGCGTCAAGTTATCAACATCTCGAGGGAACATTTGAACAAAGTTCGATGTATTTAATTGAGCCCACGGCACCATTAGCCTCACCATCATATGGGCATACAAGGATAACGTTAACAATAATGGTACTCATATCATCTAATGATATTTATCTAATTTTAATTATTTCAAATAATTCCTCCAAATCATCCTGCAAAGTAATTACATTTTCTTTTATTACTCTTTTCACTTCAAAACAGTACCTGTTTGATTTAAGTATTGAAAATAGTTTTAGAAAAACTACATGTGACGAATAGTGAAATTTGAAAGGGGTCGTATGAATTATTTTTGTGTTACATATACTTTTTTTTAGTTTAACACATAAAAATGGTAACACCCTAATAAATTTATAATTGAACCAAAATACTACTCCCTCCGTCCACAAAAATAATCCATATTGAATTTTCAAATTTGTACTAAAAATAGTACAAAACTGAAAACATAAAGTGGATTATTTTTTTTAGGACGAAGTAGTATAAAACTAAAGAATCACAAAAGATATATATTTTGATGCCGGAATTATGGAGCTGGTATAGGACGTAAAAATGGTTTTGATAATTGGTTGTATGGTTCTATCTGAATAAGAATGATGTTTTAGGACACAAATCATATCATAGACTACCACTTGTTGCCGTGTGGTAGTGGAACTTGACAAAGTAGAAACAATTTGAGGAAACCAGCTAAATTTCATACCAAATTGAACTGATTACCTTAAGTTATGGTAAGATTAGTCGTCTTTTGATGTAATATCCCTATCAACGTCAACTTCAATTACTATAAATACTAAAAATTCTTCAGCACAAATTTAGGATCACATACCCCCTTAGTTTTTACCTCAACTTACAAGTTACAAACAAGTTCATGTAATGATCCACTTTTTCTTTTTCTTTTTCTTTTTTTTTCGTTAAAACAACAGAAGCACTTCCAATTATTATGGATCTAATGCTAAAGCAAGCTAATTGGGTTATATTAAATTTGTTTGAAAAATTAATAAATAATCAAATGGATACTACTTCCTCCCTCTTAAAATGACTCTATTTCAATTTTTCACAATTTCAGAAATTGAGAGTACCATTGACGAACTCTAATATGAGTTGATTAAAAAATTAATTGCGATTAAATAAGAGATCCAAAGCGGATTTGTACGTGTTGTTGCTGTCAAGTTCACTAATTTACAGCAGAAAACATCGCACCATAGATGAACATCCGGGAAATGTTAAGTGCTGAGTTCATATTTCTAAGTCTTCTTTACTGCCGAGTCCAATATATATTAGATTATGACTTTCTTGAGTTGAGTGTTTCTCTTTTTTCTCCTTACACTGTGTATCATTGATTTAAACTTCATTCTTCTTAAAATTATGCTCGTTCAATTAAAACAGTTCAACAAATAGTACTCCCTCTGTCCCAAAATTAGTGTCCGGTTTGAGATTTCATTTTTAGTACAATTTAAACTAAAAATGAAAACTCAAACTGGACAATAATTATAGGATGTAAGAGTAATATTTTTCGGTATTTTTTTTAAGACAGATTTGACGGCAGTCTACTATCCTGTCTAAACATAAAATGTTTGCATTCAATGAACAACCCTGTTTAGTTTGTTCCTCTTTATACAAAAAGTAAATAAGTACCAATCTGATCCCCTTAAAAGGAAGAAGAAAACGGAGGAGCAGGAAATTAAAATAACTACCCTTAGTCTCGTCCCGCCCCCCCCCCCCCCCCCCCCCATACAGAGATTGAGACAAAAAAGTTTGTGACTAAAAAAGTACATTACGAGCATAAGTGACTCCTATAAAATCATACTCCGGCTAAGGTTTAACCCTGACGGAGGAATTTCTAGTCGGTGGATGTAAATCTCATGTTGCTAGCTACTCTAAACAATTAATTTTTAGGGTCGTCTGTAAAGTGCATTGTTGAGTGAGTAGGGGAGGAAACTAAGCCGGAATAATTACGGTGTAATCTTGACGAAAAATTATCAAATTACAATACAAATTCAACTACATCAGACGTTTCCACATTGGACGGAAATATATGGGTTTATTATGAACAGCTTTACTGGTGTTCAGTCGGTGGGAAAGGACACGATCGTCTTATGAAGCACTCCAATACCACGAACTTCATTGCTAATCGTTGTACTACTACCAACTGCCAAGATCGTGAGTGAATTCTGAACCTCGTAGTTAGCTTCTGCCTACATCTGTGGCTAGAAATAATTTGAGAAATGACAAAAACAAAAAATAAAAAATAAAAGAACAGAGTGTGTGAAAGGCTAGAGGCAAAAACACTCGGAGCAGGGGAAACCGGCGAGTAATCAGAAGGGAAAAAAATCAAAATCCCCCTAAGAAAAAGGAAACTAGGTGAAGATTATGTACAAGTGGTGCTTAAAAAAATGCCCATTTTAACAACAAAAAAGATCGGCATACCAATCAAACTAAGCTAGCCGCATCCGGCAAACCTTGCGTGAAATCATCTTCCCGGGCCCTCTGGGTCGTGGCCGGACGTTTCAAACGTCCGGTGGGTGCGAGACTCGGAACAGAAGCTCGACAAACCGGACAATTGGAGTGAGTTACAAGCCATCTATCAATACAGCCGACATGGAAAGAGTGTTTACAACCACTGAGCTGCCTGACAAAATCCCCTTCCACAAACGCCGACAAACACACCGGACACTCGCCTCCGTACTCTTCCTCATGATCCGCCTCCTTCGTATACTTAATCCCGCCGGCCGTCACCAATTCCGTCTCTTTGCTCTCCTTGCAGCTACTGCTCAAATGGTCGGAATCGGCTTGACTCTGCCTCCGGCGAGGTCTTCTGAGTTGGATTGGAGGGCAATTGATGGCGAAAAAGAAAGCGTAGATCAAAGCGGGTATTGCTATGAGCACTAGAAGAGATAGAATTGCAGAAAGCGGAGACATATCGGAGCTGTGGCCGGAACTTGACGGAGTTGATGCCAGAGAACTCTGCTTTGGGTTTGAGATGGGGAGGCTGCCGGTGGTGGTGGTGTTGATGTTATCCGTCATCATCAATTCATCATGATAAGGGAAAGGCAAAGTCATGACCTTCCATTTTTTTTTTTAAACAAAAACTATTAGTATTTGTTGTTTCTAAAAAGAGAAGAAATCAACTTCTTTTGTTGTCTATCTTCCAGTTTAATATAGAGAAGTTGAATCAGGAAGCCTACTTTGCAATTTGCAAATGGATTATGGCTACTGAAAAAATATGTGTAATTTATCTAAATAATAAATATTAATTAATGTAGTAGGGTTGTCGTAATTGACGTACGGGCAAGATAGGTAATATATATAGATTATATAGAGAGGAAAAAAACAACGAGGAGTGGGCTAACAGACTACCAAACAGACACATTTAAGTGTGGTTGATAACTTGAGAGAGTCATGGCTGTAAACAATGGTTTTGAGTTTAATTATTGAACAATTGAAAATGATATTTCTTTTAATCTTGAAACCCCACAAAATGGGGTCCCCCTGAGGGAAGGAGGGTAAACTATTTTACAAGTATTATTGAAAGGTTTTGATCTTGGAAGAGTCGTCTATTTGTGGAACTATGTTTTCTTATTAAAAAAAGTAGTACTATAATGCACAATAATGATAAGTTTGATAACATATAAAATGAGTTAAATACTACGGTGACTTTTGTTATTTGACTTTTTTTTTTTTTTTATTGAGTATTCACATAGCTACATTAGTAAGAGTGCCAAAGAGAAAAACAGTTGAAAGTGGAAAGAAAAAGAAAAATGGAAGTGAACAATTACGAAAAGTATATATTGATTGAGATGATACGCAACTCAATCATGATCTGCACTTCTGCAGTTTCTGGAGTTGGGCAGGATTTGTAAATCAGAGTTTACGTATCTAGTGTTCCTGTTGTTGGCGATCTGCCTACTTACTTTCCCAGAACAAGTTGCCATCTTCCGCATAAAAATATTGGTGGAAGGCATTTTAGCATTAGCCAAAGAAGTGTGTTCAATGGAGCGATCACAATTTGTCTGGACAATTATGTCGTTGTTCGGTATATAATACTTAACAATTCAGCAAAAAATTGAAAGGCATTTGTAATAGCACCAATGATGAACAGTGAATGAATGAAAGGCATTTCAGCATTGAGAAGAAACACATTTACTTGTGATCATTATCCACCCAAAGGGATGGGATTGAGTAGTATAGTTGCGTACATTAGTGTGTCAAAACACTTGGCCGGGGAAGATGTTTTTACACTTTTTTTTTTTTCAGTCTGAGTTGTTCATCCTAAATTTAATTATTGGTACCTCTTGTTATTTAATCTTGGGATTTGTTGTCATGTTGCTTTTCTCCATTATACGTAGCTCTTCTGAATTGAAATCTAACCCACTACCAGTCTACCACCATTCATCTCTATTCAAATGGTCCATCTGATGAAGCCCGCCTTTGCTTCTAACAGACACGACAAATACTGTCATTTTCTAGTCTAGTTGAATTTTAGTTCCAAATTTAATTTCTTTTTCTCACTTACTTGATTGAAAAAGAGGAAGCTTTCAAATGTTTTATTGCCCAGATTTTAAGTGGAATTGTTAGAAATCAATACCTGAAATGCAATAATAAATCTTAAGTCTTATTTTAGTTTTTGTGTATTGAAATATAAGAGTGATTGCACTACATAGATACGCATTTTTTACTCTCAAAACCCTAAAAAAGTACCGGAGACCGAAAATTTATAAGGGGAGTATTCAAAGTTAATTAGGAATATAATGAGTGCGTTGTTGATGTTTGTCTTTCCTTTTTGGGTAAATGATGACGGGCCATGTTCGATACCTCAGCACAAACATACATTATTTGCACGTCTCAATTTATGAAAACTTGAAAATACAAGCCTATGGCCGGTGAGTCGGTGACTCATAGGCTGAACCTGAGCTCGTATGAGAGTATTTCGTTCTCAAGTCACAACAAAATAGCCTGTCAAAGAGGCCTCAAGAATCAGAGACCTTGGTTTGCATAGAGAATATCTAGTGTGAGAAATTACTCAAATTAGTGATACTTTGATCTTTAGTCATTCTTAATTGGTTTTATGATGTAGGATTTCTAAAGTCGAATAATAAGAATGTCCTAAATACAATCATTTATTTACATAAATACATTAGTATCTTTTAAGAACTCTAAATGAACTAACAATAACCTCTACCTACTGACTACTGTATTATAACTTTGACGATCAGATTGATTGGATCATTTGTCATTTCAAAGACATTTCGATTTAATTTCAGCTTCCATTCTGATTCGAATCAAGACTTTACATGTACCACATGATAGAACTCCAACCTGACTACAAACCAGAAAGGTATCAATTAATTAATTTACAGCTGAAATTCAAAATCATCAAGCACCAAACTCTAACTCAGGAGCAGCAGGAAGACGAGGCAGGACACAAACGAGATCACCCCGGGGCAGAGGCAAGGTTTCAGCTCGGCAAAGCGGGCAATTCCGGTGAAGATTCAGCCACTTATCAATGCAGGAAACGTGAAACGTATGCGCACATCCGGGCAAAACCCGGACTTCGTCCCCTTGGTTGAACTCGCTCAAGCAAACCGCACATATATCCTCTTTGCCGCAATCCTCCCCTGTTCTGTCACTCGAGCCACAGGCAATGATAAGTTGCGCATTTGAGAAGCTCCCGCTGCTTGAGGCCATTTCTGTGTAATCTTGATCGCCCACATTTTGTGTTTGCCTCACCGGAATTGGGCTGTTCCGGCTTGTCGCCGTCGTGGGAGCATCATTGCAACATAAAACTATGAGGCAATGTCCCAATGCGACTATCAGAGCACCGGCCATCACTCCCAAAAGGCCGACTAACAAGGGGCTAATTTCGAGTCCTCCGTGATGTCCATCCATATGGTGATCAATTCTACGGGACTAATGAATCTGGGTTCTGGCTTCTAAGTTATATCAGATGCCCTGAATTTTGTTTTATTCTCTGTACATTTCTGGTTCTTTTTTTCTTCTTCTTTTTTTTTTTTTCCCTCCTCCCTTCTTTTGAACAACAACGTTAGTGTCACGATCCATTTACACGGTCGGCCGATTCATACTTTCTGGCATTGACTACTGTTTTGGAGCCAAGTTTTTGTCATCAATTTTCGGGTGTTTGATTTCAGGGGTTAATTAAAAGCTTATCTAAATGCAGACACGGCCGACCAGGGTAGAATTTTAAGGTAACCTAGAAAAAGGATGCTTGTGTTTCATTTAACATGATTGAAGTTGTTCTTTTTGCGCCTGCAGACAAGACAAGTAGTAAGATTGATGATTATACTCAACAATCACATGATAGGCCAATTGATTGATTATGATTAGCGCAAAATTAATTAGTTGATTGATGAAAGTAAAATTAACAAAATTCTAATTGCAATGTACCTTTCAATCCACTCCATCCAATCATCACTATCGGGGTGGGGCTGTTTAGTTAATTAGTTCAGCTGCTTTGGTTGACCCCTTCGTCAAAATTTTCCCGGATTCGTTAGTCCAGTTGAGAGCTTTGGTTCATTGTCCCGTGATCAAACCATTCAAACATGTGTATTTAGTTCGACCATTATTAATTCAATCTTGAAAAAACTACTAGTATTGAATATGAAATTTTCATGCATGAATATGAAATTTTCTACCGTTGTTTGTTTCATCTGAGCAAAGGTTCATCAACGTCATTACAAATTCTAAAGTACGAAGTAAACATTTAATTTTTTTTTTCTCTCCATTTGATGAAGCAGCATGCCTTAAAAATACTAGAGCAACAGCTAGTTACGTACTCACTCTGTTACGATTTTTATAAATTAAAATTGTAAATTAATCTATTGCTTGTGAACGTTCATGCAACGCCGCATTCTGATTCGTTCTCTTGAGTATCTTTTCTCTTTTCGGGCCCCGGATAAGTTTACCTGCGGTGATTTCCAATTTTCATATTCATTTCGTCACTGTGTATACATTGGGCCTTACTATACTGCTTCCACAGCCCATATTTATAAAGAGTGAAGCCTGGATTCCTCCCAAGTCCCAAGTATGATATTGATAAGCAACTTATCATTTTATCAATATTGTATTAGGTGAAAAGAAAAAGAAAGAAAAGAAAAGAAAAGAAAAGGGAGATACCAGTCTTTTTTGGATAGCTGTAAAATTTGCTCTCTTTCTTTTTTTTTACTCGTATATCACGTATTTGGTTTCCAAAATTATTACTCATAGTCGTACTAATCTGAATTCCATCAAGATAAATTTCTTTGGAAAGGTGCGACACTCCCAATGAGTAAAATATGTGTCTGGAACTCCCTCCGTCTCAAAAATATTTTCCAAGATTCGAATTTTATTTGTAGTTTAGATTGTACTAAAAGTAAAATTTTAATATGTACAATAATTTTGAGACAGAGGGAATATTATTTAATTTAGCATAACCTTGGCTGACAAGAGCTTTTATTTTTTTTTTTTATACGGTAAAAGTAAAATTAACCTTGACTGACCCTAAAAATTAAAATTAAAATCAATAAATTTTGTAAATAGAAGACACTGATAGTATTATGTTTTAATCACTGTATAACCTAAATGGTGAAATCGTCTAGCCATTGCATGAAATGCAAGATTTTTTTATTGGCTGCTCACATTTTAGAGTACAAAATGATCAAACCTACAGATTTTGAACCACCAATGACAAAATGCCATTTACCTACTTTGATATTCTTCATCATAATCAGATGTTTTGTCAACATTAACCATCATCATATATTTAATCATATACCTAATCGAAGGACAAAGTGCTGTTAGTCTTAGGTGGTTCAAGAACCTAGGATCTCATTTAACAACAAAAGAGTGAAAGACAACAGAAAAATATGGGGAAAATAAAAATAAAACAAATGGAGAAGTGCAATGAATGACAGAATGATGTGGGAAACCCATGTGGGATTGCGCCTTTTTCCCAGCATTTTCTAGTACAGACACCGAAACTGAATGGGGGAGGAAGTAGAAAAGAAACCACCGAGCCAACAATAATGATGAATCATTGTCCTGATTCCTGAATCAGAAAACACCTGATGATCATATATAGGTGTTAACCTGGGAAACAAGAGACTTGATATTAACTAGTAATAATCCTTTTGGTCAAGTTCAAGGCACTTCCTGCCGCCTGCGTCAGTCTTTCATCATGACATTAGTACTACAGTCTGTATATATATCGGGGAAAAAACAATATAAGTAGATGCTCTTCTGCCATCGTACTTTTCAGCTACATATATAAGATTTTTCTTTTAGTCATTTCTACATAACCATGAAAAGAGGTGTAATGTAATATTACGTCTGCAATTACATATTACTACTACTTTCCTTTTCCTGGAAAAAGGTACCATTGTCACATGTGCAAGCTATATTAGGTTTTGTGCAAGTGTACAAATCTAGAAAAAATAAAAATCAACCTTCACCTGAAACTGAAATGATGAACTAATCTGCCTCTCTCTCTCTCTCTCTCTCTCTCTCTCTCTCTCTCTCTCTCTCTCTCTCTCTCTCTCTCTCTCTCTCTCTCTCTCTCTCTCTCTCTCTCTCTCTCTCTCTGTTCTTTTTTTCGTTTCAAGAATTTTACCGACAGTAGTAAGTAGCTCGTACTTCGGACATGTTGATATCTTGTACACTCTTTTAGCACCAACCCAAAAAAAATTATTTTAAGATTGGCACCAAAATTATTATTCAGTTCGAAATTTCATTTTTAGTTTAAATTATATTAAAAGTAAAATATCGAATTGGACAATAATTTGAGAAGGTCTAAAGTACTTTACGCCTTGAATAATTGAATCTGTATTGTCATGGGAGGAACTGTTGCTGCACGAGCGGATGACTTTATGTCATTAACCAAGCAATTCACTAATTCGCTGGCGTGCAGGTTAGTTAGCTTTGGCTACATTCCATGCACCAAAACTAGAATCTATCAATAAGTGAAATAATATAATAAATCTATAAAATCTAAATCGTAACATCTTGATGACAAATTCACTCTGATTTGAACTGCCCCAATTTTAAAATTTTTATGACTTTTCTAAAGAAAATATTGCCATTATAATAATCATAAAGAAAAATGCTTCGTCCGTTCAACCAAGTGTAATACTATTAATATATAAGATGGATGAAACGTAGGGTTTATCTGGGGTTGAAGTGAAAGGATGACTAAGGTGAATCTTTGGCACCCACACAGCCAAAAAAAAAAATGCATATTTTGGTGCTTATGTTAATGAATTATTGCACATGCAAAGACAAAAGACACACGGGGGAACTCATTTTAATACTCGAGGCTGCTCAATGAATAGATCCCTAAATCATTAACAATTGTGACAATAAAGGGTACTGAAGTACTAGTAGTATTATTTGATGGGTACGATAAGGCATTTTACAATATATAAGTGGAGGAAGGCAGGCATAAACGGTACGCGGTGTGGCGTACACGAGTACAATAATAGTGAAAATAAAATGGTTTAAAATACGACAAGAAAACAAAGAGTGCACCAGTAAAATGGAAAAAAAAAAAGAGCCAAGAATTGAAAATAAAAAATAAAAAATTTAAAAAACTAATGCCAGGAACAAAGAGTTACCTTACAAGAAACAATAAGCACAAAACACGATTAGAAAAGCAAATCCACTTTTCAGTTTTCAAAGGAAAAAAGAATTTATTTGCAGGGTCGTTGTCGTAGGTGAAGAGAATTGTTGAATGAATTCAACCACCAAGAACGAGATAAGAGCCGTGCCCTACTTGGTATTTGCCTTGCTTGGTCGCAAGCATCATTTGTAAAAAAGTTTTGATTAATCCTTCAAATTAACGAGGAGCAAACAATTCAAATCTCGAAATGCTCACTTCCTCATCATCTTTCCGACATTTTCCCGCAATTCCAACATCTACAAGAGATATCACCCGTAGATTATATATATATATATATATATATATATATATATATATATTGTACTAGTGATTAGAAGTTAACCATTTTTAAAGGAAAATCGGTCGCGGAAGTGACCAAGGGTTTGATACGGTGAAGGGTGAACCAACGTGCTGGCTTTCTTTCTTTGTATTTAATCATTCCCAAGTCCTCCCTTGATAAAGCCAATTATCTATACTTGATGCAAGCAATAATCTATGGTTCATTTGCTATTTTTAAATACTCCCTTCGTTATGAAATTTTTGTTCAATTTGAATTTTTGTTGTTAGTACAATTTGTACTAAAACTGAAAATCCTAAACTGAACAATAATTTCGAGACGAAAAGAAAGAATTATTATTACAACATTAATGAATCAATGATATGGATTGTTGAAAATGGTAAAATCAGTACCACGATTATAATATCGCAGGTTACGCACTAGAAACTTTCATTCCCTCTTCTTCTTTGAAAATACTTATTGCATGACAATGCCTTTAGCTAATAACTTATAGTCATATATATTACTTTCTCTGTCTCGAAATTACTATGTAGTTTAGATTTTCATATTTAGTACAAATTAAATTAAAAATAAAAATCCAAAATTAGACAATAATTTTAGGACAGAAGGAGTATACTCTTGTTTGCAAATTGTTGATTATATTTTCTCTAAAATAAGAGACAACTATGATTCAAATAGCGAGTTAATGTCATATCAATACTGGTTTTTTTTCGTCTATCATGCTACTAGTACAACTTTGGATATTTTTATACAAATTCTAAATTATTATAACAAAACAAAGCAGAAAAATGACTACCGCCAAATATTAACTTTCACAATAAAGAAAATAATTTTTTAAAAAAATGGGGAAGAAAGGAAAAAAAGAAAAGAAAAGAGAGCAGCCCATCCTTCCCCAATCCGAATGGGGCCACCAACAGCACCATCTACCCATATGATGAAGATTCTTGAATTATTAGTATCTTTTACCTCATTTCTCTCATTCCCCACAACATGTATAACACACACAAAAAATAACAATTTGTATCTGAATTATGACAACAAAATACTAATAATAAAAACCTCAAAACAGTGTTGGTTGTTGGTGTTGGGCTGTGTAATGTAATCTAGTTGTTGTTATCCAGTGCAGGCTTTTACTAAGTAGTACTACTACTTATTAAGTTTTTGGGTTATAACCTAATCCAAATATCACCACCCCACACACACACACACACAGACCGATTCCAGCAAGCAAAAACTGACCCTTCTTCGTCCGTTCCCTGAATTCCCCTTCCCCCCAATTGCACATTTCGTCCGTAGTTTACTTCCTCAAATACGTACTTCTTTTGGCCTTGAATCCAACACCCACCATTAAATTTTTGTTGCAGCAGCACTAAATAAAACCAATACAAAAAACACAAAAACGTAGATGTACTTCAAATTCAATTTCTACTTGGGAAGCCTTAATCAGAACGCTCTCAACTACGCGTTTATCTTTTGGCTCTTTGACTAATAAGCTCTCTCTTCTCTTGGTCTGGGCGGTCGGGGTCTCTTTTTCTATGTTTCTTTTGACGGGATTCCAGGGGAGTTGAAACTGAGAAAGATTTGGGGGGTTTTTGGGTTTGTTATCAGTCGTATTCTACAAGAAGGGATTTTTTTTTTTTAATTTATATTAGTTTGGAAGATGAGGACTTTGGTTTCATCTGATTGCCCTGGCCGTGGTGGATTTTTGGTTGTTGAAGCTTATCCTAAAAGGTATTCTTCCAAGATCCCCTCTGATTTGGTTCTTTTCCTCGGCCTTGGCTTCATAGATTGGTAACATTCGTATTAGAATCTATTACTTCTCATGTTCTTCTGACCCGCTTTTACTCGGTAGATAAAACAGATTTTGTTGCATCTTTAAAATCGTGGGTTCTTTGCAACAAAGATTATGGATTTGATGGCTCTGATTCCTTGTCTCTCTTTTCTGTCGAGAGGGATGATGGAGCTTCTTGGGTTTGGGTTGGATTTAGTCTTCATCTAGCATTTGCTTGTTTGCCTCTCTAGACCCATTTTTAGTCTTTCTACTTGGAAAACCTTATACTATTTGGTGTCGTTTTACTATGGTCTTTTCTGTTATTCGTTTCATTTCTGGCCACCTCTGGTTTTAGGACTTTTAGAAGCCTCTTTGTTTTTCCCCTTATTCTTGATTCATAGTATTACCGTCTGGGCAATTATAATCAGCTGCTTATCACGGGTTTCAAATTTGAGGTGTCCGTATTGAATAGTGGGAACATTTGGTCCTCTGATGAGTTAGTATAGAGTTGTGATGGAGGTGGGTTGCAGTAGTTGGGACTGATATTATGTATTTCAAGATTTCGTTTTTGTGAAAATTATCTTGGGGTTAGCATCGATTGCTAGCGTTTAACCTCAAGAGGAATTAGACATTGTGAGATGGTAGATACTCTTCTAACCGCGTTGTCAATGGATAACTATCACCCTTCAACCATGTTATCTATGGATTCAAGTGCCTCATCGTCACATGATGAATTGGACCTTGAAATGAATCGCCAAATTGTTTTGGCCCGTCCACCACCTGATATCAATTTGCCCCTCCGCGCTGACCGTAGTTCTCCGCAGCCATGGAATCCAGAACATTGTGCCATTCTCGAGGTTGGCCTTGGGTCTCAAATGTATGAAACAGAAACTTTTCTCACTGCCCCTAAGGTTGGTAGAAAATGCACTAAAAGGGGGGATAGCATCTGGGGTGCTTGGTTTTTCTTTAGCTTTTATTTTAGGCCAGTATTGAATGAGAAATCAAAGGCCAAGATTATAAGGGATAGCAACGGACTTTCTGGGTTTGATAAGTCTGATTTGCAGCTTGATGTTTTCATGGTTCAGCATGATATGGAGAACATGTACATGTGGGTTTTCAAGGATAGGCCTGAGAATGCATTGGGTAAAATGCAACTTCGGAGTTATATGAATGGGCATTCACGTCAAGGAGAGCGGCCATTCCCCTTTAGTGTTGAAAAAGGGTTTGTCCGATCTCATAGAATGCAGCGGAAGCATTACAGGGGCCTTTCAAACCCTCAATGTGTTCATGGGATTGAGGTAGTTCCATCCCCAAGTCTTTTGGGCCTTGACGAAGATGAAAGAAAAAGGTGGGTGGAACTCACTGGGAGGGACATAAACTTTATTGTTCCACCTGAAGCCAGTGACTATAGTTCGTGGAGAAATATGCCGAATACAGAAATTGAGCTTGAGAGACCTCCACCTGCAATAAAGAGCAATGCTCATCCTCAATCAAAAAAGTTACTTAATGGCTCAGGATTGAATCTAGCCACTCAACCTTCTAGCCACAGCAATGGGGATTCGATGGATACTTCACCTCCTAGCAACAAAAGGAGGAAGGAGTTTTTCTTACATGGAAATGAAGAGGATTGCTGTCTGGCCGTAAGTCCTCCCGATAGAATTCATGATTTGGATACTCATCCAAGTGGGCCGAACTGGCTGCATGAATTCAGTGGTGTCCTAAGGCATGCCTATGGCCCTGTTACTGCTGCAAAATCTATCTATGAAGATGAAGATGGCTACTTGATCATAATGAGCATGCCTTTTATTGATCTCCAAAGGGTGAAAGTTTCTTGGCGCAATAATCCCACTCATGGGATTATCAAGGTTTCTTGTGTGAGCACATCAAGAATGCCATTCATCAAGAGACATGACCGAACCTTTAAGTTGACGGATCCTGCTTCCGAACACTGTCCTCCAGGGGAATTTATCAGAGAGATAGCACTTTCAACTCGCATACCCGAAGATGCTAACATTGAAGCATATTATGATGGAACAGGGATGGTGCTCGAGATTTTGGTGCCAAAACTTCGAGAAGGACCAGAAGAACATGAAGTTCGTGTATGCCTACGCCCTCATCTTGGGTCTAATGATCTCATGTTGACCTAGAGGTACATTAGAAGATCTCTATTGTGGTGCTTCATTCTGTGCTGACTTTCCAAGAAATCAATGGGGCAAAAAATGTGCCTCAAATTAGGTTTATGTTTTCAATATTAGTCATGTACTTTATTCTGTTGTTTAGTCATCTAAGTATCCTGCTATCATAGATTATAACATCTTTTTGCTGTTGTAATCACATAATATGTATTGCACATTAAGCAGTTAGTACGTTCTTGTATCCGTTTTTACTGTATGCTCCTCTTGGTTTCGACTTTGCTCTGTTCTTTCAGTATCAGTTTTTGGCTTTTTGCTGATCGATCATGTGGAGTGCCCCTATAACAAAGGGCAATTCGTTATTACACCTAATTTATCCTCTTATTCTTTCCTTTTCCGGTTTTTCGCTTCTAAGAAGATATCTTATGCTCGAACTCTGTAATGTGCTAGTGTATTTTTGATAATAGGCAGTGTCCCTGCATCAAATTGCAAATAGGATTTTCTTTTTCCTTGTGGCTCATGTGGCTGGAAGAATTCCTGCGCTTCTTCTCTGGCCTCAACTTTCAAATCCAAATCGAATGGAAAAGAAAAGGTCCACAATCACAGCAGCTGCCCTGCCTTAAAAAAATAAAAAAATAAATAAAAAAAAAAGGAAAACAAGAAGCAAAGTCAGAAGAGAGGGTTGAATCACAGTAAGTTATTCTTTATAGTTTTGATGAGTTCTATCATTAGACATCTATCATCTAGATACCTTATTAAATTCCATGAAAATGATAAAAATGGCGACTGGGTATAACTGATAAGATAAGAGAAAGGTACATCTCGGGAAGGCAACGTGTGAAGGTAGGAAAATTATGGTTGATCATCCGTGGGCGGGGAGTTGAAATGATTTGATAGGCAGTGGTGGTGGTGGTGGAGGAATGTGGAGGGGATGATATGATATGGGCTACTTCATATAATTCAGGAAATCCAAACAGTAGTAGTTCGGACCGTGGAATTCCCAAGGGGAATCGGGACCACCTGTCCACATCAACCCAAAGCAATTGTTTGCTTGCCACCTCCAAGTTGCAGCCTCTATTATTGAACTTCTTAATCAAATGCTTTATGATTCGGAAATTCTAGTGATGGTAATGGTTTTTTTGACTTTGTTTTATGGGTAGTTAACTTAATGTGAACCAGGGAAACAGATGACTCAAGTTCTGCGGTTTTTGCAGCATTTTGCTTGAAAAAATAGTAGTCTTTATAACATGTGAATGTAGTAGTCGAGCTACATCGTTAGTTTTGATCTATTGTGTCGAGGTTATGAGGTTTGAGTCAAAATGTTCTTCGTCTTATATTGCTTGTGAGCGGACTTCGGTGTATTGAATCTCAAATGGCGGCACTGTTATGCGCATGGGTAATTCGACTTTTGAATGTGATATTTTCTGCAGATATACTTAGTGTCCCAAGGAACTTACTCATTCTGAAAGATACTTCGGACCAACAAGAAAAGAATCCACTAAGTTGGGGATTGAATTATTGAGTGCTTTTTGTGTAATGGTGGGCCAAGAAACCCAGATTTGCGAAGTTTCAACACCACCTCCTCCTAGGGTGGTAGGAGGTGATTGTTAAAAGATTGTGTCTTGATTTTTGTTGATAATAATGTCCACAACATATGTTGCAGACAGCAACCAACACCTAGTATGGTCACAACTCACAATCCAACTTCCGTATTTGCTGACAACATCTGCTCATCTTCAAGACCAAAAAAACAAAAGCAAAAACGTTGCCTTCTTTTGGAGGAAACCTGCATTACAAGCTCTCAATACCAGGAACCCTACTCAGATGCATCCATTATTTCAAAATAGAGAACAAGACAGTTAGCGGTTAGATATTGATGAACTTGAATGTGAGAACAAAAAGAATCAGTGTAGACTTGAAGCAAAACCGTGAATAATTCAAAATAATTGCTATCACAAAGGAGAGTCAATATTGAAAAGCTTAGGACATATAAGTATGGCTCTTTTTAAAAGCCTACTTTATATGAATATAAACTACGAATGTTTGGTAAAATTAAATAACAAGCTGAAAACAGATAAATTTGCCCATTGTATGTGAGAACTGAGAACAATGCTTAGTCGACCTCCTCAATCTTGGGACCAGCTCCGCTGCCACCAGAAGGAGGGACATCTTCATCATCCATGGGCGCACCACCACCCATGTCACCCCCAGCACCTTGGTACATCTTGGCAATGATTGGGTTGCAGATACCCTCCAACTCCTTCATTTTGTCCTCAAACTCATCAGCTTCGGCAAGTTGGTTGCTGTCTAGCCACTGGATGCTGGCCTCAATAGCATCCTCAATCTTCTTCTTGTCAGCAGGTGAGAGCTTGGAACCAATTTTCTCATCCTTCACTGTGTTCCTCATGTTGTAGGCATAGTTTTCCAAAGAATTCTTGGCTTCAACCTTTTTCTTGTGCTCTTCATCCTCAGACTTGTATTTCTCTGCTTCTTGAACCATTTTCTCAATTTCATCCTTTGACAACCTACCCTTGTCATTGGTAATGGTGATCTTGTTCTTTTGTCCAGTGGTCTTGTCCTCAGCGGACACATTTAGAATACCATTGGCATCAATGTCAAAGCACACTGTAATCTGGGGAACACCCCTTGGAGCGGGAGGAATGCCAGAAAGCTCAAATTTACCCAGCAAGTTATTGTCCCGGGTCCTTGCCCTCTCCCCCTCGTATACCTGAATCAACACACCAGGTTGGTTGTCAGAGTATGTAGAGAAAACCTGCTCCTTCTTGGTGGGAATGGTAGTGTTCCTGGGAATCAAAACAGTCATGACACCACCAGCAGTTTCCAAACCAAGGGAGAGGGGGGTGACATCCAAAAGCAGGAGATCTTGCACTTTCTCGTTCCCCTCTCCACTCAAAATAGCAGCTTGGACAGCGGCGCCATAAGCAACAGCCTCATCCGGGTTGATGTTTTTGCAAAGCTCTTTCCCGTTGAAAAAGTCCTGGAGTAGTTGTTGGACTTTAGGAATTCTAGTAGAACCGCCAACAAGTACAACATCATGAATTGAACTCTTGTCCATCTTGGCATCCCTCAGACACTTCTCCACTGGCTCCATACATTTCCTGAACAGATCCATGTTAAGTTCCTCAAATCTGGCACGGGTGATAGTCGAGTAGAAATCAATGCCTTCAAATAGAGAATCGATCTCAATGGTTGTCTGAGCAGTGGATGAAAGAGTCCTCTTTGCCCTCTCACAAGCGGTACGCAACCTCCTAAGGGCACGAGGGTTACCACTGATATCCTTCTTGTTCTTTCTCTTAAATTCCTGAACAAAGTGATTCACCATTCTGTTGTCAAAATCTTCACCTCCGAGATGGGTGTCTCCAGCTGTGGCCTTAACCTCAAAGATACCCTCCTCAATGGTGAGAAGAGAAACATCAAAGGTACCCCCTCCAAGATCAAAAATCAACACATTTTTCTCACCAACACTGGTTGCCTTCTTGTCCAGACCATAAGCAATGGCGGCAGCCGTGGGTTCATTAATGATACGCATGACATTGAGACCAGCAATAACACCGGCATCCTTGGTAGCTTGACGTTGGGAATCATTAAAGTAAGCAGGAACAGTGACCACAGCATTCTTCACAGTTGAACCAAGGTAAGCCTCGGCAATCTCTCTCATTTTAATCAGCACCATGGAAGAGATCTCTTCAGCTGCAAATTGCTTTTCTTCGCCCTTATAGGTGACAATGATCATGGGCTTGTCACCAGGTCCAGGGATGACCTTAAAAGGCCACAACTTGATATCACTCTGAACTGACGCATCAGAAAATCTTCTTCCAATCAGCCTTTTTGCATCTGCGAAGAAGAAGCAAAAGCATAAATTTAAGATTCAGAGACATAATGCGCGCATGATTCAAGTACAATCAATCATCATTCACTATGTGTGGACATGTTCGGCTTAAAAAAAAACAGGCCCCTGAGTTAGAAATAGAATATTAAAAAAACAGAAACAGTACCGCTACGAATGTAAGGACACTGAAGAATAAAATTTGAAAATTTGTTACCCCGTGCATGGTTGACAGAAGAAATGTAGTTTCCAGGTGGCTGTATAAACTTTCTAATCAAATAGAATTCAAAGGGAATAATTCAGTAACTCATAACTTCATAACATAACCTACGCAATTATGTTACAGCGCATCGCTAAAAGACCCAATCAACAACGTGAGCTGACAAAAGCAACTGCATACATCCACAGAGGCATGCTTATATTCCGAATCAACTACAAACAATAAAGAACAATAAGGTAACTATGCAACTTGCAACCAACACAACATGTCTACAAAAAGAAACCAGAACAGAAATGAAATCAAATGCAGCAGGGCGTTTAAGCAATAAATATAGCAGACAGCAATCGAATCACATATATCCTAACAAAGACAACAAAGCTTCATACTAAAGGGCAAAGTTTCTCTCGATACAATTAAGTTCATGTAAAATTCAATCAGATCTGAACAAAAATCATAAGGATTAAACATAAATCTGAGGGACGAGCTTGAGAACGTACCGAAGACAGTGTTGATGGGGTTCATGGCCACCTGGTTCTTGGCGGCATCTCCAATGAGACGCTCGGTGTCAGTGAATCCAACATAGGACGGAGTAGTCCTGTTACCCTGGTCGTTGGCGATGATCTCAACACGGTCATGCTGCCAAACGCCGACGCAGGAATAAGTAGTTCCGAGATCGATTCCGATAGCTGGTCCTTCACCTTTCCCAGCCATTCTTCTTCTTCGACGAGTTTTTCTCTTCTTCTAAGCTGAAAAAGAATGGGCCAAGAAAAGATCCGGCCGGTATAGTGTACTAGGGTTTAGAGGAGGAGGCAGGGTTGGTCGAATTTAGCTTTATATACGAAATGGTTGAAGCAGTCAAAGTGTCCAGAATGTTCTGAAAACCTTTATGAGTTCTCAGCCGTTGGATCCAAGTGAGGTATCCATGTAGATTCCTCTCATGGCCCCACGCGTATTCCCGTTTGGCGTGCGAAAAGACCTATCAGGGATTCCAAAAGTTTGGGCTTCTTTTTGACTACCAATTGGGCTCTATAGTTAGGCTCTTTTGATTTTGCTACACAATTAGTGGTAGGAGGTGCCAATAACGTATGCTCCAATTACGATTTTACTACAAGTAGTGGATTACATATATAACCATTAGAGACCCATCGAGTAAGTACCAGCTGATGATGCCAGATAATAAACCACAAACTTGGATTCTCAAAAAATATATTAATCTTGCGTATTATTGGCGACAGAACATATCACATATCCCTCCTCAAAAAATATATTTAATCTTACATATTATTGGCGACAGAACATATCACATATCCCTTAAAGTAAGCTTTCATATATGTCAACAACGTCATTCATCTCAACCATTTGCGCCAGTCTATAGGTGTTACAAATACTGAAACTCGTTGAGATTCTAATGAGACTCTTATTTATTAGGAGAGTATTTACTACCCATATTTTTATTAGGCACTTCTGAGTGTGTGTTTATTTTGGGAGGGTTTATATTGGGTTTGGGTTGGGATTTTTATGGATCCCAATAAAAATTAAAAATGAGTAATAATAAACAGTATCACTACCCGATAATATAAAAAATGTGTTTCATTTTGTAGCCATCACCGCCATCGCGGCAGCAACACCACCAAGGCCACCCTACTCTGGCACGCCTTGCACGGCGGTCTCGGTGGCTCAACCACCCCGTCCGGGTCAATCTACGCCGATTCCGCATCTTATGCTTCTCCACCACCCACCACCCCTGTCCCTACCCCACTATTGTTCTCGCCCCATTCATCCCTCTTCTGCACCTCCCCTGCCGTTGGCTCTGCGCCATTTATCCACCACTGATTTTGCGTCTCCGGCCACTTTTGTTCGGAATTGAGACATCATGTTGTTTGTATTTTCTTTTTCGTTTTTTTTTTTTCTAAACATTTGACTTGGACAGTGGTAGTGGTGCGCGGCGGCTTTGCTAAGAATTTGGAAGAAGCCACATGATGGAGGGGTTTTTTTCTGGACCTTTTTTTTAATATGCAAACTGGAAATTATTAACCTAAAAATTCAAACTTTGACCGATAATTATTCTTAATTTATTTTGTAACTATAACTTTATTGAGATTTTAATGAGGATTGGGATCCCATTAATTTTTCTCCCACATAAAAACTGACTGGGTTTGTTTTATCTCATTCCCTATAATAACCTACCCATTAAACTACCCGCCCAATTCCCTCCCTACCTGTCCAATTGCCACCTTTAGTGCCACACTAAGATTATCAACCTTGAAAATATCTTGAAGATATCTTCAGATCCCAAGCTAATTGTAAATTCTGAAACAAACTTTATAACTCGACTCCAGTTATTGTATCATGTCCAATATTCATCGAATCCACAAACTATCTCTCATTGTGATCACGAACTAAAACCCCTACGTATGCTCGTCCTATGTGACTATGAAATGAACCATTGGAATTGATTTTCGTCCGTCCTTCCTGTGATAATAACCACTATAGCATATAACTCGCCTAGTTTTAAACCACTGGCACAAATCGTTATGAAGCTAGAGACCATACCTTTTATTTCATTGAATTTATGCTACACCATAAAATATTTAACATCAAAAAAGTTTGGTTGATTCAATTAACTAAAATTACTGTCATAACATAAGCTCCTAAACATTCGGTGCAATTTTATCATATTTTTCAAGAATATTTGATCCTTCCAAACTCTTAGCCTTAGTCGATTCCAAATTTGTTAGTTGATGTTCACGATTTTTTTTATTCATGAACTTTACCTATTTTACGATTGCTAGAAATCAGACCATCAATAATAAAATGTAATTGTTGTAATATTATTTGATAAAGGCAATATAACTAGCACATCATTACATTTTTAGATTGAAAAGGTGTAAAATATTTTATTATTTATTCTGGTCATTGTGATAATTATACATATGTAACCAATGATTCAATAATGAATGAATATTATTCAAACCAATTGTAATGTTATTCAATTGGTGTAATTGGAATTTTTTATGATTCATACAAATGAAGGCATATTTTATTTTCATATACTTTTTGTAATGTTGGAGGTCTAAAGAAAAATAAGAACACAAGGATATCAAAATCAGAGGCGAAACATATATGAGGTTATGATAAGATCATCCCCAACGGGGCACCCCAAATCAGTACAAGTGCAAGCCCAACAGTTGCACTATTCATGTAACCAAATGGTTGCATACTGTTCATGAGCACCAATTTGGTGCTTGAATTTTTTATTTTTTTACTTTTAGTTGATTTATGTAATTAATAAAACAACCCTTTAAAATTAACTAGTACTTATACGTGCGTTGCACGGCGGGTAGAGATTTGATTCTTATAAACTTCTCCCGTTAATAAATTATTTAAAACCACTAGTGTAGAAACCATTACCATGATGTCATAAATATATTAACTATATAATATATATTTATCAATAAAATACAACATTTCAATCTGTAAGTATTTTAAGTTTCCAATAAATTTATAAGTCAAAATCGTGAACTATGAAATTTGTAGGGTAAAATTTACTAATAATCTAAATAATAAGGTCCTAACATAGTAGTATATATACTAATAAAACCCTACCCTCCTCTTTTCTTATTTTCTTCCCCGCAAGCCGACACAACCCACCCCCCTCCTCCCTTGCGTTTCTCTTCATCTTCTTCTTCCCCTGCGTTTCATCATCATCTTCGTCTTCTTCTCCCGCCACCCCCTCCCCTCCCTTCTCTGTTTCATCTTCGTCTTCTTCTTCTTTTTTACTTCTTCTTTTTCTCCTTCGCCCCCCTTTCCCTTCTCGGGCTCTTTCTTATTTTCTACCATTTTTTCCTTTTTTTCATTTGTTAATTTAAATTAGAAGGAGACAAATGAGTCTTCAAAAAGAAGAAAGAGTACTCGTGCGTTGAGTCGTAGATTACCAGCGATTTTTGTCGTGACATCGGTCGTCGGACATAGTTATCGCAGATTGCCAATGATTTTTAAATTGTCATGGTATCGGCCGCCGGACTTACTTGCTGGATTGAAACCAGAATCACCGTCGTTAATTTTTTTGTTATCCCTAATAAGTAATGAAACAGTAAATAACGAAATAATAAAAAATAAAAAATACTACTATTTTATTGAAGTAAATAGTAAATGTAATATTACATATTTACTATAAAAATTTACCATGAAACCAATTAGTATGAAATCTATTAGTATTCTAATTGAGCGACATGTGTCTCAGAGAAAAAATTTCTTCAATGTATATAAAAGATTAATATATACTTTACAACTATGTATATTACTATAAACTTATTAAATTGATAAATATAAATTTGATGAATTTTAATTGATTTCATGTGTATGACTTAATATTCTAATTTATAACATTACAAAAAAAATTTAATATGAATAAAAATGTACATATGTGATATAAGAAAAAAAAAACGTATATTGATTAAATAAATATATTAAACTTGAGAAAATTAACAAAACACTCATACATTAACATTAATAATTAAAAATACAATTGAAGGGAAAAAAGAAAAAGAAAAATTACTTAGACACACAAACGAAAACATACACGAAAATCATCCCCAAAAAAAAAAAAAAAATTGCACACACAAACTTCAATAGTACGCATACATTAATTAAAAAAAAACTAATGATAATAATTTAGGAGATCAGTTCCATCTCCACCGAGAATGACAAAAATTTTACAGAAAACATTGTTTGATGCATGTGGTTGTTGTTGGCTCTGCTGTAGTCTTTCTTGCAGAATTCGGTGTTGTTCACTTTCAATAAAAGCACGGTATCTAGGATTTGTAATTTGGAACGGATCTTTCTCCATGATTTCATTTTCTTTCGTCCATTTCTCTAAAGCCAATTTTTGCATATGAATTTTCATCTTTTTCTCATGTCTTGCATAACGATCTTGGTATGATTTTTGTAAGATCTCGAAAAGTTTTTTATTTGCTTCATTTAAACATTGCAACTCGAAAGAATATTGGTCCTCCGTTTTTCTCTTACTTTTGACTTTTTTGACATGAATAGATCTTTTTGACGAAAATCCGCCTAAGTAAGTCAGAAAAATCAGAAGAATCAGGTATTGAGATTCATGTACCTGAGATTCGGGAGTTAAATTATCAAATTCATCTGAAATGTCCCTATTGAATTTGTGCCTTGCTGCAGTGGCGTCAACATGATATTTGTTAAAATCCTTTAGCATGTTCCACACATGAAAAAGTCTTTGCACATTCTAACAGCAAACAATACAAATAAGATTACTAACTCATTGCCAACGTACATAAACACATAAAATTATTGATTAGTTACATAATTATTTTCATTTGCACCACTTGGATGCATATCTTCTATTTGTTTTTAGCATCCACACAATTTTCAAACTGATTTTTCTGTCTCCCCATCATTTTTTCAGAGACCTATCATTACGTGGAATCTAACCTTCCTTTGTTGGTGCATCAATGTAACCGTCGACAATCCTGCTCCAAAAATCGTCATGTGTTTGTGAATTTTCAACAATGGGATCTTGAGAGACATTCATGTAAATTTGACATAGGAGTTTGTCTTCAACATTTGTGTAGCCTGCAGCTCAAGTGGCCTTTTTTTCTTTCTTTTTTTTTCCCCCTTTTTTGCTGAAAAAGTTTGTTTTGCTAGCAAAGAAAAAGGTAGGAAACGGATGCTAAGTTGAGACCTTCTTTGTCCATATTTATAGAATGAAGTATATTAACATTATCAGCTACATTATCTTCATTTCCACCATTAGATGGATTCTCATTACATCAGAAACGTTAGATAGAATTGTGAAATAATTATTGGGTTATTGTCATTGTCATCCATATTTGTACTGTTAGATGGATTACATATTAATTTCAACCGTCAGATTGTATTATCTAACAATCAAAATCTTATTGTCTATATTATTTGCATTTTAACTATCCAGATTTATATAATCATTTGAATTGTTTTAATCTTAGATTAGAGGTTTTTTTGTTTAAATTAAAATCTGACATATTTTGATGTTTAAGATAAAAATGTGTTAACGTTACTCTGTCTTAGATTATTTTACTATTGATTTTTATTATTTTTTCATTCTCTTAAAATTTTCAAGGAACACATCTTATCGTCAAAAAAAAATTCTGAACATATTGAGTTGAAATATTTCTACAATGCTTGCATATTTTAGAAGGTAACTACCTCGAAATTCTAAACCAAAAAAAAAAGATCAACACTCATTTTTTTTTATCTTCTGCAGAACCAATGATTCAGTATAGTCCAAATTAAGCTGAAATATTTCTACAATGCTTGCATATTTTGGGAAGGTAGCTACCCCAAAGTTCTAAAGCAAAAAAAAAAAAAAAAGCTTAACACCCATTCCTTTTTATCTTCTGCGGAACCAATGATTCATTGTAGTCCAAACTAAGCTGAAATATTTCTAGAATGCATACATATTTTCGAAGATAGCTACCTTAGAATTCTAAAAAAAAAAAAGAAAAAAATAAGTTGAACATCCATTCCTTTTTATCTTATGTCGGACTATACTTTCACTATAGTCCAAGTGATTTTAGTACTATAGGCAGAATTTATGGACAAGACATATATTTGTAAAAAAAATTTAAAAGTTATCTTCAATATTATCTCCGCCCGAACCATTCGATTGAATTTTTTTACTATATTAACCGTTCATTTGATTACGTCTTATCGCATGTCACTTTAAAAAATATCTAAACCTTCCTCCTAATTCCAAATGTACATCAAAATTTCTTGTTCATCTATCTTTTTCTTAATATTTTTCTTTTATGAAAAAACAAATAGACTTTTATCAAGAAGGTCCTTCCAGTATCCAAAATCATAAATCATCATCTTCATCATCATCGTCTTCGATGAAGATTTAATTCAAGAAGATGCCATCATAAGCCATGTTATACAGAGAAATAACTTGGCTGTTACATTGCTCAACCGTTGAAGCAACCAACCTACTTAACTTGGATCTATTCGGGGACACATAGTTATCGACCGTAATCGTGAAGCTGCACATCGTAGGCTGGTCGATGATTATTTCTTTGAGCATCCACAATAACCTCCGTATAAGTTTCGGTGACGGTTTCATATGTCTTGAGATTTATTTGTTCGTATTGTTAATGCTGTTAAAACTCATGATAGTTATTTTGAACAACGAAGCGATGCAACTGGTGAGCTTGGATTATTGAGTCTACAGAAATTAACTGCAGCTATCCTAATGTTAGCATACGGTTCATTCGCAGATGCTATAGATGAATACATCAAAATTAGACAGTCAATTACGATTGAATGTTGTAAGAGGATTTGTCGTGCTGTTGTCGAGATTTTTGCAGAGCGGTACCTTAGATCATCAACAGCTAATGACGTTGCTAAGTTACTTTATATAGGTGAACAACGTGGTATTTCTGGCATGCTAGGTAGTCTCAATTGTATGCATTTTGGAGGTGAAAAATTGTCCAGATGCCTTGGCTGGAGAATACGCTGGACGTTCTGGATCACTAACCATCATCCTTGAAGCTATAGCCATTTATAATTTATGGATTTGACACGGTTTTTTTGGGATGCCAGGTACAAATAATGACATTAATGTTTTGAAGTCATCGCATTTATTTTCTAATCTTACTCAAGGTACTGCACCTTCTTCTAATTATGCTATCCAAGGAAAAGAGTATAATGTGGGTTATTATTTAGCTGATGGTATATATCCAAACTGGTCAACTATTGTGCAATCAATTCAAAAACCAAATACCAATATGACAAAATATTTTACTGAAAAACAAGAAGCGTGTAGAAAAGATGTGGAGCATGCATTCAGAGTTCTTCAATCTCGATTTGCAATTGTTGGAAGTCCAGTTCGTTTTTTGGATAAAGAAGTGTTGCATGATATTAGGACCACATGTATTATTATGCACAATATGATAGTGTAAGATGAATCCGTTCTCAATGATCTCAATGAACTAACTACAGAAGGACGAGTAGTTCCGAAGTTAAATGTTATTTGGGTACCAAGAGAACATGTGATACCCCAAGGAAGCAAGTAGGTGGGCTAGTCCACATCGAGGTTGGGTGACAATGATGATCAATATATAAACCTTCAACTGGTGTACTACTAGTAACTTGGGCTAACCATTTTAGGTACAACGAGGACGAACACCCAAATAGTTATTGGGACAAGCCATCCAGCTAAGCGTTACAGAATATGCTCGATTTCAAGAGGTTATTGCTCGATATAAACAGATTAGGAATAGTGATGCACATTACAAATTAAGGAATGCGCTGTTAGTTTATATGTGAGCAAGGAATGGTCATTATGGGAATCTATTTTGAATGATTTTTTTTTAGTTTGTCTTATTAATTTACAACATCATTACGAGTCTGTATAAGAAAATATTATTTTAATTATTAGTTTGATGATATGCGGTTTCTTAAATTTATATTATTATATTTTTTTGTGTAATGTCGATACAAATATTTTGGCTATATTCAAAATATGAATGAAAAATAGGTTATCTTTTTATAATTTAATGAACTTAATAAAAAAGAAGGCATAAAGGAGAATTGGTGATTTGGATATGAAATTTGTGTTGATGGTTGGACAAATTGGTGTTGTCCTTGGGAATGGTCTAAGTTATTCACACCAGATTTGATAGTAATTTTTGCGATTCAAGAAAGTTAATGTTTATATCGAATTTTTGAGTTCCCAAGATGTAACTAAGGGTAAGGTAGTCGTCAGCTAATCTATAACGTGTCTTCCTCTATTTTAACCTCATGTTATAAATTTTTACCTCTTTTGTATGTAACATTAGTTGTGTCGAAAATGAGAAAATAAAGTTTGTGTAACGGAAACACCATGAGATACATGGAAGTTAATGCATTTGTTGGTCATAATAGGAAATTCATTGACTGAAAAATACACGTTACGCTATAATATAATTTATAGGTTTAGACCGAATTCATCATGAAAATTATAAAAATCCGGCAATATTCCTAGTAATACTTCTTATAGTCCCTATCCCAAATCAATTAGGAGCTAATTTAAATCAATTATAAGAGGAGATTAATTGATACAATACCATGTTAATGCTTGAACCCAAAAAATTCAATTGGGCAAGCATACAGTATTTTACTTTTTTCCCTAAAGGAAGAAATTTAAGGTCAGCTCTCTTTTGACGGCGACCGGAAACAGCGAAGACCACCATTAAAATGATGCCAGATCAGCATAAATGCACATTTAATAAGCTGATCTGTTTTCTTTATTTCGTTAAAAGAAAAAGGGTAAATGAGGACAATATATAAATTAAAATTGCGGCAAATTCGCCCAGTGAATGACTCAGCAGCGATCACTCTCGGAGAAGTACAATCCAATAAAGTTTCCGCAGAAAAGCACTCAGTGCCGTTGTGAGAGTGCGATCACACTCCTACTCGGACTGTAACTTCCCAATTATATACCTAACCAAACCGATGGCCGCCGTGAAGCGCGACGGTGATGATGGCGGCCCCGACGACGACGGGGAGCTCCGGCTGATAGCCATGCGCAAAGACGACTCATCCTGGCAATTCTGCAGAATCTCTCTCTGGTAGTTTCATTTGTTTTCTCTATTCATTTCAATTTCCCACGCTCTGGTGGACATCTCAAAATCAATTATGCATTTCTGTTCTGCTGAAACTTATATAGCTTTTCCGGCGATTAGTACGACTAGTCATGGCACTTATGGCTTGGGCGGAGAATTTTAAGTGCTTTTTAGTAAGACTAAACTACCTACATTGTGGTTTAACGGATTGATTCAACAGCTTTGACTCTGCATTGGATAAATTCTCGCTGAAATTGTTACTTTTTGGTTTGGCAATTTGATTTTTGGACTATTAAATGCTGTCCCCAGATATTTTGAAGGACCTTATTTAATTAGAGTTGAGGTTTAGATGATAGCTTCAGTAAATGCAGTTATTTATTAGTGTTGTTGTCGATGAAAATCATATATGATCTTAATGTTCATGGCATTATTAGAAAGGGGGTGTGGAACGTAAGATGCTTACTACGGTTACAAAGGCCCCTGGTTGATAGGACTACTTTACACCCCTGCTGCTATTTATCAAAGTTATATGATCTTTGCATCCCTTCATGAGGACAGCTCTATTTGCTTGATAACAATTAGTTATATGCCTTATCATTTACTTACAGTTCCGATCGAGTTGGTCTTAACGTAGAGTATATGAAAGATGGCTCCGGTGATGTAATTATGACTAAAGAAGAAGCACTGGCAAGGCTTCGCCTTTGTTCCCCTCCTTTGCAACTTGAGCAATGCACTCTCATTGGACAAGGAGAACGTGTTCTTGCCAATCCAAAGTCACAAGCTAAGGATGTATTTTTTGAGGCGGACGTAGAGAAGGTACATTCCTTTTGTTTGAATTATATTAGGTAGCTGTGAACAAGCCAAAAACTGAAGAAAATACGCTAATCTTAGAGCGGTTTTGAATGTTTACAGGATATTTTGTCTTTGGTTGATTGTCCTTTTGATATGTTAAGTTTCAAACTTTGTTAGTCCATTCTCATGTTATTCTGTTTATGTTACAGCGGATGAATGTAAGACATACACGGAAGCAGTGCAGATGTACTTTTGTAGTGAGGTGGGATCATCAAATGCGTGATGGAGAAACCGCAGTGCTTCCCCTCCCTGCAATCGTAAAGATGTTGACTACATGCATTGACGTCCATCCTACAATTGCAGCTTTCTTTAATATTCTAGCAAATCCGGGATGTAACTTGTCACCGGTATCAACTCTGCATGAAGGAACAAAGGACGGTGAAATGGATGTTTTCAAACTGGAATCTGATGCTTCAAATTGTGAAATGGATGCGCTTGAGCTCGAAAAGCAAATAGAATGCATAAGTAAATCCGCTGCTGCTTCTGAAATGGAAAGTTCAGAAAAGTTAGTTTTTGGAGTTCAAGGTGCGGATGGACTAATTAGGTTACAAATATTCGATAGATAATTGACTTGCATTCTTGTACTTATTACTCTGACGTGTCGTATTATTACTCATGCAGGAAAATTTTTTTGATGCTCCCTGCTTCTTTTCATTCGTGCCCAAAAATGCCATGCACCTTCTGCAATTTAGTTAGTCACTATATGGAAAGCTCTGGTGCATGTAACCCAAGTATGAATAACTGGTTATTCTATTAGTGCGTCTTTGTTTCATGTGTTACGGAGAATTTGGTAAATTGACTAGTTGCTGTTGATGCCTAGTAATTATCATCTCTTATGCGATTTACTCTTGGTTTACAGCTTTTATAAAAGAATACATGCAAAGTGGATTTGGCTGTTAATCTATGTATTTTACGTTCATGTATTACATTCATACTTTGTGCTGTGTTAATCTGTGCCAAAAACACTTCTCAGTGAACTTGACATTTATGCAGCTGATAAGAAATCTCAAGCTCAGGACAATTCACCTACTACTCATTCAAGCATCTTCAGATCTCATTTCTTTAGTCGGATGGAGGAGAAGATACAGCAAAACGCACCAACTCCTCCTCTGAAGGATCCAATCATCAAAGAGGACTCTGTAAAAAGGAGGACCTCATACAATCCACAAGCTTCAATAGCATATTTTGCTTCTGAGAAGTTGAAAATTTCTGGAAGTCCTGAAGGTTCATCCACACTCAAGGGTGCAGAAGCCTTTAAATCTAAACCAGGTGTCTATGTGAATTCAAAAGGTGGTACACCTTACAATGTTTCTTTGTTTGGTAATTCCTCCAATGCGGAGGACCACCACATAAGAAAAAAAGCCGCATTGGATAAATCTGTTCTGAAGAATAAAAGCATTGTAAAGAAACTCTTCTCAATTGATGAAGCCAGTAAAGATCATAGGATATTGGATGAATTAAGCGTTGCATCAGATCGGGAGCAGAGCAAGAAAATGCATTCCCAGCCAGAAATGGTGAATGATATTTCTCATGCAACAAATGAGAAGATGAAGAAGCCAAGTAGATCAGCGAGAAAGATAAGCCCCAAAATCTCTGGTGATAATGGTGAGATTACCTGCATAACAAAAGCCAAATTAGTGCCTTCTTCCGTAAACACAAGAAGGCTGACTCGTTCAGCAGTTCGTAAAATGGAGGAAAACAATATAAACAAAGAAAAGCCCTCATCAAATCGGGATACAGATTTGTTACAAGATGAAGGAACAGTGGTTTGTACCAGTAAGGAAGAAACAGCTTCAACTCTTACTACGAAAAGGAAAAGACAAGAGGAAAATGGGGTCACAAATCATGAAAAAGAGCGTGAGACCACAACCCATTTTGTGGAGATAAAGGAACCAAATAACTTGAGAAGATTGACACGGTCTGCAGCGCATAGGCAGACCGAAAACAGTGATATGGAGCCTCGGAAAAAATTGGAGGCAACCGAATCATCTAGTGCCGTAGAAGGAAACATCCGTTTAGAGAGCAGGGCATCAGAAAGGGAAGCCCCGATCAGTTTATGTTCCCCAACTGCAGGAAGATGCAACAAAGTGCAGAGGTTGGCCTCTGTGAAAGTTGTGCTTAGTATAGAAGGTAAGCAATTTCATTAATGCATAAATGTACATTATGCTATGCAATTTTCATTCGTTTCATTTCCATGTTATTTAGAATTAGTGCGGGAAAATAGCTATTATTGTTTGGGAATCCATACTTACTTCCATGCATGGCTTGGTAATGGTAACTGGTTGAAAATCCCTAAACCTATATTCTCTCTTGATTACAGTCCACTTAGACTTCCAAAAAAGCTGCAGTTATCTACAAAAAGCATATGATGCTTGACTGAATTTTGTATGAACTGGATATATCCTAACATGTTTCTCATTTTGTTGCAATTGCTGATAAATAGGCTACTATGTTTCTTTTAGGTGGTGATGATCCCACAGATTACACATGTAGCAATAGAGTTACGAGGAAATCAGTTACTGCCAAGAAGCAACAGCAACGTGAATCGGCCCTTCTCCTCAGATCTCGTCCTAGGACACGATCCCAGGATAAATCCTGAAAATCATGGAACTAAAAGGAGCCATCATTCCTGAAATTCCCTTTGGCACTGCCTGCACTTTTCAGTCCTCTTCCGTATTGTAAGGTATGCATCATGCATGGCGAATATAGGAGTTCAAAATTTCTGCTACTGTTTTGTTAATAAACGCGGCATTGGACTCTATTTAGCCATCAAACAATAACCATTAAGGTAAATGTAGCTCATGTGTACCTAAGTCACCGCCCCATGCTAACATAGTTGAACAACAAATTTAGCTTGTCAGTCAATACTCAGACAACCTCGCTCTCTGGTAAGGACAATGTAGTAATTGGGGGGTAATGATATTGGTTATCGGAGGTCTTTTGAGAACTAGAAGAACAAAAATCTCGTTAGCGAGGTTCAGAGGGTTATACGTTGAGTTAACACATCAAAGCAAGTCAGATTACGGAATCCAATGACCCTTTCGATCAGTTTCTTTTTTGCCACCATTATGCAGTCAGGTAACTTTAGGCCACAATCTATGTAGGATCCTCAACTTTGGAGACACGTAGGGAGTTTACGCTAGTTAGCAACGCTGTAGTACAAGATATTTTCGACCATCTTTCAACATCAAACTTCTGTCTGTGCTCTTTATTCTTATTTACTATTATTCGGCGAGTTTTTTGCTTTTCTCAGAAGTTAACAAAATGGTTACCTGTCGGCCATGGCCTCAATCATTATTAATCCGGCATAAGACAATTAGACTTGGTGTGCATTTTGTCTGCTTTTTCCAGATTGCCCAACATGAACACGATTGCCACATTTAATATATTACCATCATACCATGGTCTTCTTGATTAAACTTCTAATCTGGATTTCATTAGAGTATCATGCTTCTTATACCCCTAATATTAAATTTTTTTACTAATTTGTTCGACAGCTACGGATGAATTGTCTGATTTTTTTTTTTTTTAATTTAGGTTTATGACCAGGGAATTATTTGTAGTTGATGTATGTCTTTATCCTCTGTTGTCAAGCTCTATCAAATAAACATACCACAGTAGCTTTGAAAAAAGAAAAAGAAACAACGCCATAGCACGTGATTAGCTTTGGTTTTGTAGGAGAATTTTTGTAGCCATCTATATAACAGACCATGATTACCGACAGCAAGGGAGTCGAACACCACAAAAAAATAAAAAATAAAAAAAAGTTGCATTTACTACTGAATTAATGCATGAATGGGTTCCAAGTTCACGGCAGGTGACAACGTATACACCATATACGAATTCCCTCTTGCAAAAGGCGAATCCTAACAATAGGGATTAGTGGTACAAACTACAACATGAGCTCGCAAAATTTCCAACGTTATCGTTTTAAATAAGCAGCATGGCAGCACATTTCAAAAGGGATTTCTTTTCTTCTCTCTTTTCTTTTCTTTTTTTTTTTTTCTAATAACAAAAACGTTAATGTGCGGTACTAGGCGAGTACTTACTAAAATTGGACAAATTCCGCTCGAGTAGGTATTTTGCTGAAAAGAAAACAATTAGTAGTCAGCACAGCTCTTTATTTATTGGGGGTACAATGCACATTTCTTTTGTATGTAAGTACATAAAAAAAAAAAAAAAAAATCTTGGTAAATATGGGGCCAAAAATTGGGTTGCCCGATCAAGAACGCAAATTTCAAAATGATTGGAAGAAATGTTGTATTACTATTGATGAGGGTCAAACTCGATGACGTGGAATCAACGATCCGAAAGACGGAGATCTGCAAGACATAAATTAGCACTCCGAAAAACAAGTCAATATAGTGAGAAAAAATATGATATATAACACTTTGTAGAGAGAGAAAGTGATCAGAATTGACTCCCTGAGTAAATGTCTTCAGGTATTTATAGTGCTCCTTTGGGAGTACTGTTTATTCGGGTCTCACAGTAGAGTAGGATTAAATTATATATTTAATCTAGTTTAAGGTCTTAGAAATAATAATCATAATAATAATGGCCCAATGAGTCACTGTAAGGGCCTTTTGGCTCATAAAAACCCACTAGCCCAGACATTTGCCAAACTTTATTGGGTCGGGTTGACCATTAGGCCCATCAAATGCCCCTGCCAAGCCCTAAAAGTCATGTTGGTGATCTATTGGGCTTGGTAAATTTTTCAAAAGGGCGACCCGGCCCGGCTTACGAAACCCTAATTCTGGAAGCTTCCTTTGTAAGCCTCCGAGTGGTGATGAGCGCATGGGATTCGTTCTCGCCCAATCGATGCAATGGTCCAGATTAAACCGAAATTCAAAATTCGCAATGATGGCGTCGGTTCGAGTTCCAAGGCGACTGTTTAGATGCCTTTGAAGTTCTATAAAAGGAGTGTTATTTGTTCTAGATCCTTTCCATTTTTTGCTTTTATCGTTTTTTTTTTTCTCTCATTTTCCTCCGGGGATCTTATCGCTTCCGTTTGAAGAATCCGGCGAAGTCACTCTGATATTCAACTTCCCGAACCGTCCTTATTATTCTTCGCGTAAGTCTTTCTGCCTTTCTTTTGATTCTGTCCCCGATTTTCCCCCATCTTTTTGTTAGTTCAATTATTCTAGAATTATGGGTAAGGAAAAGGTTATCAGGGTAGAGGATATGGCGAACGTGTTGGACGAAGATGATATGACGAGTATAGAAGAGGCGTACAGTTTAATCTCTTTGCATTCTAGGTTGCCCGAAGGGGATGAAAGGGCTCATACCCCACCCGAAGGGGAAATTACCATTTACTATAAATTTTTAGAGTACGGCTTGCATTTCCCGATCTTCATATTCTTCGGGACGATCGTTGAAGCCTTTAAGAGGCCACTTGCTCAATTTACCCCGAACATAATTACGGAGGTATTAGCTTTCATATATTTATGCCATAAGACCGGGATTACCCCCGATCTATTTTTGTTTAGATGTTTTTATAGGTTAGCTCATTCGGGTAAAAATTACAAGGGTTGGTTTAGTTTCACCTTGAACCAGAAGGGGGCAAAGTCCGAACTAGTGATGACGAACCCTACTTCCAAGCAGTGTCGCGATGTGTATTTTTATATCGATTCGAAAAATTGGCTGATCGGTTCGACTGGGATCACGACGAAGTGTCCACTACTAACGTGGATCCCTGGACCGCCGAAGATAAGTTAGGATTCGAAGCTCATCGGGCAGATGTGAACAAATTGGTGGAATATCCCGAAGGCCTTGACTGGAAGACCATATCGGGCATAAGTAATTCGATCCATCACCTGTGCCAAGGTACCGATGCGCAAGGTATAAGCTCCTTTTGCACTAACTTCCTTGTTCTTTTTCGTTTTGGTAGGTTTTAATTTGTACTGATGGGATCAGGACCCTTCGATGATTCAGAGTCTGAAGGCGAGGAGGCGAAAGAGGATCAGGTTCCGCCTTCTTTGAAGGAGCAGCAAGTGGTCAGCGCTTCGGCCGACCCCTCTAAGAATCAAAAAAGGAAAAGAGGGCCAATGGATTCTTCGCAGAATTTGAAGAAAAACCCCATCATCCCAGAGAGTGAGAAAATCCAGAGCACCCTTCCGCCGATCACCCCTGTAACTCCGTTGGCTTTCCAGAATCCTCTGGCTTCCGATGAGCCACCATCAGGGGATTCATTCCTTCGATATCTGGCCTCCAAAGGTCATGTGGGTGCCGACGGTGAGCCTTCTTTGCCGAAAGACCCTCCTATTATCCCCCCAGGGTCAGCGTGGGTGCACATCGGCCCTCCCTGCATTCTTTGCCTCGGATGACGCCTCCCGGAGGATCTCCAAGTTCGTTGGAGTGCATGAAGATGGTAATTTTGTTATCCGCAATAATTTTATGTTATGCGGTTTTATACCCTGTTACTTATATTGTTTGGTTTTCAGGCTTTGTGCTCGTTGGATGCCTTTAGCCGTCGTATTTGGCACTTGGAGGCCGAAAATCAATTTGCGGCGAAGCATTTAAAGGAGAACACTCAGAGATTGAACAACGCAACCTCCGTGAGTTAAGACCTGAAGAAGTAGGTAGCCAACCTGGACGGGAAGCTGAAGAAGGCCGAAGAGGATAAGAATAAGTTGGTGGAGAATCATGAGTCGGCCCTTGCCAAACAGAAAGAGTCCACCATTCTGAAGTCGGAATTGGACAAGTATTTGAAGGCAGCCGTGGAGGCCGTTTTGGATTCGAGGGAGTTCGGGGATGGAATAAATAGCATGATGGCCCCGTCGATGGACATCGGTAAGAGGAATGTGGTCCTGCTAATTAGGAAGGCTCAAGCCGAAGGAAAAAGCATCGAACCATTCTGGCTAAGTATGCCGATGAGGAGGGTGATGGGAAGACATCGGCCATTCGGCTGAGGCTTCGGGATTTGAACTTGGACACCCTCCCAGTCAGGGAGGAGATATCTAAGATTGCCCCGCTGGTTTCTTCTCTATCGGACATCAAGAACGTCAAGCGTTTGCCCTCCAAGTTGTTCGCCATGTTGAAGGGAGTGATTACTCCTCCCCGATCACCAGCAGGTCCTGATGATCCTCCGAAGGTCATTGTTGCGGCTTCTGTTAACACCGGGGGTTCGGATGGGAATGGGACAAGGAACGAGAAAGAGTCTACGCATGATGAGGTATAAACGGCTCTTTTAGTTATTAGGGCTTCTTTTCTTTTAATTTATAACCTGTACTGGCCTTCAGGCCTTTTATCCCTACCTTGGCAGATGAATAAATGTTTAGTTTTAATGCGTTATGCTTCGCAAGTTTTTTTTTATGTGCGCATTATTATTATTTTCGTTTACCTTTGGTATGCATTTCAGATCGAGAAAAAAGAAGGTGGTGAATCGCCCCATCCTGGTGATCGATCATATGGTGCATCGTCCCATCCTGGTGGTCGATCATATGGGGGCAACCCCCATACCCCTGGTAGTTGGTTCGATGGCAATGTTCCGTGTATACAAGTGAAAATTCCTGATCCTTTTCATGACCCAATGAAATATCCCTACTTTGCTGCCATTGGTGAGACGTTAATGGGCTTCCCTGTAGATCGATCAGTGGGTCGATCGTCCGACCTAGAAGAACAATTGAAGGAAACCCTAGCGTTGATTCAAACCGATGACAAAGGGATTTTGCTTCAAAGGATTGAAGATTTGGAATGGACTGTAGAAGACCTTCGGGAGCAGCTTGTGCAAACCGAAGATTACTAGGAAGATCATATGAAAAACAGCATCGCATTGGAAATCGATGCCAATGAAGTATTGGATACATTTAAGGCGAAACTTAGAAATTTTAGGAGGATTAACGAAGGGCCCGAACCAGATCCTGAAGTCTTTATCCCTCGGTCACATTATGAGCAGACCCTTCAACACCTTCGGAAAGTATATTCGCTTGTGTTGGTACGTTGGGTCAAAGCTGGTGACAAACTCGAAGCTTCTCGGACCTATGTTGTTCAGCTCCGATCTTCGCTAGAAGCTCTCTTATCTCAAGTTTAGACCTTGGAGGGACTATCGACGTGTCAGCTTACGTACCGGAGGACGATCCTGCCCAGCGATGCTAATTTAGCCCCCTCGATCTTTGGAATAGAGAATTTACGAAAATGCTAATTTAGCCCGATCAGATTAATAAATAATTTTAGTGACTATTCATTTGTATAGGACATATATACTTCGGATCTACCGAACTAGAAAGCCATTGATGTAATTACATAGGCATTTGTCTTTTTTGAACACACACACACACACATGTATATTAAGCTATTCTATTGTCATGCAACAGTAACTTGTTAACAGAGTAGGCCGAATGTTGTCATGCAATAGAACTTATTGCTGCTTGGTTACTTTCTGTTGGTAAAATCTTCAGCAGTACGATTGGCCGGCATCAAGCCGCAACAACATTGGAATCGTTCCCTTTCGGATGACCAGCGTATGGTATAAGGTCGAAGGGACCTATCTTCTGAAGTGTGTTACGGACGGAAAATTCGTTCCACTTCGGCCGACCAGCGTATGGTATAAGGGTGAAGGGGACCTATCGTCCGAAGTGTGTTACGGACGGAAAATTCGTTCCACTTCAGTCGACCAGCGTATGGTATGAGGCCGAAGGGGACCTGTTGTCCGAAGTGTGTTACGAAAGGAAAATTCGTTCCACTTCGGCCGACCAGCGTATGGTATAAGGCCGAAGGAGACTTGTTGTCCAAGGTGTGTCACGGACGGAAAATTCGTTCTACTTCAGCCGACCAACGTATGGTATAAGGTCGAAGGGGACCTGTTATCTGAGGTGTGTTATGGACGGAAAATTTGTTCCACTTCGGCCGACCAGCGTATGGTATAAGGCCGAAGGGGACCTGTCGTCCGAGGTGTGTTACGGACGGAAATTTTGTTCCACTTCGGCCGACCAGCGTATGGTATAATGCCGAAAGGGACCTGTCGTCCGAGGTGTTACAGACGGAAAATTCGTTCCACTTCGGCCGACCAGCATATGGTATAAGGCCGAAGGGGACCTGTCGTCCGAAGGGGACCAGGTTCGGGTTAATTACACCTTCAGCCCTGTTGCAAAATATCAAAAGGTAAGGCTAAGAAATTACAATCGTTTGCCTCGGCTACACGTAAAATCTTTTGAGGTTTTGGATGTTCCACCATCGAGGTATGACTCGAGGTTCTTCGTCACAAGTCTGGAGACGATAGCTTCCCGAAGGCGACACCTCGATCACTTGATAGGGTCCTCCCAATTAGGTGGGAGCTTCCCAATCAATTCAGCGTGGGCATTTTGCCTAAGAACCAGATCCCCAACCGACCGGTCACAGGATCGAACCTTACTGCTGTAATATTTGGCCATCTGGTGCTTGTATCTCTCCTCCTTGGCCTTGGCAACGTCTCTTCTTTCATCTAGGAAGTCAAGGCAACCGATGGAGATCTTCGTTTTCTTCCTCGGCGAAGTTTACCACCCGAGGACTGGGTACCTCGATTTCTCAAGGATGATCGCTTCAACCCCATAAGCCAAGCTGAAGGGGGTGGCTCCAGTGGTCGTCCTCATGGTCGTCCTTATTGCCCATAGGACATGAGGCAGCTCATTGAGCCACCCTTTCTTAGCTTTCCTGAGTCTTGTCTTCATTCCTTGCAATATGGCGCAGTTGATATTTTTAGCTAGACCGTTGGCTTGGGGATGTGCCACGGCTGCAAAACATCTTTCGATGCCTATCTCTTCGCACCATGCATGAAAAACACCTAACTCAAACTGTGTTCCGTTGTCCGACAGGAGAACTTTGGATATCCCAAAACGACAGACCACGTTCTTCCAGAAAAACTTCGCCACAGCTTCCCCCGATATAGTTGAAAGAGATTTAACCTCCATCAACCTGATGAAATAGTCTATGGCCACGAAGACGTGAGTCAATTTTCCAGGCGCCATCTCGAACGGACTGATGATTTTTGTCCCTCACATGTAGAAAGGCCGAGGACTATCCATCGGTACCATCTCGTGGTTAGGCAGCCTCGGGATCGGGGCATGTCTTTGGCACTACTCACACCTTAGCACCAACTCATAGCAATCCCGAGCCATGGTCGGCCAGTAATATCCTGTTTGGAGAATCTTCTTGGCCAGGTTCCTGGCTCCTAGGTGTGCTCCGCAGGCTCTCTCATGCACACTTTGCACCAATAGATCGGCCTTCAAAGGACCCACGCATATGAGCAACGGGGTAAGGTACCCGCATTTATAAAGGACTCCGTCTCAAACAAGATACTTTGGGGCCTTCAGACGGACCTTTCTGGCCTCTCGGGAATCGCTGGGTAGGGTGCCATCTGCAAGGAATTGTACGAAGGGAGTCATCCAAGATTCCTCCTCAAGCACTACCGGCTGAACTTCCCAAAGATCAATGCTGGACTGAGTGAGGATTTTCACCAAGACTCTTCGTGTGAGGTGAGCGTGTGCCGATGATGCCAACTTGCTAAGGGCATCGGCCTACTTATTCTTTGACCTTGGAATGTACTGCACTTCCATATCTTCAAATCCTTCCATCAGCTGCCGAACTTTTATGAGGTACCTCTGTAGCAACACTTCTCGGGCCTCATAAAGCCGGAGTACGTGATTGACGACCAGAGAATCGCTGAAGATGGTCAGGGATCGAGCTCTAACCCTAAGAGCCACCGTCAGACCATCGATAAGGGCTTTATACTCTGCTTCGTTATTGGTCGTGGGAAACTCTAACCGAAAGGGCATATGTGATCTCAGAACCCTGCAGGTCGGCTAGAATTATCCCAGCACCCGATCCGTCTTTCGACGGCGATCAATCTACGTGGAGAATCCACCTTTCCCCCTTTTTGGTAGATGACGATCCAACTTCTATTCGATCCCCCTTGTCATCACTTCCTGCTCCTTCGGTGATAGGCATTTCAACCAGGAAATCGGCTAAAGTCTGGCCCTTGATGGCCGTTCAAGGTTGAAGTTGGATCTCGTGCTCCCCTAATTCGATGGCCCACTTCGTCATCCTCGCTGAGACTTCAGATTTTTTGAGAACCTGCTGTATAGTCTGATCCGTGAGGACCTTGATTACATGTGCCTGAAAATATGGACGAAACTTTTGGACTGTCGTGACAAGACTAAGGACCAATGTCTCCATTGGGGAATAACAAGATTCGGCTCCATGCATACTTATGACAACACCTCAGTTTAGCACTTACCGAAAATTGCATCAGATCACTCCCCCCTTTTGGTTCATTTTAGTAAACTTCTTCAACCTGTCAGTCATCCCAACTCTTTCAGATACCTACTAGCTTAGGAATCTCACGAAATATGGAGGGAATGGCTTGAAGCTAATTGGAATAAATCTGTGGAGCTCCATGATGCTCTGGAGGACTTCACGAATAAAGTGAACGAATGGAAGTTTAATTACTTTGGGGATATTTACAGAAGGCAAAGGAGAACGGTAGCTAGACTGGCGGGTATACAGAAATCTCTCGCACTTCACCACTCCATTAATCTGCTATAGCTGGAGAAAGATTTGAGAGAAGAGTTTGAAAAAATGGCAACTGAAGAAGAAAGCCTAAGAGCCCAGAATTGCAGAATGACTTTCTTGAGCAAGGAGATCGAAACACCAGAATCTTTCATTCGGCTCAGAGAAACAGAAATGCTAAGCTTAGGATTGCAGAAATGCAGCTGGACAACGGCACTTGGACCTTAACATTCTTAGTGAGGAAGCAACGTGATTCTTCAAAGAGTTGTACACACATCCCCCGACAGAAACTTGCACCAATTACCATGTCAGGGATAATTTCCCTCAGCTCTCTCAATCTCTGTTGAATCTGTTGATTGCCCCTATCACCGACGAAGAGGTCAGACAGGCAGTATTTGATATGAACCCTTCAAAAGATGGAGGATGTGATAGGTTTAATGTTGCTTTCTACAGGAATAATTGGCAGACCATAAGCTCCAGTGTCATTAATATGGCAAAAAGGCTTTTGGTACAGGGGAAATAGACTCAAGAATCAATCAAGCATTAATCGTATTAATACCTCAAGTACACCCCCTGAATGGTTTCATAATCTCCATCCGATCAGGCATATCAACACTTCGGCGAAGATTATTTCAAAGGTGGTGGCAAATCGTCTGAAGTTGGTTATCCCGGCTCTCATCTACCCAGGACAGTCGAGCTTTATTAAAGGCAGAGGCATTATAGACAACATAGTTTTGGCTCAGGAAGCAGTACACTCCATGCGCATGGCAACCAGAAAGAAGGGCTGGATTGCTATCAAAATTGACCTAGCAAAAGTCTTTGACAGAGTCCGATGGGAATTTATCGAAGACACATTACGAGATACCAACATCCCGCATTACCTTTATAGCCTCATTCTCAGCAGCCTCAATATGGGATCAACACAAATCTTATGGAATGGTAAGAAGGGTGAATCCTTCAAACCTAACAGAGGCGTGAGACAGGGCGATCCATCCTCTCCTTACGTGTTTATACTGTGCATGGAGAGACTCTCCCAGGCAATCAACATAGAAGTTAACTCAGGGCGTTGGAAACCACTCACTTTCAGTAACAGTCAAGCCTCACTTTCTCACTTATTTTTTGCTGACAATCTTATTTTATTTGCAGAAGCAAGCATGGATCAAGCACAGATCATTCGCGACACTCTATACTCTTTCTTTCAAGCTTCGGCCAAATGATTAGCAACAGCAAGTCAGTAATGTTTTGCTCTCTGAATGTGAATGAGACTTGGCAATCAACATTAGCCACTTACTCAATGTCCAACTGGTGGACAACCTGGGAAGATATTTGGGGGTTCCAATAATTCATGGCAGAATCAAGAAGGACTCCTTCCAACCTTTAATTTGCAAAGTCAAACAGAGAGCCGCAAACTGGAATCCTCACAAAATCAGCCTAGCATGACGCTTTACACTATGCAACTCGGTGCTTGCTGCCCTTCCCATTTATATTATGCAATCTCAATTGATCCCAAAAGGCATCAGTGACGAGATAGATAAACTGAGAAGGAATTTCCTATGGGGAGCCAAATCAGGCGAAAGAAGGCTAAATATGGTGAACTAGAATAGTGTGTGTCAACCCAAAAATCGAGGTGGTCTAGGGCTACGAAAACTCGGAGATGTGAATACATCCTTAATCCTCAAATTGGCCTGGGACATAATATCGGACAGGAAATCACTATGGACTTCCATTTTCAAAGCCAAGTACATGAACAGATCGCAATGGTCCTCTCCTAAGGAGAACTCTCACCTCAGTAAGCAAATAGCTTCAGTTTTGTCTATAGCTAATTCAAACATTAAATGGGTCGTCGGAAATGGAGAATCTATTTCCTTTTGGGAAGATCTCCTGCTAGGTACAGACAAGCCATTGAAGCAGCTAGTATTGACCACCATCCCACCTAACCTCTAACAGCTCAAGCTCAAGGACTTCACTGATCCAAAGGGGAATTGGAACTGAAACATTATTAGGCAGTGGATTGACGATCAAACCCAGAAGCTTATCATGGCTACTCCACCGCCGGATCCATAGCTTGGACCGGATAAACCGACATGGAAGTGGACAAACTTTGGAAAATTCACCACCTTCTCAGCCTATACAACACTCAATTGTAACACATGGAATCCCACTAACAGCAAGTGGAGTGTGGTTTGGAAGTGGATGGGACCAGAAAAAATAAAACTCTTCGTGTGGTCCCTTATCAAAGAATTCTTAGTGACTAACGTAACGATGTCCCAGACACATGGCTAATTCGGATGCTTGCTACTTCTGTTCATATCCAGAAACGCTATTCCATCTATTCAGGGACTGCTCGAAATCAATGCAAATTTGGTCGTTTATTGGCAGTCCCCCCAATCACAGGTTTTGGACTGAATTAGATTGGACAGTTTGGGTTTCCTCTAACTTGTCCTTCTCTGTTTCACAGGATTCGCAGAGATGGCGAACAGTTTTTGCGATGACCTGCTAGAAATTATGGACTGCCAGGAATGAGGAAATCTTCGCGGACAAGCATATCAACACAAGGAGCCTCTCCTTCTCAATTATGGCTGCAATAAAAGAAGTGGGAAGAATACGTAGCAGAGATGGGTTCTTCAACTGTATTGCACCAACACAGCCTCCACCCCAGCATTGGGTTCGCCTAAACACTGATGGGGCTGTTTGTCCCACATCCAAAAATGTTGCAGCGGGTAGAGTAATCAGGAACTCTGACGGGCAATGGGTCATTGGTTTTGCCGCAAAGCTAGGATATTGTTATGTTTTGGAAGCTGAGTATAGGGGCGCATACTTTGCACTGAAAATAGCATGGCAACTTGGCTTCAAGAAATCTCAGCTACAAATGGACAGTCTAAATGCTGTACATAATGTAAATTCGATAGACCCCCCTTTTGTTTCTAGTAATGTCTTGCCTAGAATCAAGACTCTTTTAAGTTACCAGTGGGATGTAGATACTTCCCATATCAAGCATAGGGGGGACGAAGTTGCAGACTCCCTAGCTAAATTAGGTCTATCGTTACAGCTAGGGTCACATATTTTGGCAAATCCTCCGAGCGACTGTCTAGAAAAATTAGCTGATGATTGTCCGCCCTCGACTAGAAGAACTTATCTTTTGTTCTAAGCGTTAACGCTCCCTCGGTAATGAAAAAAAAAAACATGTATCAAGTGGTTTAGGAGTTAGCAGAATCCCTATATTCTTCAAGGAAGACCCCAAATACCATGGAAACGTCTGTTTCTCATGAAATCCTAGTTTTGTCACTAACACATATGAACATATGCACCACCATCGTTTATTCCAGTTAGACTGCGTTTCTTTTAATTTGTATTGGGGCAACAAAAAAAAGGGTACATGAAAAAGTGAGACCCGCAGTATTAGCTAGTTTTAAATAGAAACGTCAATGGTGTAGACTGCCGAATATTTTAACGAATTGAGAGGTTTAAGAAAAAAGATTTTATCTTAAAAATAAACGAAAAATAGAGAGAGATTCTACATTTGTAGCCTTGCGAATGAATGCCACGACGCGGAAGATTCTTGACATCGCACATTTTCATGTTTTAAATCTAACTCATCAAGTGCCTCGCAATTTTGATTACTCGGTAAAATACAAGGGAACTAACGAATGAGCTAAACAAAGGGAAAAAAGAAAAAGAAAAAAAAAACTAATTGCTAGTAATTAACCAAAGGTGTCAGTTAATTAAGTAAATCCCTTGAGTTATTTGTTAAACAAACCAATAGGCAATAGCCGTCGTAATTTTAAATGATACGCATGAGTGCATATCGGGAACGATTGAGCAGTGGAAGGTACGTATATCTATAGATTAATTATATACAAGAGAACACAATACTTATAATTTAATTTCTCAACGGATTTTATAAAAACGTTATCCGCGTATTTGTTCCAGAGGAGCCTGGAATTCTTGACTGTACTGCCAAGTGGATTTGTGCCTTGATTATGCCCCGGTATATCATATCCGATTCGATACACATTGATGTGATCGTTTCAAGTATTTGCAATATTTCTTCTACCAAAAAAAAAAAGAAAAATTAAAAAAAATTGAACGATATGCAAAATTTTGCAACTTGCGCATTGATAGGATGGTAAAGACGCAAACTTCCCTGATTTGAAATGACAATGATGAACGCATAATCTATTATGTATCATTTACTTTTGTTATTAGAATTAACAATATGGTTTTATGGTGAAAACTCAAATACCTTAAATTATAGGTTTGCGCTTAGAAAATAGCTAGGTTGTAATAGAAATTACCATCAACTAGTTAAGGTAGAAACTCTTTAAGAAAAGCTTCAATCCTTAATCTACTAGCTTTCGCATCTTTTCACTTCATAAATCATTATAAATCTCTCCCTCTCAAGTCCCGATTAAGTGCAGACAAAAGCTTGGTTAACATATAAACATGCACGCTTATTGTTTGTGTGCGTACATTGTTAAGTTTAAATCGAACTTCTCATCCAACACTTACGTGCGTATTTAATAAAATACCTCACACAATAGTCATGAACTGAATTTTTTTTTTTCACAAATGTTGGCAGGCTAAAAATTCACCATAATTAAATAAGGAGAAGTAGTCGGCCAATCAAGTGTAATGTTCGTTTCCAAATTTGTAAAATTAATATTGTTATACGACTTTTATAAATAATTAAAATACATAGTAAGCTGGCCACAAACAATTATTAATACATTCAACTCGAATAGTATATACTCCACTTTATTGTCCCTATATATAGTTCGTCAGACAACATAATTTTTTATAAACATTTCTCCCGTTTTCCTGGCATTCCTTCTTCTTCATCATTTTTTAACTTTGAAATCTTCTTCTCAACTCCATATTCCAATATCAATAAAGTTTATAAACTATAAAGATGCTAACGGCGACTAGTGCGGCCGCCGGAAGAGCCCGATCGATGTGGTTAATGAAACTGCAGTCGGGCTTCCGGACCGCCGTGGCCTGCGCCATAATAGGCTGCGCGGCCCTTTACACACCGGCCGATTTCTCAACCCAAATCAGATACCCATCACTTTCCTACGTAACAGCCATCCTAATCCTTTCCGGCGACGCCACCTTAGGCGACACCATTAGAGGGTGTTGGCATGCAGTATGCGCCACGCTTCAAGTGTTGCCATTCACCGCCGCGGCCGTCATGCTGGTCGGGTCGACCAGATTCTCACCGGCGGTCGGGGCCGCGGCGGTGGCGCTGACGGCGTTCCTGGTGTGTCTGCCGAACACGTCGTTGCTGACGAAACGGCTGGCGTTCGGGCAGATTGTGATCATCTACGTGGATGTTATAGTTCATGGGAAACAGCATCCGGAGGAAATCATGCACCCGGTTCATATTGCAGCTAATACTGGACTTGGAGCTGTCGCGGCTTTCCTTGCTCTCTTGTTTCCGTACCCTCGTCTTGCTTATCACCAGGTATTTTTTGTTCCACTAATTTTACTCTGATATCTCTATCTTTCACGAACGTATATGAATTAATTTACGTGCAGGTAGAGCTAGCTTGTTTACTATTTTTTTCGTTACAGAAAAATAATTTATTCTATTATACTATTTTCGTTTGACGAAATGATTTTTTTTTGGAAAGAGAGTACTATTTCTTTCTTTCTTTCTTTTCTTTTTTTTATCTCTTTTTGTTGGTTACAAATATATCTCCGGTTAAAATATGAAAACTGATGCATAATTTGTTGTATCGCCGATCAAAATTTTTGAATTTGTGTCACGTAGTAGTTTCAGAGAGCGGGTGTAATACACCAAATTTTTTCAAATAAATCTGTAGTTCTTCACTTGTTTTACTGGTAATTCATCCGGGGTAGAGTTCACATTCTTACAATGTTTACCGGCAATCGTTAACTTTGATCACCTTTGTTCTTTTTTTCGAGAGGAGTAAACTTTTACTTAGTTCTCACTCCGGTGCTTAATGTAAGACATTTTAACTTATCCTAAGTTTCACCTAATATATATTTTTAATTAACAAGAAAAATCTTAAAAATATATTTTCACGTTAGTTATATTCTTTTAATTATTATGAAATATTTTTAAGAGTTTTTTATCAATTAAAAATGCATACTAGATGAAATCTATGATAAATCAAAATGTCTTAATATTAAGATCAGAGGGACTAGTAAACTAGATCTTTGGTCCGAGTATTGAAATATTTTGGCGAGTCCTTAACCAATCTGAAAATTTCACTTTTAGAATATCAACATTCGGGAACAATTGTTAGACAAATCAATCTACCTATCGGCCCAATAGTAATAATAAGCTTCTAATTTTTCATTATTTTTTTCTTGTTTTTGTTTTTAACTTTTATATTTTAAGAATTCGTCTTCTTCAAATATGACCATCATGACTCCGATTGACGGAGTAATATATAAATAAATAAACTTCTTTTGTTTGTTTTATTTAAAAAGGAAAAAGGGATTTTTATTTTGGGAATGGAGGGAGTGAATTGTGTTTCGGCTTCTTGATTTCTCCATATGCTTCTTAACTTGGTTCGTCCATTTTATGACGTTGTTTTCATTAAAAGAACTGGGTTTTGGATTTTGGGATTGATGAATTTAATACGTTATAAAACTCAAGAAGGTCCACAATAATATATATCCACATACGACAATAATGAAACCTCTGAAAATCCTAGTTGAGATTGAATAAAGACAAAAATAAATCTGATAAGAAAATGAAGGTATTTTTTTTAATATATAAATCGTGTGACTGTATGTTCCCCAAAATAATTGGAATTGGACTTGTGAAGAAAAAGATCAAATGAAAAAGGGTGAATTGGACTCTAAATCATTCCTATTGCTACAGACAGCAGAATGAAGTTATAAATTCTGAATAGAACAGTAGTACTCCATATTAACTATCAACTGGCAAACGTCACTTTCCTTAACAAAACAAACGGTTGATATCAGTTGCCTCGTAAAAAAGGTTCATTAAATTTGAGATTTCTGTCCAGAAATGTTGTCCTGACCCCAAATGTTTCCCAGCCACGTACCCCTTTATGTCGTTCCTCCTTGTTAATATACCCTCAAGCCAGTCTCTGGACCTCTTTCTTTCCCTTTTCTCCCGGCAATGACCTTTGCTCAATCATGGATTCCAAAATATTCTGAATAACTCAATTGGCGCCAGATTGTACACGCTCATTTATGTGGATTGAGAAGACAACATATGTCTTGAAGAGAAATCAAAAAAAAAAAAAAAAAAACCTTCAATTTCATTTTAATAGTGAACTACTAGTTAGTATTAAGAGGGAAAAAAAATAGAAGAAAGATTTTGTAACTAAAATTATCTGTACGTACATTCTTCACTCCATGTTTTGATGACTTCAATCCAGGCAATCGTTCGGAATCGTATGTGTGTGTCCACTTGACAAGCCCGTCAGCCATGAAGAGAAATTTTGCATAAAAAGTACAAAAAACTTTTTTGTGAAAAAGAAAAAGATGCACAGTAAAAATGGGAATCGAATTCTATGGAGTCGAACAAGTAGTTCCGATTTTAAGTTTGGTAAAATTTTTAGTGTTTGAACTGGCATTCCTAATTCAATAAATCATGGTATAGTAGCTTATAGCCTTAACCAATGTCAACAGGTTCAGAAACTCTGCCAATCATATGTTGAGAATGCAATAGAAAGGACAAACCTCTATTTGAATGCCTCAATCTCGGAAAGCCAGATCACAGCCATGGACTTGATCTCCCAGGCAAAGCCCTTGGCTGTTACAGGAAATAGGCTCCTTCGGGCTATAACTCTGATGCAGGTTAGACGATTCTGTTACGTTTTTTAAAGGATTAATTGCAATTACCATGTTAGTTGTTATTCATAAGGCTTAAACTTCCTGGCTGTCTACCTTAAACAGGATGGTATTTTATGGGAGATGCCTTGGATCAGATTCTCCAAACGCCAGTTCATAAACCCAGCAGACAGACTTCAAGAAATGGAAACATCGATGAGAAACATGGAAATTGTCCTTAAATACTCTGCTGGATCACCTACTCAAGAGTTCACTGATATCGTTCTTAGTATGTTGCCCCATCTTCGTCTAAAACTTGAACGCGCCAGATGTTTTCTGCCGTACTCAACCACGGTGCCAGAGCCGAGAGAGGAGTTGATTGAAACTCTCATAACGACCAAGCAGAAAATGAACTTCCTGGAGAGCAAAAGCCTTTCGGCATTTTTCTTCTTGTCTTGCGCGGAAAATTTCTTGAGGGAGTCCATCACAAGACAAAAACCTGAGCCTATTTCAGGAGGTTGTACAACGGAAGGCGACGAGCCAGAAGGCCTCAAAGCAGTACAACTAACTGGGCTGAAGAAAGTGTACCAGAAATGGATTTCGGAAATGAAGAATGAAGGGTTACTATTTGCATTCAAGTGTTCAATTGCTTTGGGTCTTGCGGTGCTAATCGGCGTGACATTTGACCAGAAAAATGGTTTTTGGTCAGGCCTAACAATCGCTATCAGTTTCGCTCCAGGAAAACAAGCAATTTTCACACTGGCGAATGCTCGGGCACAAGGAACAGCAATTGGATCAGTCTATGGGGTGTTAGGAGCCTTCGTGTTCAAGAATCTTGTTGGCATAAGATACCAGAAGCTCGCTGACATAAGATTCGTCGCTGTTTTCCCTTGGATAATTTTTACTAGTTTTCTAAGGAAGAGTCGGATGTATGGTGAGGCTGGTGGTATTTCTGCTGACATTGGAGCTCTATTGATCCTAGGGAGGCACAACTACGGAGCTGCAAATGACTTTGCAATAGCCCGGCTATCAGAGGTTGTCATCGGACTAAGTTGTTTTATCCTCGTAGAGCTGCTTTTGCAACCAGTCATGGCATCCACTTTGGCCAAGCGACATCTCTATCTCAGCCTTAGAAAACTACAAGATTGCATAGTGCAAACAGCTCAACCCTCAAGAGAAAAGAATCAATCACCCCTGAACTTCCAAGAGTTCGACAGAACACATCATCATCTCAAGTCCCATGTCGATGAGTTTGAGAAGTTCATTGACCAAGCAGAGCTAGAACCGAATTTCTGGTTTTTGCCATTCAGAGGTGATCGCTACAGGAAGCTCCATGAGTCCTTGCTAAATGTTGTTGATCTACTGTGTTGCACAGCCAACTACCTCGAATTGGTTCCAGTAGAAATACAGAATCAATTTGAAATGTGGAAGGAGCTTCAAAATCAAATAGATGAGGCCTTCGAGGCTTGCAACGACACCTTGCGCTCTTCATTAAGCGACCTCGAGAAAGCCAAAATATTGAAGTCATATCGAGTAGCTCAAGAACTACAAGAGGGAAACCTACTAGAAGATCTTGAAAATGGGAACTGCCAAATATTAAGAACGTCATATGGGTCTGTCATAGAAGACACACACATAGAAAAGTTTGAAAGTTCTTATCTTCAGCAGCTCAAAAAGATTACTGAAGACATCAGGGAGAGTGAATGTGAGGCAGAGTTCGGAGGAATTCAAGCATTGCCTGCTTTGGGATTCTGCATAAGCTGTTTAATGAGAGAAGTACAAGGGGCTTTCAAGCTTACAAAAGAACTGATACCATGGGAGACAACTTTGATGTAATGAGCAACTGTGAGTCTATGATTGATGTCAAGCGTGTATGTATGGCAGGATCACATCACTCGGCTGCCCAAGCAGAATTATGTTACCTAGGATATTAATATAAAGATATACCCTCCGACCATGGAAACCTTTCACATCTCTCACCCACTAGAACACAAAAGTTCAAGCTATGTTACAAATTAGATACAGAGCAACATCCAAATGTAGCTAAGTTTCTATATTAAAATTTAAAAAATTCTAAAGAAAATCCAGTTTATGATCAACAATAGAAGAGCCACTGTATCAAGTATATTTGCCTAGGAGGTACCATACCCACAATTAACTACAACTAGTCAAACTTGAAACAACTAACAAAATTGGGCTCTCAATTACCCTCGTATTTGGGGTCGGCCATCACATAATGATAAGCAATCACAAGTACAAATATAAAGATACCAAGAAAGTTGGCGAAGAAGCCCAGATCTTGATCGTCAATCATCTGTCACAAGAAGCCCAAAAATAACAGCACGAGCATAAGGGTGACAGGCATCTTCCAAAAGATGTTAATGGTTTCAAAAAGGAACAACTATGCCTATTAGGTAAATTAAATCAGAAAGTTTACAAGATGGGTTTTATCAATAATATACCTATTCCATTCAATTTACCATTGTAAACACAAGATAACTAGAAAGAAAAAGGTAGACGCTTTACATGACAATTCGTGTTCTGCAGCTACTATGCAAACTGTATAACCTTACTATATATATGATACGTGCAATAAGGACCTTAAATTAACTATCATGTTCCCTTCAACTCAAGCACTTTCCAGCATTCCCCAGCCAAAAAGCTGGATGGAACAATATCTACGAAGGAGTTGAGAACAACCATCACACGTTTATCGCTAAAACGCAAGAAGTGTATGAGGTATGTCAATAAATCCACCTAAAACCTAGTCTAAAACATCAGAAACTAACAGTTTCTTAAATGAAAGGCTCTGAAAATAAAACAACAGCATCTGCGTATCCCAAACCAAAAGCAACCTCGCCTCAAACAATAAGGATGACTAATTTGCCTAGAATCAACATATTAAACCCTTAAGTATTGAACAGATGGAGAAATCCCTGACAAAATTAAATGTGAAGAAACAAATGTGTGACGCAAACAACTGGTACGCAACATCACACCAATCCGAGAAATTAGATCTAATCCATGGATCATCAACGTTGAATCAACAAAAGCAATAATCAAAGATATAATGCACAACGAAAAATCAAATTCGGATAAATTAAGAGTACAAAACTGGACATGAAGAACCCTAGATCAAAGCGATAAAGTAACTACTACAAATGATCTGAAAGAATGAGCAGATATGGTCAGTAAATCTTACCTTTCCAAGCGACAAAAAGGAGGAAAAAAAGAAGAAAAATCAGCGCTGCAGTTTTCTCCCAAACACGAGAAGAACAGAAGCTAGTTTCAATCTTTATTTTTTTTTAAAGATTGATAAGCACAATATAGACTGCCCGTTACGGCGTCGTCTTCAATGTGCCGCGACGCAAAACCATTGAAGATATAAAAGTAGAATGATCAACAATGTGGCTGCTGGGATTCGAGCCCAGGTCTCCACGGCCACAACGTGGAATTCTTACCACTAAACTACAGCCACAATATGTTAGATGGTTGTATATATCTTAATTAATTCATATCAACAATATTCCCCTTGCACTCAAATTTGCATCAACTCTAATCTCGTCTTTCACAAAATGACCTTTTTCATGCGACTTAAAAACCTATATGAAAAAGTTCTATTCACCTGTGCATCTTATATAAGGTTTGTTTCTACTTCACAAAATAATACAGCGCATTCAAAAGGATACCAATAAAGGGAAAAATTGACAAATAGAGGATTTGATAATGAACAACACAAATTGTATCTAGCAACGCCTATTTCTAAAAATCATTTTGTGTGAAAGGGAAAAAAAAAAAGAAGAAGTAGATGATTTGAACTTCACTCCCTTGTAAAAAACATAAAGAGGAAGGAATCAGAGTTTTCAAATAATGAGATAATTAATCATTATTAAATATATGCCTTCTTTCCTCCATGCGATATGAACTTATTGCGTACTGTAAAATAAATCCCTAATTAATTGGCAAAATATGTAGTTCTTCAACTTAGAAAAAAAAAAGGAAGAAGAAAAAATTGTCCCAAAAAATATAGCTTGTATTGAGTTCAATGGAGATTATATATATATATATATATATATATAATTTTTTTTTCCTTTTTGGACAAAGAGAGTATCACTTAGCGCTTGATTTTTTGAATTTACATGTAACAAATCCTTCAGTTAGCTTGGAAAAAAAATATAGATTGTCCATAAGCAAGCACAATGAGGTTGTTCTGCCGCGCTCCTAGTTAGACTAATTCCTAATACTATTAAAATGAAATGAAAAATTATTGTTCATCTTGGTTGAGTTTTAAATCACTATTTTATCGCACTCTTAATTTATTACAAAAATTTCTTCACAATTAAGGAGATTTATATAACATAATTATTATAGAAGAATCCTCTCATCGTTCCTCAACTCTAAAATAAACACTTTAATTTGCTAATTTTCCATGTGATATGCAAAAATACTTTCATTTTATTTTCATCATTTCTTTTTCCTTATTATCCAAGTTAAGTTATCCGTATAGAGTTATTTTCAAGTTGTATCACTCAATAAATTCACAAGCTAGTAATCCCAGTCTTCGTCCTTTATTATCTCGCTCTACGTATGTTTAACTGGTTCATCGCGCTTGACACTATTATCACCGGTCATTGTTATATTAAGGTTCAAAAAAATTGAATATAAGATACGATTGTTAAACACAAAATTTTGGGCTTCAATCTTAAGACTAGAGATGTAATTATTATTAATTTAAAATGGGCCGAACTACATTTTACCCCGAATTTTAATATGTTCTATCATGAAACTTCCGAGTTTCGATAATACTATCATATATCCCATGTGCAGGGATTAAACATTAAAATGACTAAAATTACCACCATTTACATATACTTCATTTTCTTATGTTTCTCAGTTTTTTTTTAATTGACCATCTAAAATGAAAATTACTTAAAATTTGTAATTTCACATTGAATTATAACATAAATTAATAAATAAAAGTCAAGTCATGATTAATGGTATCATTTTACTATGCTTTGAAAAAAGGTAGTTAATTAATAAATATTATTTTATTTCAGAATACATGATACATTTAATTTTAAAAATTTATCATCACGTGCATTCATATAAAAGAATTAATGTGGAGTATTTTTTAAAACTTAATTTATGATTTATTTTTTTAAATAATTAAATTGTATAACTTAAAAAATATATATTGAAGCGTATTTTTGACCGTTTACATAGAATTGATAATGATGTTAGCATGATTAAAGGGGATTTGGTAGGTTAACTATGAGTTTAGGGTATATGGTATTTTACCAAAGCTTAGAGGGCCTGTAGTAGATTGAGCCAAAACTCGGGGGTATAAACTGTAATTCGCCCATTTAAAATTTTTGAGCACCATAATCTCTCAATACCTCCTACACCATTAATCATGATACTGATATGCTCTTGAAAGTTTATTCAATAGTGAATTACGATATTAATTAGATTATAAAAGTCACATCTATTAACGACACTAAGAAGTGTCGTCATATGAAGTGGAGATATTTAGCATAAATAAAATAAACGACGACTCATCAAACTAAATCAAGTTAAAAAGGATGTTTGATGGTAATCAGAACATGGAACTGTATAGAGGTTTGAATAGTTTTGAGGTTCAAAGATTTAAATCCAAATAAGAAATGGCTAATGATGGTCATTAGAATTTAGAAGCCCGCCTACACATATGAAAACCAAAACGAAAATACGGAAACGAAAACTAATTTCCCGCCTTTCTAAGAATTCGGAAAATTCCGAATCAAGCTTTAAATTTTAAAATTCAAAAAGAAATCTGATGCCCCCACCGTTCCCAATGTACTGAGTTGGACACTCACGCAATCAAAACCACGATCCGCACCCAACATTAAAAACGCATTTCTAACTGTCCGATGAATTCGTTATCGACGTCTCACGACCATCTTAAACATTTCGTTGCGGATCACGAATTTCAGCCGTAGATAATCACTTCTAATCCAACGGTCCTTCTCTTATCATCATCTCTCCGCTCCCCTTATATATTCTCTTATTATCAATCCAAATCACAACACAGAAAATAGCAGAGCAGTTCCACTTTCAAATTCGCCTAATTCTCAGATTCTTCTCATCTCAATTTCTCTGAATCGAAGATGTCTGGACGTGGAAAGGGAGGCAAGGGATTGGGAAAGGGCGGTGCCAAGCGTCACCGTAAGGTTCTGAGGGATAACATCCAGGGCATCACGAAGCCGGCGATCAGGCGTTTGGCTCGCAGAGGCGGCGTGAAGCGTATCAGCGGTCTCATCTACGAAGAAACTCGTGGGGTCCTCAAGATCTTCTTGGAGAATGTCATCCGTGATGCAGTGACCTACACAGAGCACGCCCGCCGTAAGACTGTCACCGCCATGGATGTCGTGTATGCTTTGAAGAGGCAGGGCCGTACCCTTTACGGGTTCGGTGGTTAAGTCGTTTCTGAATTTAGTAGGGTTAGGCTTTTGGGAGGGGTGGGGTTTGGTTGAGTCATAAGGGTTTGGCTGCTTATGAAATTTCTTTGTAAATCCTTTTGATTTTGGGGAGGATGGGATTAGAGTGATGAATTTAGGGATGTCATGTTTTTAATTACGGTATTTTCGATCCACCACTACTACTGTATGTTGATATCAACTCTTTACCTTGGTATGCTCTGGATTAAATGAAATGGTTCTGCTTCCGATTTTTGGTGCATTTTTTTTTTACTGCCTTTAATTCTGTACCTTGGTTTCTTAATAGGTTCTTCATGTAATACGGTTAATAGCTTCCTTGTTTGGATCCAATAAGCTTGAAGAAGTTGTGTGTTGCTGCATTTTCAGTTTCTTAGAAACTTTTGTAGATTGTCCATTGAAGATAGCTTTTTAAACATGTTAATACTTGATGTTTGGGCTATGATGTTGTGTGTGTGTGTTTTTTTTTGCTGTTCACAATCTTGCCAGTATAATTGGTTTAAGCCCTGGCTTTATACTGGTTTTTAAACATGTTTATTCTTTTTACACTGTGAGACTTGTAATTGGTTGTTGGAGATGATCAGTAGTTGTCTCTGTTCTGTTCATGAATACAGGTCCAATCACAGTGATTGCAGTTGATTCAGCTATTGCAATTGCATGCAGTCTAGATTAGATCTCATAATCAGATATCAGATACATCTGTTGATTTCATAGTTCTCATTTATATTTGTTGAACATATCATCAATGTTGACTTTACATTGATTGGTTGCTATTGTAAAAATTAGACATGATGGGTTCAATATGACAAAAGCAGAAGCATTTCTGTGACCCTTGTCTTTTTTTCAGCAGCAAATGGACACTTGAGCATAAATTTTACTTGTATTTTACAGAGTGAATCCTCATGTCTTATTCAATCGTCAAAGATATTCAACTGGGAACTTCTATGTTTTGGGAGCATCTGAATACTTTGGATATTGTGTAGTAAGCCCAGCAGCCTGTCAAGATATGCATCGAGTGCTTGAATGAATGTTGATTGAGTTGCCGGGCTTTCATTTCACCTCTTCAAATAGTTGAATCTGTAAATAATCAACAATATTTGGCTCTTCTGCTGCATGTATAGTAGAATTCTCTGCACAATAATAACAGAAAAGTAACATTGTAAATAAGCATTACCAGATAACAAAAGGAAGTACGCACTGATAGATTAAAGGTTCCTTTTTGGAAAATTTCACAGGCGATTCCTGTATCTGTATTTGTAGCTTTCTTTACGCCTAGCCTGTCCTCATTTTTGCCTGAAGAAACATAGTTCTGAGGCTAGGTATACTAAGATGATGCTCAATTCCCCGCAACATGGTTTTCGGGAGCATATATTACCTTGTTATAAATCTTGATGTTAACTGTCAGTTTATCATCAACTCCTGACTGGCACCCGACACCAAACACGAGACAAGCAAATGTGAAGTTCGACATAAATTGAATGCAGAAAAGATTATTCAAGTACAATTTCTATCCCAAATAGTTCACATTGAATTCGGCCAAATTTGTACTGAAATTTGAAAACTCAACAGGACCTACTATGTTGGGATAGAGGAAGTATCATTTATCAGTGGCGACAACTCGTGGACATCACATCATCTTGTTCATGATCTAGATCTTTGCCATTTTTCAGTTAAGATCTATCCAATTCGTTTTTGTTTGAATGGGTAGATTTTGCATGCACGGCCTTCAGTGGCTAACTTTTTAACATTTAAATTTTGCAAAATGATTGTAACCATTCTTGTGCATTTGAAATGCCTTCATCGTCAGAAACCACAACCAGCTTACACAAAATAGGAAAGAAGAAAGGAGGAAAGCAATGTTTTGCTTCAACTGTTTGTTAACATGACTGGGAAAATCTCTGCGGCAAAATAAGCCACCTTATTTGGGTGCTCCCTTGAGAGACGCTGTATCTTTTTCTCGTTCTAATCATTTACACGTCTTCCTAGCATCTTTCGAGTCCAATGCTTGTCCCACGATTCCTTAAAAAATTGTCAATTTACGTTGTGGCCATCACATTGAATAGTTCGAATCAGTTAGCTCTTTGGAAAGGAATTCATTTTAGAATTCCCCTGAGAGATTAATCATTTGCAGATAATAATGGGCGTGTAAATTCGTTGATACCTAGAGTCTAGAACTCCCGCGAAAGTTCAGAATGATCATTGTTGGTCCAACTACATGTCAAAGAGAGGGCATTTTGGAATGTTACCTGACCCCAAATCCATCAGGAAAATAGTCCTTTGGTAGGTTAACTATAAGTTGATGGAGTATTTGATACTGGCAGTTTCATCCTGTGCAAGCACAGTAATTCCAATGTGAAATCCATAAACCCAAGAACTAGAGATCGTGAATTAATTAACCTGCTGGGATTTCAGATGCAAATGGTTCAAATTGAGAATTTATGTTGTTATTATAGATAGATTGATGAGCATGTTTTTTCTTCTTTCAGGAAACCAAATGTTTAACTTGTTGCTGCTTGAACTTGTTATACAGAATAGCTTTTCGACGTGGAAGCCATGCGCTACGGAAATTCTAAGCACGATGAAACGAACTCAGGGAACAATGGCAAAAATTTAGCTCCACCCCCCATCCATTGCTAGACTAATTCTCGTTTTTTCCCCCCTTCCTTTCAGAAATGCTTTAGTATTTGTTGTGAATTGTGATTAATAGAGATGAAGTGGATAATAAGAAAGAAGGAAAAAGCTCGCCGTCATTAAAAACTGCCTGTCTCTGTGTACCTCCTGAATCTTTAGTAATTTGGTATCATCTACTGAAACAGCTATTACATTGATATATGTTATTTTAGCAAATCACCAATATCGCGGTGTCGTGGTGTAGTTGGTTATCACGTCAGTCTAACACACTGAAGGTCTCCGGTTCGAGTCCGGGCGACGCCACTTAAGTCTTTTGTTTTTCCTTGCAACTTTCATGTTTTGATTGAGTGGGGCCAGTTTAGGCGTTTTATGTTATAGTCCGTCCATAAACATCCACGTTATCTTCTTGTCCTTTTTTTTACCATTAAAAATGTAAAACGTCATTTGTTTAGGGATAGATTTTCCATAATACCATATGCTAAAATACATGGAGTAGACTTACATTGTAAGGATACGCAGAACCTCACAATGCCATTGACATACCATTCTTTTGTTGCCAATAAAACCAATCATCTGGGTACAATACACACGGAGGATCAGGTCACCGGGATGATGATTAAGCTCGTGTCCACCTCCACTCCATTCTTTGTGGATTTTTTTGACCTCTACAATTATTCATGTCTTTTTTTTTTTTTTGACTACTACACCAGCATCAATACGGTATTCGTTTTTTCAGGTAACATCTATAGGTAAAACTAATATTACTTTTAAATAATATAACACTTTATAAGACAGAAAGGTGTAACATTTACTAGTATGAACCTAACCTTTTAGTTTCCAATTCCACTTAATTATAAGCCGGAAGGTGTATAGGTAAAAAAAATCGCACGTTCAATCATCGACCTAGGCAAGTCTTATCATTGACACATTTGTCCCAACTTTCCTCTAAGGAAGTGAAAAAAAACCAGATGTAATACCACAATCCACAACCCACAATAGTATATGCTTACGTGCGGGGTTGAATTTGGTTTTATGGTGATGCTGCCGACGACCACAATTCCCAGGGAAATTATTCAAGCAAGATTCCCACGTAAACCCAAACATCTGGATTAAAACATTCTAGGCCACCCGTGAATCATGATGCTGTTCTCCAACTTATACAGTATCTGTAGGGTAACAAAGAGCTGGGTGCACTAGTAATTACCCTCTTCGTATCAATTAACATCATCAATAGTACTATTGAATAATTGGTAGATCAAACGCGAGCATTATAAATACTGGTTATGATTGTAACTTGATCTTCATCAGCTAGCTCGTTCTGAACAGCTGATCATTCATTAGATTAACATTTAGCAAAGCTAATTTGCTTCCAACTAGCTTGAGTGTAGTTTAATTTGAGCCCCGATTCCAATCCTCTAGTTGATTTTGGCGATTGGAAAAATGCCAGTCAATATAACATCTATCAAAACATCGTCCAATGGTGTTTGGGAAGGCGATAATCCTTTGAATTACGCATTCCCTTTGCTCATTGTTCAAACCACTCTAATCCTAGTAGTCAGCCGATTATTCGCTTTCTTTCTCAAACCCCTCCGACAACCCAAAGTCATTGCTGAGATACTCGTATGTTTTTACTAAGCATTTTATTTAAAATTTAGACTTCAAGATAAGAACTATATATCAATCATCATAAGTTTGATTATATTACTAGTTATGTTAATTTTGCATGCACCATATTATGTATATGAATCTTCTTCTGTCTCAAAATGGATAAATCTTAAAACTTAATATGAACTATATTTTTAGAGATAGAAAGAGTATTAAATAGAACTTTTTTCATGCCGAAATGACGGTACAATTTTGATGTACTAAAAATGAAAATCTAAATATAATAATTGTTTTGGGATACATAAATGGAGTACTAGTTTTAAATAGATGTTATCTCAACTATCATGCAAGGTTCATATTGTTAATTATTCTATCTAGTATTCCACGAGCGAATAACCACATGAACACATACAAAACAAGATAAATTACAAATATTGTTTGGTTTGATGACTTTTTGTGTGTGTGTGTGTTTGGAATTAGGGTGGAGTTGCTCTTGGACCTTCGTTATTGGGACGAAACGAGAATTACATGCAGACAATATTCCCGAAATGGAGCACCCCAATACTCGAGTCAGTATCAAGCATTGGCCTTCTTTTCTTCCTGTTTTTGGTCGGCCTTGAATTGGACTTATCTTCCATAAGAAGAGGCGGCCAGAAGGCGTTCACAATTGCCGTCGCCGGAGTTTCCTTCCCATTCATCCTCGGCGTCGGAGTAGCTTTCATCTTTCGCAAAGCCATTGACGGAGCCGACAAAGTCGGGTTCGCTCAGTACACTGTTTTCATGGGAGTTTCACTCTCCATCACCGCTTTTCCGGTCCTTGCTCGGATCTTAGCCGAGCTCAAGCTTTTCACCACGCGCGTGGGCGAAACCGCCATGGCCGCGGCCGCCTTCAACGATATCGCCGCGTGGATCTTACTTGCCCTCGCCATTGCATTGGCCGCCGACGGATCATCTGAGCACAAGAACCCGATGGTGGCTCTGTGGGTTCTTCTTAGCGGCGCAGCTTTTGTGGTTCTCATGATGGTGGTGGTTAAACCGGTGATGGCGTGGATTAACCGGAGATGTTTACACGAGCCAAACGCCGTGGACGAAGCTTATATTTGTTTAACCTTAGCCGGCGTAATGGTGGCCGGATTCGTGACGGATTTTATAGGCGTGCATGCGATATTTGGTGCATTTGTGTTCGGGTTAACCATACCAAAAGAAGGTCAATTTGCGGAGAGATTGATTGAAAGGATTGAAGATTTTGTGTCTGGGTTGTTGCTGCCTTTATATTTTGCGTCCAGTGGATTAAAGACCGACGTTACGAAAATACAAGGTGGTATGGCATGGGGTCTTTTAGTCCTGGTGATCTCGACGGCATGCACCGGGAAAATATTCGGCACGTTCACGACGGCGATATTGTGGAAGATTCCGGTGAGGGAATCGTTAGCGCTTGGTTGTCTGATGAATACTAAAGGGCTGGTGGAGCTCATTGTTCTTAACATTGGCAAGGAAAAGAAGGTACGTACACACGAACCTCTAATTGCTATAATCTTCCATCTATATTCCATACTTTTGGATTTGCATCCACCTTTAACCTTTTTATTAGCTTTATTATTTTATTTGTTTTTTTTTTTAAGTTTTTGAGCATGTACAAATTGATTGTCAATTTGAATTTTTATTTTCAATACAAATTGAACCAAAAGTGAAAATCCAAAATGGAAATATTTTTGAAACTGAGAAAGTAATATATACATTGGCTCTTTAAAGTCTAAAGGATCACAAACGGAAAGCAGGCAAAATTTCCAATCCTCCATCATTATCGAGTTGATTGTTGGATTCACCCAGAGTAAGTCAAAAGATTTGAATGATTGAAGACTGAAAAGAAAGCACAAAATACCCCGGCCGACTTACACAAATTTGTAACTAGGTTATCTCTAATGGTCACTTCACAATAGCTAGGAGAATAAATGCGTCAAAACATCAAATCTTAACTATTTACGTACAGCCAACTAGCCAAACTTTCCCACCCTGTTTTGTATTTAAGAACTATCTAGATATACACCAATGCATGGTGTTCTACAATTGGATAATTAAGAATGTTGTTGAATCTTTATTCTGTTGGGGTATCTCATCCATCATATCACTAATAAGTGAATCTTGTTCGTAGGCCATTATTTATAAATTCTTTTTAATTTGTACCATATCTTAGTTTGGATTGGTTCATACGCAGGTCCTTAACGATGAAGCCTTTGCTATACTTGTGTTAATGGCACTCTTCACCACCTTTGTGACAACCCCGGCGGTCTTGGCCATCTACAAGCCCGCCCGTTCTTCCATGCTGTCTAAACGCAAACTCGAATCCAACACTCACGATGATGATCATCACTACAGAATCATGGCCTGTATCCATGGCCCTAATAACATTCCTTCTCTAGTCAGCCTCATCGAGACAATCCGGCCCACAAATCCCAAATCCAAGCTCAAGCTATACGTAATGCAGCTCGTGGGCCTCACGGAGAGGTCCTCATCAATCGCCACGCTCCAACGCCTGAAGGGAAATGGGTTCAAGTTCATCAACCGTCTCCGGCGTAAGGAGTATGAGCTGGTCAACGGCATTGCAATGGCGTTTCAAGGGTATAGTCAACTGGGCCGAGTGGCCGTGAGTCCCACCGCTGCAATCTCGCCGCTGACGACCATGCACGAGGACATCTTGGAATTGGCGGAGAACAAAAGTGTGAGAATGATCATCGTCCCATTCCACAAGCAGTATAGGAGGAAAACGGATGGTGGAATTGGGCCTGAGTTCCAAGTAGAGAACGTGGGCCATGGATGGTGGGAAGTCCACCAGAGATTGATCCAGGTGGCGCCTTGTTCTGTAGCGGTGCTCGTGGATCGCGGATTTGGTTGGAAGTCAGAGGAGGAGGCAGCTCCGCCGTCGTCAACCTCTGGCGTGGTGAAACGAGTTTCCGTTATATTCTTTGGTGGGCCAGATGATCGGGAAGCTCTAGCTTTTGGTGGACGGATGGCAGAACATCCTGCCGTCAAAGTTACGGTCATAAGATTCACTGCTGAATCTCATGGATCGGGCGACCAACATGCAATAATTCCAATGCAAATCAATGAAAAGGTGTGTTAACGGTTTAACGTAATACTACTCCTCCGTTCCAAAATTATTGTTCAGTTTCAATTTTTACTTTTAGCACAAACTAAATTGCAAATAAAAATTCAAATTGGTCAATAACTTTACGACAGAGGGAATACTATATAATTAGTATTTCGTTTGATTAATTACCAATTAAATGAATTGATAAATTTATGAACATTATGATCAGGAGCTTGACGATGCTGCGGTACATGATTTCCGGATGAGATGGGAAGGTAAGGTGGAATTCAAGGAGATGACCAAAGTGAGCAACACTGTAGAAAGTGTACTACTGGGAATTGGAAGGAATAGTAATGAACAATGTTATGACCTTGTAATTGTGGGTAAAGGGAGAAGAACCTCACTGAATGTGGGTACTACAGAGGAGTATCCGGAATTAGGGCCGGTTGGAGATTTGTTGGCCTCATCAAACCAAGGCATTGTGTGCTCTGCCCTGGTGATTCAACATCATGGTAACATGGCCCATTCAGGAACGCAACATTTTCCTGCCAAATTCGTGTAATTCATGGGTGGCCATCTTAAGAGAGGCATGATGATGAATATGCAGTTCAATTATTTTCACATGTTTGTGGTCTAACCATCACATATCCTAGTATATTGGGAATGATGAACAAAAGTACTATCATTCGACTATGTCATCAAATAAAAGCAAGTTTGTCGGAAGTTATTGCTAATTTTTTTTTTTTTTTGGGTTTGGTTTGTGAAGGGCCTCTGTGTGAATGAATGGATGTACAATGTACATGCGCAGTAGTTAGTCCTGTAACTGTTGTTTGCACGTAATCTGAGTGAAGTGGATTCGCCATTAATTGGGTCAGAAAAGCCAAATTGATTCGCCATTAATTCTGAACCTGAAACGGAAATCAATGTTTGCGAATCTTGTGATGCACAAACGTTGCATGCCACGGGACTGTCTGGTTGGCGGGCCTCTTTCTATTGTAATGGAGCCAATCTAATCTTTCATGAGCTAGCTAGATAGTAATTAAAAGATTAGCAACAAGGATGTCTGAACTGAATTTGGTCTGCCTTCTCGACATGTGCAAGAGCTAACTCAGGTCTTGAAATAGTCAAATTATTTGCACCTAATGATAATACGCTCTAATAATCGGCTTACATTATACAAATCACGCTCTGTGTTAGACTAATATTTTAAATCATTTTCTTCCATTGTATAGAAAAAAAAAATACTTTTATGATCTTCAAACAAAATACTTTGATTGCTCATTTTAATTGTATCACTTGATGTAACTCGATACCCAATGTTGCACACCAATTGTAAACCGTCAAAGCTGCCTTTAGTGGCTAAAATTCCCAATGGTTAGCAACGGTTGTTGTTGAGGGTCATCGACAAGTATTAAATCATGACTAATTGATGACATTATTAAAGTTTCAACTGACCTGTAAGGTAACAGTGTAGACTACGCTTCTTTTTTAACCTCCCAAAAAAATAAAAAATCAAAATTACGACGAACTTAATTACAGTGGCGAGTAGCTGGTAATTAACATGATTCTCAACTAGTCGGTTAACTTCGCCCATGCTATACACCAACTGTACTCTAAAATGTAACCGTTGAGTCGGCTTATATAGTTAATAAGCATGGCAACCTTGTACAATCAGCACACCAATATCACACTTTTACGTATATTTGCAAAGTTTTTGATAAACATATGAAATCAACGACTATCCTAAAGCTCGATAGTACGTTTCTCTCATTTCGCTCAAATTTTCAGCACCCATCTATATTTCTATAGGAAAATCTTACATACATATGAGGTGCGCGATGGATCATACTCACAAACCGAACCAACAAGAAAACTGTTGTTAGAAACACAATTTGCGTACAATTTCAAACTTTTTCTTGAATCTTATCCATGGAAATATGAACTTTCCTCCCACAATTCAAAGCTATTTTGCCCATCTTAAGGAAGTGATGATGAGTCATGAGTGAATGATGCATGTACTTTCAATTCTTGAACCATTGTTTATAACATTTCCTCACAGTTAATAATTGTACAAGTTGTTTCGTTTTCAAAAGCAAAATCATTATGACCCATGAGCTGAGTTTACTATCAATTGAATAGTTAGTACTGTACGCGAGTACGTGCGTCACAAATTCTATATTCATTAATGCGCCATGTAACATTTTCATTATGATTATTAACCGTCTTCTGAACATGATTCACCTTGGAAAATCATAATATACTACTCCCTCCATTTCAAAATGTAGATCGTTTTAGGTTTGAATAGATTTTTCAAAATATAAATCGTTTTACAAATTCTAGGCAAATTAATGACTATTTTCTAAATTTACCCTCAATAAATGATGCTAATCTATTTTTATTTAGTCTTATTTATAGTTTCAATGTAATTAATAAGAGATAAAAAAGATATTTAACACATAAATTAATTGTTGGATGATTGTCTCCTTCGTTTACGTGCTAAGTCTAAAAAGACTTATATTTTGAAATGGAGGCAGTACCTTTTTTTCATATAAGTCCAGTTTCTAATTTAGGCTCTATCAAATTAAAACTCATTTATATCTCAAAGTATTTTATTTTTAGGAAAAAACGGTTTTAATTCATCAATGCTAGAAATCATCCAACTACATTTGACTTGAGGTCATCAATATATGCGACCAAATAATACATTCAACTTCATTATTTTTGGCTAGAGTCAGCTAAAATCATATGCTACTTAAAAGGAGGTTGTATATAATCCCTCTATTTCAAAATGTAAGTCACTTTAGAGTTTGCACGAAAATTTAGAAGATAAAGTATTTAACAATTAATTTGTGTATCAAATATTTATTTTACCCATCATTAATTATTTTTAAAAATATAACAAAGACTAGAAGAAATATGGTTACGATTATTTATTGAAGGCAAAGTTGAGAAGTTCATCATTAATTTGTCTTGAAATCCTAAAACGATTTATATTTTAAAATATTTCTTCAAACCTAAAACGACCTACATTTTTAAATGGAGGGAGTATATTAATATGAGAGAGAGAGAAGTGCCATGTTCATAGGGAATATCGAATCACACTTTAAGGCATTTTAAAACTTTGATTGCAGATACATTCCAACGCTTACCATCTGCTAGTCAATTCATTCCAAACTTTTAAAATTGAGTGATTATATCTTAAGGTTTCAAAATTGAGCGCAATTATCCCATGACATGTTGTTAACCTGGAATAATATGTAAATTTTACTTTATTTCATTAATTTTAGTTAGTTAGGTATTTACTTCTTTCACCAATTATTCCTTTTTTTTATTTTAATCTGGTTAATTATTTCATTCCATCGCCTCATCTCTCCCAATATTGTTACCATTACTGAACAAAACACTCGGTTTTCAATCTGTTTGGAATTTTTTTTTAGTTTTTTCATAATAGTTTATTAATAAAATGTCCAATTTCAGTATATCTTTTATATTTTCAACACATCTTTTTACAATCTCAATACAAAAAATACTTAAAAACATACACTGAAAATAGATCCAAACATAGGTAAGGGTTTCAAATTGATGTTTGAAATAGGTGGAATCAAAATTCACCATGCATTATTTACATATTAAAAAGTTAAAAAAATAAAAAACTAATTGCTTCTTCATAATAAGGTCACAACCAAGTTTGGAAAAATTTTCTTAAAATAATATTAAAAATTAAGAGAGAGAACCAATTTTCACATGTTGTACCAGGTCAATTTTGTGTTGTTTCAAATCATGGAATGGTTGCGCTTAATTTTAAAAACTTTGAAATATAATCACTCAATTTTAAAAGTTTGGGATGAATTGGCTATAGAAGTCACGTGGTTCCACCTCAAAACCAATTGGCAATGAGGGGAGTAGTCCATAGACTTATATATTGATATCAAGTCTCTCCCACCACCGATGTGGGATACTCAACACTCTCCCACAAGCCCAACACATCTTCTTGGGTTAGGTTTATCTTTTCTTTTTTTTTTTCAGCCCTATCACCGCTTCACGTCTTAACCCTACTAGTTTTATCACAGCAGGCTTTGAGTCCGACTCTTGGCGGACTGGTTCTGATACCATATAGAAGTCCATGGGGTTCCACCTTAAAACCAAATGACAATGAGGAAAGTAGCCCATAGACTTATATATTACTATCAAATTTCTTCCACCAACGATGTGAGATACTTAATATTAGCTAACAATGGGTAAACATTGGGACGTATGCTGCTGTAGAAACGTGATAAGTAGACGTTGGTTGATTACCTCATGTACAAATTCTCCGAAACTGACCGCAGCAAATCGATGTAGTCTATAAACCATGACATTTCACAACATTAATTAATCATGCCCCTTCATTGTATTGGTTAGCCAAAGGAATTCCCATCAAAATAATTGAAACTTTCAGTCTCCTTAAAGTCAACCATAGGCGACCAATGTCCCAATCATTACACATATTGATGAAAGTTTTTTTACAAGTGACCGGATGACCCCGCGCATTATTTTTCCGCCATTATATTGTAACAAGCCTTATTTTCTTCTTTAAAAGAAATCGATAAAACTAGTGAAAATATGTGGAAAAGAGAGAGTAACCCATATAATATATCCATATGATATACGTATACCGATATGTTGATCTATCCAATATGTGGAAAAAAGAGATAGTAATCCATATATCATATACCTTGAAAGAAAACTAATCGTTTATTTCTTTCGACCTTATCTTATTTTGAAATAACTTACTAACTCTATTATCGTTTTTTTATCATGCGTTTTGAAATTAATATCACCAAACGCAAATGAAATCTGAACCAAGTAAAATGAAGAACACACTATGACACTTCATCGTATTTCTCAGCCAAACATTCCTCCTGAGTGAGTCTCCAAATTAGTGACAAAGATATTATCTGTCAATTTTTCCTAAAGCCCCCTTGCCGGATCAGTCTCACAAACATTAGGAATTTCAGCATTTTGATAAAGTCCTTTTTAAGTGCTTCACTAACCCCACGCATTATTTTTCCTGTCACTATAATGCTACCTTCATCTTCTTATCCTACACTTAATGAATTATTCTCAACTTCAGGGTATCCAGCCACGTGGTATTTGTACAAAATTCCAGCCCTACCGAAAGTTATAAGTCAGCCAATTAGGGTATCAGGAGCTTTAAAGTATCTATTAATATTAACTTTCCTAGAGAATTAAGTTATATTGTAGTTATTATTTGCTTCTGGCATGTTCTCCGAGAGAAATGTACAATGTGGCTTCGAAAAAACCATGGAATTGATGAATTTTATAATGGTTTTGATAGATATGTGTTTACTGTTTTGAGCAAATTCGCACAACCAAATTAAAGCTGGCAACCGCATCAAATCTAGGGGAAAACCCCCTTTTGGCATCAATTAAAGAAGCAAATCATATCACGCAAGTAAAGAGTAATATAATAAGATCCAATACGTCAAATCAAAAGAAAATTGGTATTTTATTTAGAAAAATAAAAGTAGAGAATAAACTAATGGAGTGAAGGACTATATTTTTTGATTTCCTTTATAAACTGAATACATCAAATGCCTTTTTATAGGCTTGGTTTACAAATATGATAATAATGTAACTTAATTAATTTTATTTAAGTGATAAAGATAAGTAATTCACTTGAAATAACCAACTAGATGAAACTAATATAAGACTTCTAATTCCTTTGTGCTTTATCTCTTAACAAAATCATCAAATAAAATGGTTCACGCTTTAGTCATTGTGAATTGTGATACTTCAACCGTGTATGATTAGTTCAATTGTAGAGTTGTTATATATAATTAACTATTTTCTCATGTTCTAACACTGCCATTCATTGACTGAAAAGAAAGAAAAGCGACAAAGACAAATGTACCGCATATATATATATATATATATATATATATTCTCCTTGCGCCACAGAAAAATAATCTATACATATTTCAATTTTTGAATTATAAAATACAATTCATCAATTATAATATCACTATTTTTGTAACACAACTGAAATAGTGTATTGTTTTTATGTATCTTACCAGTCATTAATTATTTTCACTTGATGAGTTCGTCAATTTCTTTGAATCATTACTTAATTTATGGAGTTTACAAAGTGTCAAAGCCTAGTGCACTTTCTTTGATTTTACTTTTCCTTAGTTGAGAACTTGAGATAGGGATCGGGCGCCGGCGGTTGCACTATAAATTAAAGATGTCTTCAAAATGACCCGCATATCTATCTGCATTGAAGTGGTTGCGCGAGGTGAATTAATAACTTAGTGATAATTAATTTAAATTTTACTTTATAGACATTCAGTTTTCTTTGATAAAACAACTCATTTATATATATATGTGTGTGTGTATATATATTATAACCCTAGTGTCTAAACTCAATATTCTAATTAATTGGTATTCTAGTTGGAAAGATCCATTCGAATAATTACTTTAAGCAATGATAAGTCGAAACTTTTTCATTTTCTCTATGGTCTTAGTTACAGTGTACAAATTAACACTAAATTTAGTTTAAACTTGTGACTTATAATTAGGATCAAAGGAGTATAACTTTCCGACAAATAAAGATTGAAATTTCAAACTCGCATTAGGCTAGATTAAAGTTTTGATTCATGCCATGTGGGAGCATTTGCAGATATTACTTGTGCTGCTGTTGTGAGAAGAGGCAGCGCAATTGTGATATTTTGCGACAGATGGTATGGCAACGATGGTTTCACATTAAGGATTAGCTATGCCTTCATGAAGTAACTTAAGTTTGTATATCTTCTGGGTAAGACGTGACAACTTTAGGAATTGATGAGCAATAGTGCAACGAAGTACACCAGACATATTGGCCCATCGTGATAAGTAAAAAAGAGCACTTATTAATAACTCAATTACGTCTTTAATGATAATCCCTCAAATTGTAGTTAACATTTGAATAATTCTAATGTTGAAGACAGTGCACTGGACCATATTGCCTTAGCAATGACACCCCTTCCATGCCCTAATTAACACTCAAATATATACGCAAATCTTCTCATTTTGTTAGCTAGTCTTAGCAAAATAAAAACATGTGGTTACCTAAGACTAAAACCCTGGCCATGCATTAGCAATTTAGCATCACCATTTGGTTATCGTTGTTCACATATGCATTAATTTAATAACGAATCACAAGGAGAAGGTTCTTGTCTTCTGAAAGATCTCCATGTCAACATGTTAGCGATAATTTGTCTTCCACTACTACTCATCAAATCCCCAACGTACGTTACTCAAATGTTTCTCTAATTAAAGTATATATTTGGATTAAAAAAACTGAGAATAAATCATTTTAAGTAAAGAGTTATTGTAATAAACATCGGTTTATAATCATGTAAATTGTAATGTACAGAGCCATACATCATTGGTGGGATAATGTACCCCAATAGACAGAATAAAGTAGCAACTTTAAAGTTTTTGAATATCTCAAAACATTTCATTGATTTGAAAGCAATTCAATGCTAATGTGATACTACTATTTTATACTATGAAAGCTACACGACAAAAGTGCTAATCGGGATTTCTGTAGTAATTAGAGTGTCTGAAGCATCTTTTTCAATAGGTTACACAGTACTGTTTCTTCTCTTATTGATTTAAGTCAGCAGTGTAAGTGACTAATTGCATATCCCCTAACTACCATCGTGTTTTTTACTCTCACGGGCTATAATATAAACATCCTATATATGTAAATCTTCTTTAACCAGATCATGGCTTCTTCGGTCAGAGTGAAGCGTGACTAAGTTAAACCCTCCAAAGCAATGGCTCTCTCAATCAAAATCATAGTAAGGGAATAACAACCTGATCGTGACATACTATCGAAATGAAAAATCAAACGAAACACAACATTTGTTATTCTATCGAAATGAACTAATGAATGTGACTTCGCTATGACATTTCGAATTTCATACATTCCTTGAGTAAGGCAAAACGAATTTTTCCAAAGGGTAACCATGCCAACGGATTGCTCCTAACCAAGAATGCCATGTAAAAATGTAATTTACTTCACTGAGAATCAATATTCAAATATATATTATGAACTATATCTATTAGTGCTTACATTGCAGGTGCTTTAATTTGCACACAGGATCATTACACAACTCCCCCATAAAAAATGATTTTAATTGGGTGATGCACAATTGGTGATGATGATGATGATGACGATCATGCATTATTCTTCGTTTAAAAAATTCGAAGAATCGATTTAAGCAACATGCATAAATACCTGCACCCACTTGCCCATTCTCCCAAATTCTTTTGCATGCAAAAATTTAATTGATCAGTATCAATCAGCTGTAGCAAACAACTAAACAACAAAAATCCTCACAGCTGCTAATTAAGCTCACATTATGGTTAATAGTACTAATAATTTCAATACAAGCTCAATCAAAACTTCTTCAGGAGGTGCATGGCAAGGGGATAATCCACTTCAATTCGCATTCCCGTTGTTAGTTGTTCAAACCACCGTCGTCCTCCTCATCAGCCGCCTCCTTTTCTTCCTTCTCAAACCCCTCCGCCAGCCTAAAGTGGTCGCCGAAATATTGGTACGTATTCTGCCTCCATTAACTTTCTGCTGAAACATTTTGTTTACAGTATTCTCTTTGTCCCAAAATTATTGTCCAGTTTAAATTTTGATTTGTGCTAAAAATAAAAATACAAATTAGACAGTAATTTCAGGACGGGAGGAGTACTATCTAAAGTTTGTCTTTTGAAGTTCTTGAACTAAATTAAATGTGATTTATACATCAATATCTCTTTAGGGTGGAATATTACTCGGACCGTCGGCTCTGGGCCGAAATGAGCAGTTCATGCGGTGGATTTTCCCGAAATGGAGCAACCCGATACTGGAATCGGTGGCCAGCATTGGGCTTTTGTTCTTTATGTTCCTTGTTGGTCTTGAACTGGACCTGGCCGCCATTCGCCGGAGCGGCAGGAAAGCCTTCGGAATAGCGGCGGCCAGTATATTGCTGCCCTTTCTGTGCAGCGCCGCCATCTCATTCTTCCTCATCAGGAAAGCCGTCGAAGGCGGAGACCATCATCACCACAAAGTTGGTTACATTCAGTTCCTCACTTTCATCGGAGTTTCCCTCTCCATCACGGCTTTCCCTGTCCTGGCCCGCATTTTAGCCGAACTCCGGCTTCTCACCACGGAGGTCGGCCAAACCGCCATGGCCGCCGCCGCCTTCAACGACGTCGCGGCCTGGATCTTACTCGCCCTAGCAGTCGCCCTCGCCGGCGGAGCCAAAAGCCCTTTAATATCCATCTGGGTCCTTCTCTCCGGCGCCGCATTCGTCGCTTTCATGCTCGTCGTAGTCCGGCGAGTAATGAAGTACTTGTTGACCGCCGGGGGTGAAGCCGTCCTCGACGAAGCTTATATCTGTTTGACTTTGGCGGCGGTCATGGTTTCCGGGTTCGTTACGGATCTCATTGGGATTCATTCCATTTTCGGGGCGTTTATATTCGGATTGACTATACCGAAAGACGGTGATTTTGCGGCGAATTTGACGAAGAGAATTGAGGACTTTGTTTCGGGGCTTTTGTTGCCGCTTTATTTCGCTTCCAGCGGGTTGAAAACGGACGTGACGACTTTGCATGGGCTGGAGGCCTGGGGAATTCTGGCGCTGGTGATTTCGACGGCTTGTGCCGGAAAAATATTGGGGACTTTCTTTGCGGCGATGATGTGTATGATTGATGTCAGGGAATCGTTAACGCTTGGTGTGTTGATGAATACTAAGGGATTAGTGGAGCTCATTGTTCTTAACATTGGGAGAGAAAAAGAGGTAAAACTAAAATTTGCATTTCAAAATGTTTTACATGCTTATTTTTTAGGGCGTTCAAATGAAAAAATTAGGGCGTTCAGTAGCCTCCCAATATTTCATACCCTCTTTTCTTTTTTCATTTTTTTAGAAATAAGATTAAAATTATTTCCCGAGTAATATGAATCAAGGATCAAGTTGTTAGAAATTCTCTGATCCCTAAATAAATAAGTTGAACTCGGTAAGTTTAAAGCCATAATATATATTTCATCATTATGCAATTAATGTCATATCAATTACTAGTATACATAATTTTCTACAAACGTGCATATATGATAAATTGAGTTAATATGTACTTGTTCCGTCCCGATGATTGTCCAATTTCGGATTCACTTTAAGTAAAAATTGTACTAAAAATAAAAATTTAAATTGGACAATAATTTTGGAACAAAAAAAAATTATTATTTTCCTTTCTTATTAACAACATGAAATGAAAACATAAGAAAATCTAGTTTTGAAATTACGATATTATATATTTATTTTCCATCAGAATTCGGTCAGTTCATTTCATTTTAATAATCAGACTTTGTTGAAAGAAGATGATCCAAAAATATATTTTTCCTATATGTACACCATGACCACTTTATTCTAATACTCTCTCTGTCCCAAAATTATTGTCCAGTTTGATATTTCACTTTTAGTATAATTTGAACTAAAAATGAAAACTCAAACTGGACAATAATTATAGGACGGAGGGAGTATTATTTTTCACCGCTTATTACAATAGTAGAATATTCTTGCTTTAAAATAAACAGGACAAATATTTGTGATGATTATTTACAGTCAAAAGAGTAAGATTTAGCAAATGTAATCTCCATAAAGTATGAAATAATATTCGCGATTCCTGTTTACTGTGAATTTAAATGGGAAAAAGGGGACAACTTTGGGTAGGGATTTCACTGATTAATGATTCCTCGACTTGTGGTCATGATCATATCTAGCATTTCATTTGTTATGTTGAAAAAAGGAATTGATTCGGTAAAATTATTTTCATAATTTGCTGTATTCGCATCTAATCGCATCCTTAGTTTATTAAAATCAAGATTCATGAGAAGCATATGAAAAAATGACAAACTTTATTCCATGCTATATACAGTTTACATACTGTTTTACTGTTTACTGTGTCTATATGATTTACCCAAATTTTGTTGGAGTTATTCCATAGAAAATGCTTTGCGGAGGAGAACTTTTTACGGAATAACGAATCCGAATTAATAAATAGCACTTTATTGGGATCAATCTGCCACTCGTGTGTGTCTCTTTCGTGCTTTATGTTGTGGGTGGTATTAAGAATCCAACGTCAGTTTTGAGACTGTAACATACAGGTACTACTAGGTTATACAGTTATAAACATTCTCTACTATAGGACCAGGAGGATTTGAGGGAGTATTCCCTTTTAATCTTCAGGAATTAATTTGTAGATGGAATTTGGAATTATCATCCACTCAGTGTAATATTTTGGTGTTTTCTTAGATTAGAGCCTTTTTCATTGTAACTAACTAAAATTGTGACAAGTGCATACTCCATGAGGGACTAAAATGCTCACTCGATGAGAGATATTACCCTTCAAATTTCAATTCGGGAACCTATTAATAAATACTCTCTCCGGTCTACTTTGTTGTACTAACTATTTTACTTGGTCCCTAAACAGGTCCTGAATGATGAGATGTTTGCAATATTAGTGATAATGGCACTCTTTACGACCTTCATGACTACTCCAATCGCAGTGGCCATATACAAGCCCACCCGAAAATTCTCATCCGACCATAAACTGGAAGAATCTTCAACAATAGCAGCAGAATCATCAGCCAAAGAGCTCAGACTCTTAATGTGCATCCGTGGACCGGAAGATTCATCCTCACTCGTAAACTTAATCGAGCTTTGCAGATCCACCCAACTCTCCCAACTCAAGCTTTATGCAATGCAGCTTCTTGAACTCACGGAACGATCCTCGTCAATTTTGATGGTTCAACGCGCAAGAAAAAATGGCGTTTCTTGCATCAGGCGCTGCAACAGTCGAGGCGAATCCAGTGACATTATTGCTGCTTCATTCAAATCACACAGTCATCTTTCCAAAGTTAAGGTTCGTCCCACAACATCCATCTCTGCTTTGTCTACAATGCATGAGGACATTTGCCATGTAGCAGAGAGAAAGAGAGCGGCAATGATCATCTTGCCATTCCACAAGGCTTGGAGGAGGATTGATGGAGACCAAGAAAAAGAGATGAACTTTGGCCATAGTTGGAGAGAAGTCAACCGGAGGGTATTAATGAATGCAACGTGCCCCGTGGGAATGCTGGTTGACTGTGGATTTGGAGTTGCAGGGCAGCAAAATTCAGGGGATAATGCTGTTGCAAAGAGAGTCTGCATTATTTTCCTAGGCGGCTCCGATTCCAGGAAAGCTCTTCAGTTGGGGGTCAGAATGGCAGAACATCCAGCTGTGAGGGTTACCGTTTTCAGGTTCAAATCGTTCACAGACACGGATGAAGCTGCAGAATCACACGCAACTAAGGTAAAGGGAGTTCCAACAGTTAATCCCCTGCAAATTATGGTGCAACAAATACTAAATTTGCAGCACTGTGTGTTTTTTTGCCAGGAAATGGATAACACAGCTCTAGCCGAGTTCAGGAGGAATTGGAAGGGGGAGGCAGAGTACATTGAGAAGGAAACAGGGAACCTAACCAAAGAAGTGATGGCGATCAGACAGAGAGGGGAGTTTGAACTGATAATTGTCGGCAGGGGAAGGTTTTCACCCGAGGTAACAGCTCACCTGGCAGACCGCAGAGTTGAGTTTGATGAGCTGGGACATATTGGTGACCTGATATCATCAGGGGAAGGTATAAGGTGTTCTTTGCTGGTTATCCAGGAAAGTGATACTGTTATTGGGGATGGAAAAAATCCCAAGTTCCAGAACGAACAACTGTAACAGTGCTCATAAGCATGTTGCGAACCTTTGATCGAGGGTATATACCCTCGTAAAGTTTGTGTAACAAAGATCTTCACATCGACTGAACCTGACGTACTTCCCTTCCCCTGTTCCTTCTCAATGTCGCCTGCAGCCAACCCAAAATCCTCCTCTTGATTCTCCTTTATTGGAGAACAAAGGGGAGCACCCTTGTCTTTAATTGTTTTCTCCTGTTGGGTAGTTATTTCGTTGTGTCACTATGTCAGAATTAAGATGGTACTCCTAATTCCCTGTCATGTTACCTACCCCCTTCAATGAACTCAAACCAATCGTCCTTACTCCTTATAACGACTTCAAATCAGCAATTGGTTTACCACGAGGGGAAAGATGTGAAACAGGTTTGATGATAGCACGGTTGAAGAAGCAGAAATCTACTACAAAGGCCAGACAATGAAGTTTTCTGAAGATTTTGTTCACATGAATTTTTTAGAATATGGAGTTCTGGTCGCAATATTTAATTATTTACTTCTTCGACTTTTCACAAGCCTTTGTAGGATTAAAGTACCTATCCGATGGTGTCTGAACTCTGTAATGATGTTATATGCAATGTATCTATAATAAAGTTTGTAATCTTTTCTACAGTCTTGATATTACTAATTGATTTCCACCATAGCAAATTTAGACAGCTGATGCTGACAGGTTTTTGAAGGCCAAAAGCTCCTGAACTTTGCAGCTTGCACTTGGACAATTAATAATGAAACTTCATACCTTATCTGGACAACAAATCCTTGCCGAACGCATACAAAATGACTAACAGATTATATCGCACTGAAAGTGGAAAAAGATGAATATAGTGCAAAGAAGTAAAAATAAAGTGCCCCATAAAAATACATTACCAAAAACATGATTAGAGGTGGGCTGGAGAGAGCCGAGAGCACAGCTGCAGAACGATTGGAGTTTATACATGAAAATGTAACAGAGAAAAGAATGGAACTTTAGCAGTTTACAACAAGCGCAAATCTAAACGGAAAAAAACAAGCAAGTATCAATCCTTACAAACATGAAATAAGAAGTCTATTATGTTCTCCTATGTATGCCATAAACCAATTTAGCTTGGCTGTTTACATGAATATAGACTATTTCTACCTTACAACTCTTCCCAGGTCCAACAAATTATATTGATGAATTAATTGGAAGAACCAAAAAAATTTGAAGAAGGCATCATAATAAAGCATCAAAGATGACATTTGCCAACCTTAGAGAAAACCTCCTTCGGTCCACTTCGCATCTGATTTACCACTGTAACCTACAGACTTGTTGTCAGATGCACTTTGGTAAAAGTTATCGTCATCCTTGCCATCATCCCATCCTGCCCAGCTATCCCCCCCATGAGGTGATGCCCCCTTAGTTGATTCTTCTTTCCTAGTGTCTTTAGTATCCCAGTCATCCCAGGAACCAGAACTGACAGAATTAAAATGCTGACCGCCGGATGACGACTGTCCACCCCCGGCAGAATTCCATCCTTTTGAATCATGTTCAAATTCCTGATAATAGCCATTAGTCTCACTTTCTCTTCTTTGCCAGCCATCATTATTCCAACTGACAGTACCTTCCTTAGAAAACTCCTCCACCTTCTGTGAAGCCAGAGCCATGACACCCTTCATAATACCCCACGTTTTCTGTCCAATCTCTGTGGTCTTTGTAGTCACAACATTAACAGTTTCATTCACCTTATAATCATAGCCTCCTTCTCTTACCTATAAGAAATCCCAGTTCATTGTTTTAAGTTACATCAATCCATTGCATAATCATATTACCAAGTAGTTCAATTTGGTAGCAACAACAGCAAATTCATTCGCAGGAATTTTAAAATCAATTCCGAGACACAAAACTAAACAGAAAAAGACACATTCAAAATATCCAGCATATGTTTTTGCCACGTGGGTCATCAATAATAATAAGCACGCCCCAAGCAGCAGTAAAAGAGCAAGAGAGACCATAGGCAAGGCCAAGAGTTGCAGAATTTGAACTTGAAATTACACTATCAATACAGAAACCTCCTACTTTAAAAGCATATGCTTGAAGAGTAATAGGTATTCTTAAGAGAATACATTTACCAGATAAACAATACCATCCAATGACACCAACTCACAACATATTTTCAATGTACAATCATTTAATTAAAAAAGAAAAGAAAAGAATAAAACCTCAGGTTAATAAGTAGCCAACTTCAACCGGAAAATTAAGGGAATAAATAGCACATAAGGTGGGGAAGAAAATACAAGAAGGCAGCCTAGAGTTTAAGCTCTCAGAACGAAATCCATTGATGATTAGACATTTGCTCCACACAAGTTAATATTATAGATAGATACATCCCTATCACCTCAAGCTGTCAGGGACCCTAAAATACGAAGTCACAATCCCAAGGAAAGAAAATGCAACAACAATGCCATCGAACCATAATAATGCCACCTAACTTCAAAAAGTATCCTCACAATTAGAGCAAAAAGACTACCTTGGAAGAGATCTCCTTGGTCCCTGCTTGAACCACAGTAGCCGCTGATTGTGCAGCTGAAGCAGCTACCAATGATAACTTACCCAGTCCCTGCGCGCACATCAATGACATTTAGCTATACTAACAAAGCACAGCAGCATACTTGATCAAAAAGTGTACAAAACCGAAACCATACCATAACTGTACAATTTCAACAAAATATAGGACGAATCTATAAGAAAAGCAAACACATTTAGTAAGTGTACCTGAGTAACAACAGAGAAAACGTCTCCTTGAGAATTATTTCTGCTCATTGGGGCAGGGCTCGACCCGAAACCCACATACTTTCCTCCTTGGGAGGGCGGAACCCCCTCAGGCCGGGACTCATTCTCGGACATTTTCCGCGCAAAAAAGTCCTCCTTATTGGCAGCAGATGCCTCCAGCTGCGCGCGCGTATAAATATCCTGCGTTGATTTCGATCTCGCCGGGGTACCACCGCCGTTGCCGCCGCTCCTAAAATCACCCACCGTCTGGTTCCTCCTGATATTGTTGTTATTATTACTATGATTATTATACCCGTTGTTACTGCCACTGTTATTGTTCCCTCCATCGTCGAAATTATCCCAGCTATCCCACCCGGAATTCCCACCGGAAGAACGACCCCCGCCGCCGCCGCCAAGAGGTGGCTTACTAGCGGCTCCTCCTCTTGAACCGAGAGTCTCCTTAACAACGGGTGGATCCCTCCACGGCTTACCCTCGGCTAGGGACTGGATCCTATCCCTATAAACGGAGGCGGCTTTGGTATTATATTTGGTGACGATATCGGTCTCCTTAGGGATTCCATACTGGAAAATAAAGCTATTGAATTTCTCGTTACCCCCAAGCTCCATTTTCCGGAGTTGGATCTCGGACCAGGAATCCATGGTAACGGATCGGACAAAGGAGATGTGAACCCCAAGCCCACGGTGCTTTCCAGAGCACTCTAAGCACATAAACACACCGTAGGAAACAGAAGCCCATTGTGGGTTCTTCTGGTTACAGTCTACGCATACCTTGTTGGCAGGCTGGGATTGGAGGTCTCTGAGTCGCCGGGATGCCGCCATTACTTCTGCAAAATCAATCAGGGGAACGGCCCGATCCGATCAATCTCCTTCCTTTTGTCGATTGAAGAGCGGGGTATCCGATCCGGGATAGGTATGAATCGGATCTGCGAAGATCCAAAACAATTGAATATGAGAAGACGCGATTAGATCATTACTGTTATTTGATTAGCTTGGGGAAAGGGGTAAAAAAAGAATGGAGTCTTGGACAAAAGGGCGATTGAGAAGGAAGGAGACGAGAGATACCCGATGAATTTCTACTTCTCGTTGATTCGCCTTTTGTTGTTTTTCTAGTAAAAAAAAAATTAAAATAAAAATTATTATTATTATATTTTAAAAATTGGTTAAAAAAATAAAGAAAATGTGAAAGAAATGGGGAGAAGTGGAGGAGGAGGGGATGGCCGACACCGTCAAAGGACTTTGAGGTGGACAACGGCTGGTAGACAAGTGCACTGAGTTGGCATCCGAATCTGATTGGTTATTTCATTTATTTTATTTAATTAAGTAAATGCTCAGGGATTTCTTTCTATTTTTGGTTAAATTAAATAAAATGTTACTACTTGCTAGTTGCTAGTGGATGTTTCCTTTATTTTTACTTCTGATAATTTTATCCTCTCTCTAATGAATGCTAGTATATTTGTTGTTTTTTTTTTAAATGGTATCTGTTTATCAATTCAAGTACTTATACTATTACATTGGGCTTTAACATATGCTAGACTATGTACATCATTAATATTATTTTTACTAACTTTAATTAAAATGCACGAATCAAAAGTTGATATTAGTTGACACTATATAACAACAATTTCTCGAGACTCTGAGGGTAAATTATCCGGCCGATGATTTCTTGTTAGCATTTCACAATCCATTCGAACAATTACTCTCGGTAAGCCAAAGTGGGCAGCATCTTGGAGTGCGTTGAGGCAGGTCATGGCCTCCGTTTGGAAGGCTGAAAGAGATGAAAGTGCGACTCACTTAAGTTGCATGAGTATATTACCCATTGAGGAAGTTATTTTCCACGCTCCAGCTGCCATCCTCGTATTTGAATGGAAAGATCCATTAAGTTCAATGATAGCTTACATACCTGATTGTGATTGTGGTAGCTGGCCTATACTTTGTATGGATTTTTGATGTTGTAGAGCCTTCCTATGCTGAGTGTATTTCCCCTGAATTATTCTCCAATATTGGACTGGATCAGTGCCTTGGTGTTTCCATATTCAATTATTTCTCTCAATCCATATCCTCCAAAATATTAAAATAAATAGGTCTATTTCTCCCGGACTAGGGGAGGATTTGATCCACTGCAGAGGCGGCCTTAGGGTAAGGCTAGTGGAGATAGGATTTTAGGCCACAAATTTTGGAAGGCCCCAAAATTTTATGCATTATTAATAAAATGATGTATATTTAAAAAGATTAAAAAAATTAAATAGATTAAGCGGCCAAAAATCCAAAATCATCTCAACATTAATCTAAAATTCGAAATTATCCACCTAAAATTTAGGCCTCCTAAATTTGATTATGATATGAACTCTTAACTGGTGGAATTTAGAAAGGCTTAAATACTACTTGAAAGGCTTTGATTATTATCACAACTAATAACTATTTAATCTTCCCATTTCTTTCTTCTTTATTAGGATGTTCATGCTGCACATTGGTTTAATAACGATACTCCATATATAATTGGCCATGTCATCTTTCTTTAATGTTTATACAATTTTTGGTAGTGGTGTTTACTGGTGGTACTCATCATTTTAGTAATTGATTAATTTTGATAACTAGTACTGAATCGTAGAGTTTTCTTTTCATAAATTAAATTAACATTTTAAAAAAATACCAATACATGGAATTCTGATTTTAGACCTCAAATTTAAAAATCGCTTTAGGCCTCAAAATATATTGAGCCGTTTCTGATCCACTGGATAAATCAGTTAGGAGGGAAGTCATATTGCCATTCAAGATTGACTGGAATTTGGGGTAGGCAAAACTCTTTATAACTAGAGGAATTGGACAGTGAAAGAAAAGGTGTAGATCATCCTCTGTCTGGGTAAAGCATCTAGGGCATCTTGAATCCACATTAACTCCACGTTTAGTAAACCTGCTTTTGAGGGTAGTGCTTTTAGCACAGCTCTCCAGAAAAGTATTTTATGCTTTGGTTGAGCTTTTGAGTTCTAGAATCGTTTCCATGCTAAAATCTCATGTTGTTGTATAAGAATGTTCTGAGGTTGATCATGACCCCCAGAATTTAGAGCAGTTTGGTTACTTGACTGGACTATGTAATTGCCATCTGAAGTGTGTTGCCAAACAAGTGAATCATTTTGCGTGGATCTGACTGGATCAATGAAGATACATGTGATGTGGGGGATAAAGTGATCAGGGAAGATAGTTCTGAGGAAAGGAATTTTCCATTAGCCATCTTGTTTAATGAAATCCCCTACTTTTAAATTAGAATGTATTGCTAAGAACGAATCCTGTTAGATTAGATTTGGATGGTCTTGTATCCAGTTTTCAGTAATGCGAATATCTCTGTCCGAAATGATTTTCCATGTGATGTTGTTATGCAACAACTGAGCTCCCCAGAGTACACTTTTGAATCCCCATGTGGCATTATTTGGCGAATGAGACTAAGGTAAGAGAGACTAGAGCAATATTTGGCCCTGTACACTCTGAAAATAAGAGAATCAGGTTGATAGATGATCTTCCGGGCGTGCTTGCTATTATATTTGTTAATACTCCCTCCGTTCCAAAATAAGTGTCATTCTAGAGTTTGCACACAGTTTAAGAAAACATTAAATAGGATAACTAAATTACTAGAATATCCTCAACCAACCCCATTAAAATAAATGCTCACCAATAATATTATTTCTTTTGAGGGTATGTTTGGAAATTTTTGACAAAAAATGTATTGGAATCCGAAAACGACACTTATTTTGAAATTTCTCCATTTTGCCAAAATGACACTTATTTTGGAATGGAGGGAGTAACAACAAATTGTCCATTTCTTTTTGACAAATTAGAAACCTTCATTAATATCAAAAAGTTAGTCTCAAACGGAATGAATTAGAGGATAATATTATCAATGAATACAAATTAAACAACTAAAATGCATAAATTTTATTTACTCAAGAGTAAGCCTAATTTTTTGCTCAAATATCCTACAGGGAAGAGTATAGTTGATGAATATTGTCAAAATGTGTCTTGTATTTTGGAACATAGCTGGAAACACCTTCCTCTCTCAAAGCTTCATGTAATTTATTTTTCTTTTACCACTAAAGGACTAAATACAATTAGTGTCAGCTACCGGCAAGCTTCAGAATTACAACTTACACCCTAACTATGGATTTAAGACAATTAGGCCCCTCAGTTCATGAAAAACCCTCGCTATCAAAGACAGTCTTGTCCTTAAGACTGTGACCTAAAAATTACTGAACACTACTGATCACAATCTGGAAATTACAACAGCTAAATGATATCTACCAACATCAATACAAGTCACTGGAAATATAAAAGTAGTGAGCCAAAACAGTGTAAACCAATAGCAATTGAAGCAACTTCACAACCCAACAGCAACAAGCTTGATCACAGCCCTTCAAACACACAGAACCACTTTGGCTAAGCGAAATGTTTGATCAATACAGCCAACATCCCTGCACGAAACACTAAGGTAGCCAAGCTGCGCCAATTGCCAAGCAATCATCCAAACAGAGTCCCTTTCATCAACTGGCATTTTAACTCTAACACTACTTTCATAAACAGCGGTGCCACCTTTAAAACCAGACACTAGTTCATGCCAGGATTGAAGACTTCGTTTAACAGATGAGACAGTTCCTCCACTGAAACATGTAACAAGTTTATCCCATGACCTAACCGAGTTTCTCCATTCAGCACTAAGTATGCTATTCATAGTACTTCCCTTCCCCATCAAATAATCAGAACAATTAGTAGGAAATTCCAACAAATTTCTCAGTTTATCAAGAGATAACAACACAATATCAATAGCATCCAATGTAACCAAGTTTTCCAGTTTCCTATCCTATTTTACACCCGTTCTCTCACTGCCATCAGGCATCCCACCAATAACATTTGGGAACTCAACCGAAAAATCAATCACAGGCACTGAGGAAACATCTGAAATCATCTTACCACCGAAGTCCTTAACTGATAACAGTTCATTATTAACATCTTCGTAAACAGATTCCTGACTATCACCCTTTTCATTCCAATGACCAATGTCACAAGTAGGATCATCCAACAGGCCACTCAAACTAGCACAGAATGCCAAAACATGATTGATTTCATCAACAGGTTCATCCATTTCATCATGAAACACAGTATGATCATCAAATATCATGTAATCAGTACCCTCAGGCTCAGACAAGTATTCACTATCACAGGGATATACGAATTCATCACAAACATCATCAATACCGCTATAATCTTCATCTAATTCCTCAGAGAAATTATCCAAATTTGAAACTTCATTTTCTTCATACCCTTCAGAGATTTCATCTAAACTAGCAGAATCATTATCCGACTCTGAAAACACATCATCATCACTCAACAATTCAGTACTTTCTGTATTGAGTAGGAGACTACCTTGTTCATCGTTGTCCGTGTCAAATTCTTCCAATTCTGATGGAATTTCTTGATTGGAGACCCTTTCCCTTGCATCGCAAACAGAATCATCAGCGCCCAACATTCGGAGTATCACGACCATCTTTTCAGTAGTACGCCTTTCACTGCGTATGGCTTATGGCAGGAAAATTGAGTAACTCCTCTGACTCAACTTCCAGTCGATGCCTGCGGCGAATGGCTTCTACCTCCTGCACTGTGATGAGACTCCCTGGCAACTCGACTGTCATTTCGGAATCAAGAATCGAGAATTGATTTCCTAGGGTTTGGTATTCAACCGGCTCCATGATGATAGGATTATTCGGTAAAGAAATTCCTTAAATCAAAAAGAGATAACAGAATTCTGAAGATCAAGATAAAGAACTTCGAACGAAAAATAAATTCGGAGGAGAGAGATCGAAGAGGGGATCCGGAACGAAACTGATTCCGATTCGAACCAATCCCAGAGAGGGAAAATGAATAGGACTTCTGGAGAAATGATTCCGGCGAAGGCAGAGAGAAAAAGTAACAACCGAAACAATTTCGAAGAAATCGAAATCGACGGTGAAGACTTCAGAAATGTAGCGGAAGAAATGGGGGAGAACGAATGGATTTTAAGCGGAAGCAATGGATGGAATTGATCCACAAAGCCGAGAAACGTCGAGCTCTGAGGGCAATTTGTCAGCTACCGACAAGGTAGTGACCGGAGAAGGCGGAATCCGCGAACCAGCGAAAGGGAAAGACGGGAAAAACCCGGAATTGGGGAAATTCCACACAATTATAAAAATACAATTTCAATATCAATATTCTGATTATTCATTTTCAGACCCTGTTTGATTATTTATAGCCAATACATTTTTCAGAATTACAACTTACTCCCTAACTATGGATTTAAGACAATTAGGCCCCTCAGCTCATGACAATTAGCCCCGTGTTTATTAGGCCAACAATGTGAAAAGTTCCTTCAAAATCAATAAAATGAACAAACACAGGTTTTCACACCAAAAAAAAGTAAAAACAATTTTTTTTTTTCAATAAAAGGCACGACAACCAATACATCTATATCTGAATTAATCAAGAATTAGGCCCAAATATACTTAAAGCCCAAAGAGGCAATGCAAGTGCAGTAAAAAATGGGCATGCAGACGGCAACCATTTGAATGGTCCATTACAATTAAATGACTATGTCCACGCGTTTTTCTTTGTTCTGTTTTTTCCTTCTTTTTTTTTCTTCCATATTTGAAAAGTGTTTTACCATGGTCAATAGTAATTAATTCCCACACTGAATTTTATTAAACGTCTAAATATATGAGATAACTAGCAAAAATGATAAACCCCGGCCATCTTGTTGAATCCGTAGCCATAGCTTGCACTTAGCACAACTCACCATTTCACTTGTTCCATCTTTAAACGATTCTCGTCATCATTCTATATACTAAAACAGAATCCCTTAAAAAAATCAATTATACTCTTTTTTCGGCCATTTTATCCCCTTCTGCTGATGTGTCACTTTTTAGTAATTTAGAATAAATTTTATTTTTCTATTTTACCTATATTATTAAATATTAAATTAATAAATTGTATTAAATTAAAAATTCATTATTTAAATTAAAATTAAAAGAATTTAAAAGAAAAATTGAAAATAAAAATGAATCAAAGAAAGTTACCTTTCGAATCACTAACTATTTCAATGCTAATATGTCTTCCGTATTTTTTTTCTCCTCCTCTTCATCGGATAGTAATAAGGATTCCCGCGATAGATCCTTATTGTGATAACAAATAATTTTTGTTAATGAGTAACAATAGATAACAAATAATGATTGTATATACTTTTAAACATTGCTCATTAAGTAAAAAAAAATATTTTTTTCATTTTTTATATTTAGATCTATTAATAGCGTCAACTGTACACAAAAAAATAAAAAAATAAATTTAATAGGGAGCCCGTGATTACTCATGATGTATCTAGTTAGTACTAAAGTGAAAGATGAACGAATGAGGAATAACACAACATCGATAGTTCACGATAACCATTGAAATTTCAAAATCATTGTAAAAAGAAGTAATTTTTCATGGATTGAACATACTATACCGCTTTTTCCGCACAAAAAAGAAAAAAAATAAAGTATATTTTATTTTAATGTTTTAATTTACCATATTCTCTTCATTCCTTATTACATATAAGGTAGAAATGATACTTTTTCATAGTTAATAAAAGTGGTTAATTTAGTTCTTTTCCTAGAAAACTACCTAAATTAATTATGTTAAAACACATGCGCGCTTCTAGGAACTAATTAAATTAATTTTCTGTTAGTTTAAGTTAGGGTAAAAGTCAGAGAGACGTTGAAAACTTTACAAAATGTCTTGTAAATAAAATTAGGGAAAATTTGACATAAGGGCAGTGGAAAAAGTAAAATTAATAAAACGGGTACGACTAAAAAATATTTTTTTATGATGGACAGTATATGTTTTGCCCAAAATAATAAATTAAAACACTACTAATCTGACATGTTTGCCCTTATTATAACATTCTTTTAAAAAAGATCAATTCCATATTGACGAGGAAACATTAATTGGAGGTGCTTAAAAATTTGTTGCCTACTTGATGAATTGAGCTATTCATGTCACAGCTCAATGCACCTGTTTTTCCTTTGCTCTTTTGTGCAGCACTTATGGGATCGTACACGGCTGCTAGAGCTGCAACATCATTTTATCCAACTTTTATTTCAATCCCTTATTCTGGAGTTCGATAAGCATATGAGGATTCCCCCATAGTATATCGTTAGATACGAGAGATTATTAAAAAGGATGAGTAATTTCTGTCATGGGTCATGTCCGAGGCTCCGAGCGACGTCCACTACACGCCGACGGCTGACTCCTCAAATGGATTTGGTTTCTCTCATCAGCACATGCATGGAAAGTGATTTGCGTCTTTTACCCGCTGTGGAAAAAGTCAAAATCACGTTCCTTTGTTTCTTTTTTTTTTTTTTTTCCCGTTTTCTTTTTCTTTTTTTTTTCTTCAAAACGTAAAAAAGAATTTCGCCTATTCCTATAACATGGTTTCTTAAATTTTTTCCTTTTAGGAAAAATTTAATTTTCATATGTCAAAATATATACCCTGAAAATAATAACGTTCTTTTTCATAACCATTTTTTTCTATTTTTTTTTTCTTATTACTGTATTACACCACATGAGCAGCAATGTCAATTAATAGCTTGGATACAAAATGCGTGGGGATAGTACGGCAGATAATATTACTTCATGTGTCCCATTTTTCTTAAATAAAGAAAGAGAAAACAGCAATATATACAGCGTAAGCATGATGATGCTGGGCAAACTAATGAACAAAAATGTTGTAATATATGCACTTCATTTTCCAACCAATTCTTATATAGTAGACCATGGTCTTTATTGCAACATAGGCCACGATCTCTAATCAGTTTACTTTCACGCGCTGCAGAAAAATAGGAATGGGGAAAAATTAGGAATTAGTTTTAAGGAGGAAAAATAGGAATCTTTTTGTTTTAATTTTCATATATAATTTAAATTAGTCTTCCAGAGGATTAAGCTCATCCAAAATTTCCAAAACCTTCCTCTTCTTATATAAACTCAAACTTTACTATTTAGAGTTAATGAACCTGGTGAAGTAAAATCTTTCCATAATCATGTTTAAGTGATTTTAGCTACTCTTATCTAAATATTACCGGATTTGATCAACAAGGAAAAAAGAAAGGTTGGATTCTTTCTTCTTCTTCTTTTTTCTTTTTGCCATTTGGGGTAGTTCTAATTTACTTGTTTTGTTTTGTGTTCTTTAATTCTACACTTTCTTTCTTTTTTGGTTTCATTTTCATTCATAACCCATTGTTCATATATTTGTTTGTTGTTGCTCATAATCTGATAAATTTAATAATTAGTAAATAATATTAAGTAGAGGTTTTTAATCATATTTTAACATGGAATGAGTCATAAATGCAATAATTACCTCATTTTTTCTCATACATTATTTTTTGCCTCAAATGACAAAGGTTGGGATCTTATTCGTCATTTTTTTTGAGCATGTAAAATTTTGAATTTTTTTATATGAAACTTTTATGTCATGATCATATATGAATTTTTCATATAAAGGTTTGTACGTATCTGGTTTAAAATTCATATGTATAATATTTGTTGTTCATACGCAATTTGTTAGTTTTATTTATGCAAAAACTCATAGCATTTGTATGTTTATGCATTTGTGTATACCATAAATCTTTATCGTTTGTACACATAAAATTTAATTGTAACCTACGTTCTCAAGTTGTTAATCAGTCCATAGTTTTTGAAAAAAATGTTCATATGTTTTAAATTTAGAATTCATACATACAAACTATAATGGCCATACACATTTAAGTAATTTTCAGTTGGTTAGATTCCTCTATCTTCATTATCAATTTTTTTTTTCTTTTCTTGATTATCAAACCAAGCAACTTATCAACATAAAAACCATTTGCAAAAAAATTTATACTTCTATTATAGTAGTATGTGTTTCATTCATTTTTTAGTTTTTCATGACCATGCTATAATAATAGTTATATGTTCAAATTCATTTTTGGATGTTCATACACAAACCGTATAATTTTCATATTCTGAAACATTTAAGTTCATACATTTATTGGGTAATATTACTTGAAAATCTACTTTAGATTATAAACTTCTTTTTTAAAACTATTTCATCAAAATTTTATGTTCAAATTCATTTTTGGCTAAACTTTTTTTTTAAAACTATTTAATCAAAATTTTATGTTCAAATTCATTTTTGGATGTTCATACACAAACCGTATAATGTTCAGATTTTAAAACATTTAAGTTCGTATATTTATTGAGTAATATTACTTGAAAATCTATTATAAATACTAAACTTCTTTTTTAAAACTATTTCATCAAAATTTTATCTTCATAATTCTTGATGGTTGTTGAAGTTTCACTGATAGCAAAATAAATAATGATTTAAAATTCTAACTAAATATATGGAAAGAGCATCATTAAGAATAGGAGAGATAAGATTTATGATAATTAAAAAAAGTTTCAGTAGAAAATCACTTACTTATTGAGAGAGTAAGCAACACTTCTTCTTTTGGCTCATGGTGCAAGATGAACCGTGATCCACGTTATAATTTGCCTTTTCCAACAGGCTAAATTGGAGTCGGGATGATTTGTACGTACGAAGCCAGAGTGACACGCACCCATCGGAGTAAATACTGATTACGTTAACTTTCTGCGAACAAACAACTCCGAACCAATCTCAAATCCAACATACAAATTGACTTCCTCAGTATTATCTCTTTAAGGGTAAATTAGAAAACGACATGAATTGCCGTGACTGAAATTTAACGTACGTAGTTTTTTTTTTCCATATCAAAAGTAATTAAAGATTGTACTCCATTTTGGTTCATGTTCATCATCCACCGGAATATGGGAATTCCCTGTCTTTATCATCATAACCGGGAATAATTTCTATATGAGGAATCTCTTTTGACTCTATAGTTGTACACTCATTTCCAAAATAAGTAATGCAGAATCTCTTTCTTTGTACCCCTTTCGTTTACTTGATCTCTTCTTACTCACTGGTTGTGTGGTTGTAGTAGGAAATCGCATCATCATTCATTATAGATTGTAGATAAAGATAAAGTTATAACTATAAAATACACAATTTTTTGTGGAACAGGTACTTTTATTTGTAAGATGCGCAGACCTAGTGTGTTGTATTTTTTATTTCTCAAAATTATTGTCCAATTTGAATTTTTACTTCTCGTTCAATTTGTACTAAGAACGAAAATTTAAACTAGACAATAGTTTCGGAACAGAGAAAATACAAAAAAGTAAAATATCTCAGGTTATTCAAACATAGAGAAATTGATATAGAGTGATCTTCACTCTGAAATATAAGTAAATAACCAGAGAAATTGTAGAAAATTTAATAAAAATACTAATAAATAATCTTATTAAAATACTACTCTCAATGTAATTGTAATCCCAATGATATATTTATTTGTCATAGCACAATTCTACTGTAAACGGAACTAGGGAGTATGTAGGGAGAGCGGGATGAACATGACCGAAATATGAGAGGTATGAAGACGCTGAAATACCGTTGAACAGTGATTGGTGGGTGGGAAGTATTTACAAATTCACCGACTGTGCATTTAATTTTTTTCGCAAATCAAATTTCATCACCAATATCTCACCAAAACGTTACCTCAAGTCCTCAACCTTTTCTTCAATTCCGCAACTTTTATCTGTTTCCCAGAAACCCATTCTTTCTTTTTGTGCAGATTTACCTCAAAATTCATATGAACCAGAACCAAACTCTTTCACACACACACACACACACACACACACACACACACACACACACATATATATATATATATATATTTACAGAACAATCCTATTCTCTGCGCTGTCTGCAGTAAACGCCATTGACTTCCACCGCCAACGACATTCATTACTGACCTCTCCTCAATCCCCCCATTCTCAGCCATATATATAAGCCACCCCTTTTTTTTTTTTTTTGGTTGCGAAATCGTACTGGGCTATTACAACTTTATCATTGCTCTGTTTTCTTCTTTTTTTTTGGGGGAGGGGGGAGAAAAAGTACCAAGTTTTTAGATTTGTCCTACTTTGTTGAAGGAGAAGTGAAGTGATACAACAATGTTCAGATTAGTAACCGGAATTCCTGGGCCGAGCGGTTTCGGATCGGCTTCTACCGCCGAACAAGTTACAGACGGCATTGATGCCTCCAACATCACTGCTATTGTTACAGGTTATGATTATTCTTTTTCTTATATTGGTCATGCATAATCCAGAAATATGGCAGGTGGTTTTTTCAACTTATAAACAGTGTTATTATTATGAAATGCCTGAATTTGTAATTGCGGATATATATATTAATTTTACTCATTCTTGTTTCCTCCAATATGGTAAAAATGAAGGACCGTTTACTCTGTCTGAACCATTTTTTTTTAGAACTCAGAGATTTGGGAAACGTGGGCTGTTTGTTTCAGATTTGGTCCTTATTTTTCTCCAAATAGAAACGAGTAAAAATTTGATGAGATTGTGACACGTTTGTCTGGTTGCCTAACATGGTAAAGAGAAGTGTGAAACAGAGGGAAAAAAACAGGGGCCATGCATTCCATTTTTGAGTTAGTTCTGTTGTCTTGTCTGGCGGCTGGTGTGGCTAAATTCCCACATGTTATATCAATCTGTATTTTGCTTATGGGCTGATATCATATAAAATAAATAAAATCCACCTGATGAATAAAATTACAGGGAATAATTTTTGGTTTTGTAGATACTTTAATTTTTTTTTAAAAAAAAATGAATTTAAATGATGTGCTTGCAGGGGGTGCCAGTGGGATTGGCTTTGAAACGGCCAGAGTTTTAGCCTTAAGGAAAGCCCATGTGATCATTGCTGCCAGAAACATTGAGGCTGCAAATGAGGCAAAGCAGAATATCCTCAACGAAAATGCTACTGCTCGAGTTGATGTCCTTAAATTGGACCTCAGCTCCATCAAGTCGGTTGAGGCCTTTGCTGATGACTTCAACGCTCTCAATCTTCCTCTTAACATATTGATGTAATCACATTTTTCTCCTCCTTGTTTTCTGCCTCATTCATAAATGCAAATATCATCCCCTGAATCTGATTAACTACTGAGTTTAATTTTGCAGAAACAATGCTGGCGTGATGTTCTGCCCTTATCAGCTTTCACAAGATGGCATAGAGATGCAATTTGCGACTAATCATCTCGGTTCGTGCTAAGTAGAATGAATGATTTTCGATATTATATGCTTTTGTTCGAAACTATGCTTTTTCTACAAGAATGACTGTTTTTTTTTTTTGGTTCTGCAGGCCATTTTCACTTGACAAACCTCCTCCTTGATAAAATGAAGCAAACAGCAAAATCAACCGGGATCGAGGGCAGGATTGTGAACTTATCATCCATTGCCCATCACCATACCTATGAGGGAGGAATCAAATTTGGCAACCTTAATGATAAAAACAGGTTATTCTTTTTATCTTTTGGCTACCTTTTCTCGCATTATTTCAGGTGTACTACTAGAACAATATTAGGTAGTTTCGTTTAATGATCGAATTTCTTGCTCTGTTTTTTTTTTTTTTTTGCTTCAATGTCAGTTACTCAGACAAAAAGGCATATGGGCAGTCCAAGTTAGCCAACATACTGCATGCCAATGAGCTCTCTCGTCGTTTGCAGGTGACCTTTGCATTATGGCTCTGTTCATCGAAACTGACATTAATTTTTTTTTTTTAAAAAAAAACCTTGTTGCCCTCGTGTTCATGGATTCTAGTATGGGGCAGCTACCTAAATTGTCATTGTCATTGTCATGTTCTGGTTCACTTAGAATCACAAGAACAAAATGATTCCCCTCTGTTCTTTGTTTTTCACCTCCTGATCGGTCATTGTAAAACATTCAATAACTCTATCCTAGAATTTTCTTTTCCAAGATGAGCAAAATTAATAGCATAGAATTTTCTTCTTTCTAGTGTCGCGTCCTCTTCCACAATCAGGATTATGGACCACTACAAACCCATGTGGACTCTTTTAATAAGAGTATTAAAGATCTGGAAATTGTCCTTACGTTAGAGTGGGCTTAGTGGCCCAAGTTGTTGATGCGTTTTTCCATTTTTCCTAGTCAATACTCAATCTTTCTCCAATTTCGGTGCATTTAATCCAAAAAACTTGTTCAACTTGCCAGGAAGAAGGAGCCAACATCACAGTCAATTCCGTGCATCCTGGTTTGATTATGACTAATCTCATGAGGCATTCTGCACTTCTAATGAGTAAGTAGTAGTCATGAATCAAAAGCTAGCTACTTTCTTGCTTATCAGGTTTATCAAGCTCTTTTACAGCTTTTACATGAATTTTTTGGTTCCACTTGCAGAAGCTTTGCAGTTCTTCACTTACATCATGTGGAAAAATGTACCTCAGGTAAATCGAAAACGCTTCATTCTGATCACACTTGTAACATAACATGTACTCTCTCTGTCCTAAAATGATTGTCCAGTTTGGATTTCCCGTTTTAGTTCAATTTGTGAAAATTCAAATTTCACAATAGTTTCGGGACCGAAGGAGTAGTTAGTTTTCAATGTGTTCTGTAAAATAGTTTTCGCAACAAAGTAGACCATTTTTTGAACAAATATACTCAAGCGATAATAAATCAGATAGAATGGAGGCCCGCATTCAATTTGCAGATTTTGAGTTTGTGGTCTTGTCTTTTTTAGGGGGCGGCTACAACATGTTTTGTTGCACTCAATCCGAAGTTGAAAGGTGTGACAGGGAAATACTTTGTTGACTGCAATGAGTTTGCAACCAGCAAGTTGGCAAGAGATAAAGCTTTGGCCAAGGGATTGTGGGACTTCAGCAACAAGTTGGTCAATTCAGCCCAAATGATTTGATCAAATTTTGCTGTAATTTCAATCTATATAGTTTGTTGGTAATGCTTGCATCAGTTTCTCTTGATCTGCCTTGTCTGATGATGCCAAAGTGAAACTAGATTATGCAATATATAGGTTTCTGATGGTGGAATGCTGCTTTGTATACATAAATGCCTTTTCTTTTTAAAGTTCTCTAATGAAGATGTTTTTATTTCAGTTTTGTGTAATTTTTCTTTTCTTAATCTCATTCACGGAAAAAATTTGGTGGAGTCGTTACTGAATGATTCACTCCGTCAAGAAATTATTGATTGAATCATCTAGTCGGAGTATTTGGATCAATGATTATATAATCGGCATCTATAAGACAAATGTAGTGTTAAGCACAGCAAATGCATCTGGCAGCCCCGCTAATAATGCATTTTCTGATAGTTTTGGCAAATAACAAAACCACCTAACTCAAAAAATTACACATCAATTTGCTTTGCCCATAATCTATCCAAAGTCAGGGTAAGGAAAAAGAATGCAGAACCAGGAAATCTGATTCACTTGAACTGCCTTCTCTCATCGCTTCTGCGCCTCTTTCGATCCCTATTGTATCTTGGATCTCTTTTATAACTTCAGATATTGGGGGGGTCTCATTCTTCCATGAGGCTGAACACACCACAAAAGCTTTCTCAGCTATCTTCCACAGTGATTGAATGTCTGTATTCATTGTGTAGCATCGGGTCAATGATCGCCTGGATATCTCCGCTTTCGATACTGAGTCTTCGCCTGAGACATGATTGGTATCACTTGAAAGAGAGATCAGGAAACACCAAACTAGGGAAATCAAATGAAATCAATGGCCACATTTGTTAGGATTGCAGTTGACATTGTTCCAATGACTGATCTTACCCATTGGACTATATTGCGAAGTTGTCTCCAAAGCTTTCATTGGAAATAGATTCTTGACCAGATTAACTCCAGAAGAATGACCCCAAAACTGAAAACACCACTTTTTTCCAGTTGCACTTTCAAGTTCAGATAAAGTGAGGCAATGAGTTTCCTCAGCACCATTATTCAATGAAGAGACAGCTAATCGATCCGATGAACCATATTTACGTTGTTCTGCAATTCGTTGAACTTTTTTGTGAGTAAACAATAGTTACAAGTTAGTGACACTCGAGAAACTCGTCACAGGAGGAAATTTGGACAGACCTTGGTTAAGATGGTATAACAACACATATGTGACTGGAATAGAAGAAAAACAAATTTCTGGAATGACTTTGCTAGTGATTTAAAATTTCTTTCTCAATTTTAACATCTGAAATCCAAAATTAACATTGAGCAGATCTATATATTTTTTGGGCCAGAGCTAATAATGGTAGACTATTTTTGTGGGACAAACTATGTTTTGTAATACTACTATCTACTGTCTACTTTGTTTTTGTATGTCGATGGGGTGTTTTGGTCTTATGAACACAACTCAAGGGGTATTTGTCCTTTGATAAAAATTCGGGGGTTTTAGGGTTTGGGACAAAACTCAAGAGGAAATTATCCTTTATCCCTTTATATAATAGTAGATAGTAATATTACAAAACAAAGTAGAAAGAGGCATTTCTCCACTAATGAATTCAAAGCTTTCATACATGTGTGATGATTTTACTGCAACTACTCAAGTTGATGGATCAGAAAACATAGAGAAATTACCAAGAAGAATTGAATCCTGCTATTAAGGCTCTCTGGTCGGATGGTTGTACGTGTATGTCTTAACGTGATTATCAGTATTTGGGGTAGTATATACCGTAAATTACAAATATTCTTCCAAACAGAAACTCTAAATCAGAATCCGCATCGAAAAAACAGAACATGTAACCATCAAGTCCATCACTAACCCCAAACACTATTCCAATTTGTCTGATGAGTAGTAGTATCAATTTTCTCCTTTTCTCTTTTTTTTTCTATCGGAAAACAACAAAATACCTGTACACGAAGAAGATCAAACCTTTACGTTTTTCCTATTGAAAGTAACGAAAACTAAAGCGAAAACATTGATTCTCTGTAAGAAAAAAAAAAGAAAAGAAAAAGTGAAGTTAATGTATTAATCTCGTGGATCATCCGTCTCCCATAAACCCACAGCTTTGACAACGTAAGCAGAGGTGGCAACAATGACGGCAGCAAAAACCGGCGGGACCAGTAGATCCAATTTCGATCTCCGGAATAAATGAGCCGGAATACAGAACGCCTCTCCGGGGATATCAAGTGGGACCCGGACGGTCATGGCCCCACCTTGGCTTTCCCTGTCTCGACGGCATGGCTCCGAGAAGGCCGACGTGGGAGTTATGGCGGAAACAAAAGCCAACTCCGGCGAGAATGACGCGACGGCCACAAGGACGGTCAATATCACGGTCCACGTGAAGGCGTAGAGAAACAACGGCCACCGGGGAGATAGTGTCTGAAGCACGGAGTTGAAGAATGTGAAACTCATCTCAAATCTATGTACACATTCTATTTCCTATTAGGGAATTAAGAATAAAAACAGGAGAGGTTTGTAAATGTAAGAAGATTGGGTGGGGCATTTGTTAAGGACCAAATTCTTAACTGCTTTTGGTTGGAGATAAAGAGGGATAATATCTCGTGTTAAGTGAATTAGTTTTGGTTTAGGTTTAGTTTTAGTTCGGAGTCGTTGATGATTGGAGGAATGTTTTTTTTCCGATGGGGTGTCGTGGAGAAGAAAACGTCAAAAGGACAAAAAAAAGTAGTGGTAGAGGACTCACATTTTTCTTGCAATTAGGGAGGAAAATATATAATGAAATTAAAATATTGAACATTCCCCAGGAGTTAGGAGAACTACTGCAGCACAATAAACCAGTGTCCGGTTATTTTGGTGAACGTGGCAACCCCACTTCAAATCAAAATTAAAGATTGTGATTTCCGTTGACGTTTTAGAAGGTTTTTTTGGATTTTCATACGATTTGTTTATCCTATTATATCATGGCGATTTGGGGCGAAATTTTGTGGAATTGGGCCAAATTATTTTAAAGAGTGTTATTATGGAATATAATTCACTAGTTCCATGTAAATACACGTCTTAAAACTACTCCCTCCATTCCATAATTATTGTCCAGTTTGAATTTTCATTTCTACTTCAAATTATACTAAAAGTGGAATCCAAAACTGGACAATAATTTTAGGACAGAGGAAATATTGTTTAATCTCGTTCAAGTCGATCTTGAATATTTCCTAACATCTCATAGAGCACTAATCGGTTTCTCATATCCAAAACCATACATACATAACACTTTGATTTACTGCCTAAGCAATTCCCAAGCTAGTCTTAGGCTTAAAAAAACTCAGTTCAAGCTTGATTTTGACTACATATAATCAGCATGAGTGCAGGCTTTGGTGTGAGTGTGACTCATGCACGACTCATGTTCACTAGGTTCCCTGATACAAGCTTTGTATGAAAATGCAACATGAAACTTGAATAAGGGCTTTGTGGGTGGGGGTGGGGGGGTGATGATGACTCTCCCAACAACATTTTTTCCAGTCAAGAAGAAGACTCGGAAACGACTCTGTCTACCTTGAGTAAAAGGAAAAGAAAAGCAGACACTGAAATGCACAGCATCGCGATCATAAAGGTTACAATTAAGTGGAACGCCATATGAGGGCTGACGAAATAGATAATGGCAATCGAAAGACTCTGCCAAAACTTGAACTGTGCAAATGCTCCTCCCTGTGCAGAAACAACAGAGTTAGAGTCGATTCTTGTGCGCATATGAAAATCCTGATCACATTCAGCAATTTTAACTTATACAGTTAGGAGTTTAGAGTACACCAAGAGTGCTCTAACATCTCTGGAGGAGAAAATCTAACCAGCAGATTAAGACCTCCTAAGAAAACCAAAAATTACAGGATTTAGCTCGGAAGGAAGTCTCAGGAAAAAAATTTGTGTGAGTCAAATTGCCATTTTCTTGTCTATTCATTCTTCTAAAAGTTTAATGTCCTCAAAGATATATATCATGGATGAAGTAACATCTTGAAAAGATGATGAGAAGCATTTCGATTGAGTGTGGAAATCAGAACACACTATGTCCATCTGGATCAAGCAGTTTTAGAAGATGGCAATTCATCTTGCATAACAGATTTCAAAGAATTGCGAGCAAACTAGGTGTCTGTTTCCAGTATATGAGACAGTTATACTACAAATATCAGAAGAAAACATTACCAGATTGTTCTCAAAGAGAATCCCAAGGAATGCACTGATCTGAGTATTTAGAACCCCATCACCAATGCCCAACAAGCCAGCTATCAGAAATGGATATAAGAAGCCAAAAGCTCCAGAAAGTGTGCTACAGAAGAGTGTAGAAATAAGCTAAATGAGATCAGGCACACTGGAAGGAACATCAACTGCTACTGATAAAATAAGGTGATTCAGCATGAGCAAACCTGTATTTTACAAAGAGTAACAGGAAGGCAATAGCCTGAATGCAAATCCCACCGAGTACTATCTTAGTAATAGTTGAAAGACCAGATGTCAGTCTGCCAGCAGCAAGTGAGCACTGAAAGATGTTTTTTTTTTCAACCATTAACGTTATGGAGCATTTACGATAAAGAATATTAGCATTATCAATGGCAACAAGCTCATATATTAAATGAAGTAAATGTTATAAATGGCTTAAAAGTTCAGGTCATCAAGCCTCAAGGGACCATCTTAGGCGCAGCAAAAGCCTAATAAGAATAATCAATATTCATAACTACAAAACAGACAAGAACTTTCTTGGAATAAGGTGTTTGAGGCTTTGTAGGCTTTTAGTATACTTACAGCCGCATCAAAGATTCCATAGACTGCCATGGTTCCGCCGACACCAGGCTCACCAAGTTTGGGCTGAACAACATACTTGGTGAATGCAGCCCTGCAAAATACAAGTGTCTTGATGCCAGCAATGGAAATTACATTTTCATGAGAAAAGATAGACCAGAACTGCAGCACAATAGGTAGCTAGTTTACCACACAAACGCTTGCTGAAAGCCAGAATATGCGAGAAGTGGGATCAGTAAGAGAATCCTTTTGTCAAGTAAAAGAGCCACTGCAGCTTTAGACAAGGACATGGCCGAAGAACAGAAACTTGCACAAGAATCTTTTTCCTCTTTTTCTTCTGAACTTCTGTCACGTAAAAAGCACATGAGAACTGTACCAATTGTCATGAGACAGAGGAACACTACGAAAAGTGGTGTCGTGCCACTAACACTCCCTTCCTGCAGCAGCGCAGAAGTTCATTTGATCAAACAAATATGTTCTGTATGCAGTGAGAAAGGAACCAACGGAGATGGTTTTCAATCATAAATTGACAGATGGCTGAAAGAATGCAGTCAGAGATTAAGAAACAAAGAGTTTAAATGGGTCAAACGGATTATGGATTCACTGACATGGCAATAAAAATTGCCTGATTAGGTAACTCAATGACAAAAGGATTTCTATAGCAGGTTACAAACAAGTAATGCGAACCTTTCCGCCTCTCAGCAAAGCTACCGTGATGAGATTCCCAACAAACTGCAAATATAATGAGCAATTTTCCTCAGCAGAATATCAGGTATAGTAATGACATTCAAAGAAGTAGAACCAAAAAGCGGAATCATTTCAGGAGCTTAAAACACTGTACCTGATGACTAGCAAACATGAACCAAAATTCTCCATTAAATTTTCCTATAACAGTTCCTTCAGGCAAGTCATGAAGCTTTGCATGACTGCGTGCAGTGGACGTGAGATATGTACCCTAAGAAAAAATACAAAAAAGTTACATCATAATCAAGAGCATCAAAATTTTATCTTTTTTAGGGCATCAATTGCATTAAAAGAGTTACATCCTCATAACCAAAAGCATCATATATCTGTATTAAAAACTTCAGTGCAAGAAAAACAAAAGGACAAAAGAAATTACACCTCTGCAACCCAAATTATTGAAGCAGTAAAGCCAAGGTACAACGAAGCCGGGATCATTGTGTACCTAGGAACATTTTCATCAAGGTGTAAGTAAGAGCAGTAAAACCTGTCAACTAGATAAATAATGGGACTAATGCATAGCATTATTCTTTATATTTGCAGTAAATTATCTGCATACACACGACAATAGTACTACCTCTGTCCCAGAAAAGTAGTCCACATTGAGTTTTGAGATTTGTTCTATGAGTTTTGAGATTTGTACTAAAACTAGCACTAAAACTAGTACAAATATCAAAACTGAATGTGGACTATTTTTTTGGGACGGAGGGAGTATAACTGATCACACTTGTGAGGCTTACAAAACATCTGCCCAAAACATACCAAGTAGGCTTCAAATTTGCGGCTATGAACAGCCAATAGCCGGTGGTTCCAAGGACAAGAGCATTCCTCGAACCAAGAGTCCCAACTACGGCAGAAGCGATCATGGAAAAGAACGTAAATGACAGGTACAATATCCCAAGTGAAATGGTCCCAAGATTTCCATCCTACGCCCAACAGAAAATTGCAAACAGAATTAAGAACAATGAACAAAACCCAATCATCAGACTGGACACTAAACCGAAATTCGAAGCTCCAAAAATCAATTGGGAGTAAAATGAAATCAGTATTAATACTAACAGTATTGATGGTACTCTCCAAATTCTGAGCAGCTCCATAGGCCAAGAAAATCAGCAAGAAAGCCCAGCTAAGAATATGTATATCCCTCTTGTAATTGTGATTGACTGGGGCAAAAGGGGATGCTTGGGTTCTGGAGTCAACATCAACAACAAGTGGCGTTTCCTCATTCATGGCCATAAAAGAAGATTTTTCAGAGCTAAGCAGCAACTGGGTTGAAGTCAAATCGAACCCAATCAAATCAATCGCAGAATCTCGCAATCACCAAATGGGCGGTTCACATAAGTATTTTATTATGTGCGAACCCAATAAAAAACACTCAGCCGGCGAAGCTGAATTGAAGAGCGGCGACATGAGCAAGAAAGCGTATGGATTCTACCAAAGATTCTGAATATACTAAGATCCAAAATTGGGTTAGGCGGCCGTTGAATGATGATGGGACTGATGATAAATCATTCCGAAACTTTTCGTGGTGGACTTTTATGGTTTTTACGCTCTGATTTGGAGATTACTCTGTCTTTGTCCTGATAAGCTTTACGTCTGTATTCAGTAAAATTTTTTGGATTACTTAGCTCATTACTAATGAAAAGATATACTGATCTCAGTGTTCTTACTCAAATGTTTTTTTTTTTTTTGAAATTCTTACTTACACACAAAGAAACAAAAAAAAAAAAACAAAATAATCCTACTCAAAAGCTTTGATCTTTTGGTTAACCTTGTTAACGAGATGGACGCAGTAACAACCACTAGATATTGAAGCCGCTGGAGCTTTTTTAAGACCAGGGATTTCCGTTGAAGGCTCAAAAGAATTCAATCGAATCACAGCCCAGAAACTAACAATTCTGCAACATTACGAATGTCATTGGGTTTTTCAAAGGAAAAAAAGAAAAAGACAAAAACAGTCAAAATCCTTCCAGATCTGAATACCACCATGAGGTACTCCTAAAATTTTTGTCACTAGGAGGTCCGGCGTTTCGACCCAAAATGAATATAACTCAAAATACAAAGCGAAACTGCCTCGTCAAAAAAGAAAAAAAAACACATCGATTAAGGCCACAAAAATTCCATAGATGCCGATGTATGGCAGCATTCACGATTGACGTTCGCGTTCACGTTCACGATTGACCCGAGAAGATGACCACCTTCCAGCACCCCCACTGCTACCAAAGGGTCGGCGCTCATCACTGCCGCCATAAGGTGCTCTGCGGTCATCACTGCCACCAAAGGGTCGGCGCTCATCACTGCCACCATAAGGCGCTCTGCGCTCATCACTGCCACCAGTGCCACCATATGGTGGTCTACGGTCATCACTGCCACCATGGGGTGCTCTACGGTCATCACGCCACCGGTCACTGGGTCGATCATCTGGCCTATTGCCAAAGCCCCACCTCTCACTTTCTGGTGCTGGGCCCGTTGCAGCAGCTCCGTCTCCTTGCTGTCGCTTAAATTTAGGCACATACTTCGTTGGGGCTGGTGCTACAGCAGGAGTGGCCACCGGCTCTGGCTGTACAACAGGAGATGGTTCTGAAGACTTCTGAGCCACAGGGGATTTACCCAAAACCTCTTCCTTCCACTTCTTCTCCTTTTCTTCCAGCTCCCGCTCTCTCTGCCTCTGCTTTTCAGCTATCTCATCCAACTTGGCCTTGCGCTCAGCTTCCTCCTTCCTTCTCCTCTCAGCTTCTGCAATTTATTTCCATTTTACAATTAGTCAAAACCTCAAAGCAAAGGTCTAATTATAAATGAAAACAGGACATTCCTTGCCAAAATTTCACTATTAAATATTTCACCAGATATCATGACTCTGCAAATATAACAGCAAAAAGGTTTTACACCCATTAGGCATTAAAGAGAAAAGGCAGACCAAAAAAGTTTACATTTTTAAATTGTTTCGACGATTTCCAAACAGAATTACTGCAAAAACAACAGGAGAAGGAGAACTAGAACAGGCATAAGAAAGTGTTTAAAAAGTGCAGTCAGTGAGCAACTGTATTTCAACATGAAGAGACGAGAAGAGCATAGCCTTAACCAACATGCAACTTTAAGAAAAAAACCGAATTACCTTCAAGCTTCCTGGCTTCCTCCTCTTCACGCAATCTCCTTTGTCTCTCCTCCTCGGTTCTCAGATGATATATCATCTTTCTCTGGATTTCCCTCTCCTGTTTTCGTGTTTGAATAATTTGATTAATTCTCTCCTGTCTCTCATTTCTCAGCCGGTTGAATTCAGCTTCCCTGTGTCCAACAACTCTTTCCTGGAATATTCTCTGCAAGTGAAGTCAAAAAGATGGACCAAGTTTAACAACTCATACTTCCAAGACAAAAATTAAATACTCAATCTCAGCGCAAGTAAACAACAATTTAAAAAAACTTAGGTAAGGAGCCCAAATATGAATAAAAGAACAAAAGAATTTATGGCGTCAGACTTATGATTTGAACTATCATTCTTATTCAGGGACATTTTCATTTCAAGTTTAAAATAGGAGGACCTTTTAAGACTATATTTAACCATCTTATTCACTTTAATGCTCACTTTCAGAAGAAGTTAACCTTTTCACAGTCATGAAATTAGTTTAAACAGTGTTTGGGGAACTAATGTTTAATACAACCTTGTTGTCCAACATGCGTCCAAGTCTCTTCTTCTCCTCAAGATCTCCTGCATGACGTTGCCTGCTCAGCTCAATCTCTTGCTGTGAAGTGCCAAATGAGTCGGTGTCAACAACTAAATACTATTCTATTGTTTTCAGGAAAGATTAAAACCAAAAAAAAAAAAAAAACCAGAGAGAAATCCCACTCATACAACAAGAAATTATGAAAATCATTCAATAAAAAATGCACTGATCTAATCTGAAAACCCCCTGCAAATAAAAACATAAGAACCTTCGGCTCAGACCTGTTGCTCGCGTTCATGAATGGCAGCTTCTTCAACTAGTCGTTGTTGAAAGGCAGCCTCAACAAGGGGTGCTGACTCTTCCCTTCTAGCTCTCTCCAGATGATCCATATTTTTCGCGAGCCTCTGTAATTTTTTCTCCATCTCTTGTTTCTCCCTGAGTTGTTCACTCAAGGCGAAATCCATCACTGACCGCTTCGTGATATCCTGGAAGAACACAAAGGTCAGCAGACATTACCAAAAAAGGAGGAATATAAATGCTGAGCTGTCGAACTTACTCCTTCTAGCACTGGTTTCTTTCCTTTCTTCTTGCCGAGCTTTGAAGTTTGTTGCTGGAGGATAGCTTTTGCCTCTTCAGCCTCCCTCTCTTCTATTTCCTTGAGGATCCTCTGATTCTTCCTTTGCTCATACTCATTAGCGAGCCTCCTTTGTTCTGCCTCTTCAGTAATCTTTTGCTGTTTCAACCTCTTTATTTCTTCCTCCTTCTCCTGAATAAGTTCAATAATAACTCTTTCAATAATTCATGAAGGAAACAGAATAAGAAGTACCCTACACATTTAGCAAAGCATCAAGGGACTTGCCATCTCCAAGAGTTGACGTTCTTGTTCTTCTTTGCGCTGCTCAATTATAGACTTACGAGCAAGAAGTCTTCTGTGTTCTTTTTCAACAACCTCTGACAAATTAGGAAGCAATTGCCCTAACTTTTGAGCTTTCTTCGCAGGAGGATAGATCATGATTCTGGCATTGCTTAAAGATTCAGCAAATAGGGCCAAGTGATCCCGTAGGCCATCAGATTCTAATTTCTGAAATCCAAAGTAGAAAGAGATATGTCATCAGTTACAGATTAACTTATTATTGATACACAAATCCAGAGTCTAGACAAGTGGGCAGACACCAAAAAGAACACTCTATGAATAGGTTATACATCTTAAGAAGATCAGAACACTGAACATCAAAAACAGGTTCGCTGTCAAGGATTAACCCATATTATATTCATTCAGTTTTCATTCATTAATTTTATGAATCCTGCAGGTTACAAGAGAAATGACTCAATAACACCACTTTTAATAGCCCACAATTGCCGTGAATCTGAACAACTCTTTCCACCTGAATGACCAAGACAACTCAAAAGAAAGAAAAGCTTACTTGTTGACCGAAGAAAACAGCACCCTTCATGTGATCAACTTTCATGGCAATGAAATTGTGTTTGACAGCATCAACTGATATTTTCTCAACAACAGCAAAGTCAAAGAAAGATATCATCTTGGATAAGTTATCAACCTTCATCGTCTGATAAACTTGTGATACCTGGAAATACAGCAGATAGCAGAGCAGCAAAGATGGTCATTGCCAGATAATCATAGTTATGGAAGAATCTCACAGAAAAACTGGTACAAACCTGTTGCAGCAACCTCAAAGTGGCAAGCTTTTCAAGCGCTGGAACATATTGGGACAACTGGATTTCTGGAACAGAAGATGCTGAAGAAAGTTTGCCCCCAAGCTTTGAGATTTTAGCCAACAGTGGCTGTACTTTTGTTGCCACATCCAAAGGAATGAATTCGTGTTCTAGAAGATGGTAAAGATCTTTTACTTCCTGCGTGACACATGACATCACTCCTTTTGATACCTGCAGATGGAAAGTGCATTGCAACCATGAGAAACATCAGAATACAGTACAACATGCTCCTTGATTCTACTTTATAGTACACATATATATATGCAGGCCAGAAAAAAACAAAAGATAAGAGAGATTACCAGTTCAGCGAGGAGACCAGCGCGAGAGAGCTGGAAAACCATAAATTTCATCAGTTCCGAGAAAGTAAACTAACTGAACTAAAGAAAACAAGCCATGTAATTTAGTTACCACTTCTTTGCCTTCAGATCTGGGTTCTACATCAAATCCAATAAGACTGGCAATTTTTAGATTCCTTTCTTTCTCATGCTCAAGCTCCAAATGAGATACACCATGTGAATGATCATAAGGAGGAACTGAAAGTGCGGCTAATACAACAGATGATGCAATTAACTGCAAATCCTTCTGGCTCAAGTTCTTATTAAAACTTTTCTGAAGGGTAAAAAGCTTGAGCCATGCAGAAGCATGATAAAGGTGACTGGATGATATCCAAAATATTTCCGTTAGCTTAGCATAATAAACCACCATCAATGATGCTTTTGGAGTTTTCTTCACCATAAACATCAATCCATGAATATCTTCAATAGAACGAAAGGCTTCCTGATAAAGAAATTAATGCAGTATCTAAGAATTTCACCCACAAAAGTAACTTAAAGTTGAGCTCCGTTTATCCTATTAATAATGAAAAAAAAAGTCAACCAAAACAAGCCAAACCTGCCAAAGTTCTAGCTCCGTAGCAACTTTCAATTGTTCAAATCGGGTATCAAGATATAGCTGCAGGCTTTCTGGGGCAGACAGATCAGGCCGGTCCCTTTGATCTCTGTACTTGTTGAGATTTGCCAGATGGTTCCGGATTATTTCACACAATCTTCTAAACTCAGTGGTTCTTTTGTATTGTTTACAAAATTGAAAGGCGCGGTGAGCAGTCATCTACAGATATTCAGTGGGGGGATGTGAGGAACATTCTTGCATATCGAGCATAAAGCATACCAAGAAGTGACAGGTAAATTATGATATAAAAAAAAGAACAGATCCACAGAACAATAACACAATTGCACCCTGCAGGGATTCCTCATCCTTGTGCACAAGTCAGAACGTGTCTTTCCACATAAAACACATAAAAATCGGAACTTTGGAATTTAGCATATAACCATATTGAGTAAATCATGACCACAACAATGACATTGGATAATCACAATGTGAGGAAATAAGGATGCTGTCAAGAACGTGTAAAAATGCCATTTTCCCATCCTAAAAAACAAAATACACCGAGGAAACAAGGGAGGAAAAAGATGAGATTTAATAACTGTTTTCCTTCCCTTGCAACAAACCAATTGATGCTTGAAGTCAAAGCTTCAAATTTTCCTTCTAATTCACAAAATCCAGTACAGAGACAATGCAAGTTCTTGTTTACACCACAAAAATCCTTTTTCGGTGGTAAAATTGATACAGGAATAGATGCGCATGAAATGGCTGTGTCATAAAACAATGAAACCAGAAATGACATCAGGAAAATTCCACTGTACACCGATTACAAAGGTCTCATGGGACCAGTGAAACAGTATTTACAGGATGCAATAAAATTATAAAATGTCTTTACAGATCTTTAATAAGTGCATTAATTGATGAAATGCAGCTAAATCATGGTAAATTCTAATTCCTTCATTCAAAAATAAAAGAGAACAGAACAATACCGCATATAGTCCCTCCAGCTTTGAGTTGTTCCTTAAGATTTCCAACACCGTTCTGTAAGTCTCCCACAAAAACTTAAACCATGGAGTCACAAGCTCACGATCAGATCTGTCTTTTCCTTTCTCACCACTAACATAACTCAACATAAGATCTTCAGGCCTTTTATCAGCTTCCAAGTCTTCAACATCCAGAGCTTCTTCTAAAGCTTGCGCCTGAGTCCGGGCAAGTTCAGCTCTTTCAGTAGCCAAATGCATAAAATGCTTTATTACTTCTTCCAACGAATTAATGTTGACTTGCTGGCAGACAATACGGTACTGGATCAAACCATCCTTCGCAAACCTTCCTCTCCGCATGTCCACACATAGCTCCACATATTTGAACATTATTCTCTCGAGTGTCTTCTGCCATGCTCTATACCTCCTGGAGGTGATTAGGTCATGAAGTGCTTGAAGGGCTTCTTGCTTTTGACCAACAGTTATTAGCTCTGAGAGCGAAGAAAATGACACTCCGATCAGAATAAAGCTTAACATACACAAACAGAACACTCATAGGCTGTCATTTCACCAAAACCTTAAAAATGCATTAACTTAAATACTAGTAAGTGATGACTACAGTTAACACTATACATGAAATGAAATTCACATTGGGCACCTACAAAATTGTCACAAATAAACAAGACCAGCTCAAAAAACAAAACCTAATAAAAAGAATCCCCAAATTTATATGAAAGAGCTAATATCGGTAATTGACAACCAAAAAAAAAAAGAGTAGCCATGTAATAAGACCCGCAAAGCCTAGAGGTAAATATAATGAGAAAATGGCACAATTTTGCATCTGAGTTAAATTCAAAAGAAGTATCAAAGACACCATATGCATTTGCACAAACCTTCAGCACGCTTCAAGGCATTTTCAGGCTTAGCAAACGTCGACATTTTTCAGGAACCTTGCAGTAAGATTTGTCACCTGGGCATCAAATATAACAGAAAATGAATCAATGAGGAAATGCAGAAATGGAGTTTTATCACCAAAATTCTGCAATATGCCAGTAGATAATGTAAAAGAAATGTTTTCCAGATTTCTACATATACATAGGCACCAATCTGGGTGGCTTTAAAAGCTTAAATAAACAGCTGATTGGAAAGAAACCAATACAACACTAAAATAAGCCAAACAATGGTGTGCGAATCTGATAACTGGGATCATACAAACTAAAAGGAAAGCAGAAAACGATAAAGTGGACCTCAAAAACACATCTCTACCAGAGAGACAAGCTACCTTCAAACATGGACCAAATTACAAACAAAAAGACAGCATAGGAAGCATTCGCTGAAACCTCCAAAGTTACCAGGCAAAATTATTGAAAAATATATTAATCAGTGGCTGCATGAAAAAAAAAAACAGAACCTGTGAAAATGAAAAAACCGAGACAAATCAACCATCAAAACGGGGGTAATCAAACAAAACAGCAGGTTTATCTCCGTTTCGAATAGGAAAACCTCAAAATGAAAACAAAGGGGCCGATTGCGTTATCCCGGAAGAGGGCGGACGGCGAACGAACCTGGGGAAATGGTTTTGATTCCTACGGCGGCTGGTGGATTCGATCTGCCAGCGTTCACCTTGGATTTCGACTGCAGTGAGCGCCTCCGCCTGTTTGCCCTAGTTACTCTGGAGAAAGAAACGCTATATAGTAGCAGTAGATAAAACGATTTGCTATTATATAAACAAAAGATTCGGACCGCATGTGGACCGTCCGATGCCGGTTCAGCGGTTCGATGATGTTTTACCAACCAAATTATTACTCCGAATTTTACATTTTCCATTTACTCGAGGTAAATATACGGTTTTTTTACCCTGTTTCGTTAATCATGTCCAACGTGATTGATTCGCGTTAATAATGCAACCGAGACAACATAGGTTTTTACTATTTTACTTTTGATGTTGTGAAAATCCTAGCAATTTTTTCAAGTTATTTTATCAATTTGAATTTTCCATAACATCAAATCCAACTTGAACTGTAAGGACTTAAATGTGTCATTTGTTGAGTACATCAGAAACTTCATGCTATTGTTTACATAAGAGCGTCTCTCATCTTGAATTTCACAATGCCAATTGCAAAAATTTTCTTCTGGAAACCAAGGATCGTTGCCAATGTGTTTTCTGCTAATCTCAGCGCGATGCAAAATACTCCCTCCGTCCCAAAATTATTGTCCAGTTTGAGATTTCACTTTTAGTACAATTTAAACTAAAAATAAAAATCCAAACTGGACAATAATTATGGGAGGGAGGGAGTACATGCGTTTCAAACACTGCGAGCATCTTTAATTCAAGTACATTTCTTCACAGTTCACACTAATCAAAACGACTATGAAAAGATCCCTATTTCTATCCTTCATCTGGACATACTTCTACTTTTTGGATTGCGCCTATTTAGAATACCGGCAAGGCTGGCCATGGCGTCCTGAAATTTTCGAATTTTCAGAAAACCCATGATCATGGCCGCCTCATTTTCTGTGAAGTTTGCTTTCTTCATAATCTTCTCGACAAGCTTAACAAGAGTATCCTCCATTGCTAAGGACCAAAGGCCTTCAGCCAGCATGTAGAACGAGGAAGCTTCTGGAATGAAACCTTTTTCAGTCATCTCAATGGCAAAATCAACTGCTTCTCCAATCGGTCCTCCTCCCATGCAAAGACCCCTGAAGACAATCTTGTACGATATTGCATCTGGAGGATCGCCTTTCTCTTCCATTTCTCGAAACAGTCTCATTGCTTCTCCCGTTCTCTTCTTCTTGAACAGTGCCTGAACCAAAGGATTATAAGCCTGTGGACTTGGTACCATCCCTTTCATCTGGATACTCCTTAGGAGCTTGCTTGCAACCTCAATTCTGCCTGCTTTACACAGGCCCTGTATTAACGTCCCATAAGTGACAATATCTGGTTCACACCCATTTGAAGTCATACTTTGAACAATATCCGTTGCTTTCTTGATGTCTCCCAACCTGCAAAAATGTGAAAGAAGTGAATTGTAGGTGATCTTATCAGGTTTAACACCTTCTATAATCATTTGGTCCATCAGCTGGTATGCCTCCTCCACCCTGTTGCTCTTACAAAGTCCGTTGATCAGGGTATTGTAAGTAACCAAATTTCTTGAAATACCTTGAAGTTCCATCTCATCGAAAATGGTTTCTGCTTCTTCTATTCTCCTGTTTTTGCAGAAACCATCAATCAGTGTATTGTACGTTATCACACTTCTGGCACAACCGCTTGACTCCATCTCCTTGAGCATCCCAAGAGCTTCGTCCATTCTTCCTCTGTGACATAGGGAGTCAATCAACATATTGAAAGTGTACTCATCTGGTTGGCACCCTTCATTCTTCATCTCTTTAAACAACTCCACTGCACCTTGATAGTTGTTAGTCAAGCAGAGACCCTGTATAAGAGAATTGAATGTGGCCACATCAGGTAAAATCCCCTGGTTTTTGAGGGTTCGGGCAAGACTTGTAGCTTCTTGGACTTGGTTCTCTTTGCACAAGGTGTTGATGATAGTATTATAAGTGACTGTATTAGGGGAGAAATCCCTCGAAAGCATCAGATTAAGAACTTCCTTCGCCTCTTCAATTTCACCAACTTTACAAAGTCCAGAGATCAAACTGTTGTAAGTAAACAGATCCGGATCAAATCCTTCTTGAAGCATCAAATCTAATACCTCCATAGCATGCTTCACATGTCCGGCTTTACACAAACCATTGATCAACGTATTGAATGTAAATTTATCTGGATTGAACCCCTCACTAGACACTTCTTCAATAAACTTCAAAGCTTCTTCAATCTTCCCTTCTTTACAAAAGCCATGAATCAAGACATTTAACGTTACATTGGTACATCGGCATTGAGCAGCTACCATTTGATCCCGCAGTCTCAAAGCAGCCTGCAAATTGCCTTCTTCAATGTAGCTTTGCATGATTGTTGTGTAAGTTTTCTCGTCCGGTGCCAAACCATGGTTCGGCATCTCTTCCATCATCAAAATAGCAGGCCTGGTTTGATGCGCTTTGCAGAGGGCCTTTATCAGTACATTAAAAGTTGAAGTATCAGGTAAGACACCTCTGCTCAACATCCGGGAATGCACATCCTCAACTAGTTTCAACTTCATCCCATCGACGAGAACATTTAGCAAGATATTATAGCTAAATGTAGCTGGTTTCACATCAAACTCATTTTCCATCATATCAAGAACACCAATAGCCTCATTATACATGCCTAATTTCCCATAACTCTCAATAAAAATGAAGAATATACTTTCCTCGATTTCAACTTCTGAGCTCTGCATGCCTTCCAAGATTCTCTTCATTGTATCAAATGATCCTGCGGTTCCAAGCTTGTGAAGAATTTCCTCAAACACGGGCAAGGAGGGCGCGAAATTAGGCTGCTCCAAGGCCCATTCAAACAGTTGAAGCGCGGACGTTTCATCATTTTCGCGACCTAGGACGTCAAGGAGTTGCTTAGAGAATGTATCCGGAGACAGTCCCTGAAAGTCAGCTGGGGAAGAAACTGTGGACAAACCAGATGACATTGAGGCCGAGACATAGTTGTTGATTCTTGGAACTGTAACAGAAACGGATTTAAGGAGTTTTGGTGATGAAATATGGGGGAATGGTTGGTTTAGCTGATGGGTGTGGCACCCAAGATGGCAGTTTATCGGGTACGAGCAGAATGCCATTGGGGCAAATTCACAAACATGTCATGTACAAACCTTGCAGCAACAAAAGATAGTGATAATACTTCGCCAGACTTTTTGAACTTCACAGCGTTACTGTGCTTCGGAGTCCGGAAAGTAAAGGTAGAATCTATAACCGGGTTTGGGCCTCTCGCCCCTCTTAGCTGGGAAACTAGAGTAACAATTCTACAAATTTGTATGGTTTTCTACTTTTCTTTGGATATCAGTCAGAGGTGAAGATTTTCCTGGTAAATCAGAAGAATTGCTACTATTGGTAAACTCAGGTCACTGGGCTCGCAAAGAGAAGACCAATAGGATAGGATTCTGAGGGGATAACACACCAGAGATAGTAACCACACAAACTTCCAAAATTAGCATGGTGAAACTTTTGCTCCAAATTAACAACTATTGATTGATGGTTCGCATGTTTTTTATTTTTTTTTGGTTAACCATTTTTCATTTTTTTGTTGAACTAAACTAAAAACAAAGTGTGTATTTTTTAGGTGTTTTTTGTATTGGGAATGTAAAAAAATGTATTGAAAATGTAAAAATGTATGATGGGATAGGACCGTTAATAATAATTTAATTTAAAAATACCATCAAGAAAAGGAAACAAAAAAGCCAAAATTTTGAACCGGATATCTATTATACAGATGGATTACCTTCACAAAAATTACAGCAACCAGCTTGAACTTGGGACATGTTTAAAAAAATAAACTATGGCTTGAGGATGATGTTATTAGGGTATTTATCTCCATAATATTGTCCCTGTTTAGTTTTTGTTTGTTTTTCTTTAAAAAAAAAAAAAATTCTTCACGATCACGGCATCCTCTAACAAAATTGGCGGTAAAGGCTTGTTAGGAGATTCCTCCACCCATCTAAATTTGCAGAGGCTATAGCGATTTTTCTACTACAACTAAAAATACCCCCTTGCTACATCCTCTATTTTTACAGGGAAGCAGAAAAATATCGGATGCAAAAAATGTTGTGTTCCAAGTTCCCACAAGTCCATTAGATGTTATCAAATCAAAGCTAGTTAAATAAGGAGAAAAAGATACTGCGTACTCCATCATTTAAGTGGCACAAGCAAATAGTATTAGATCACCCCAAAGAGAAGCAAAAAATCAAGTTCACAGTCTGAAACCCAAAATCCTCTGAACTGAACAAGATAGGCCTGTAGTCAGAAGCTGAAGAGGTATTGTTTTGTATTCTAGTCACCTCACAACCATTAAATGGTACTCTGCCTTGTAGATGTTAGACTACAAGATGTGGCACTCGATTACAAGATCCTATCTCAGTAAATCAAATCATTTGCTGGTAACACAACTGCAATTCAATATAAGTAGAAGTAGAACACCGTATTGGCGGTATTACTTGGAAACAAAGACCATCATCAGCTTAGTTCCATACCATGAGCTATGAACATTTCATTCAAGAATTAAAAAGTACACAGAAGACTTGAGAGCTTTAGCAATCCATATTTAGTTGGCGCGGCTTTGTATCACATCAAGTCCCATTTCAGTGGGATCAGTGGCTTGCAGTTCGACCTGAATCCCATCTAGCTCCCTTTTGAATCTATCTTTTGAACTAGCGTAAATCATCTTGCTCCTCACCCTCGATGTGTCAGGAGACCTTAACAAACACGCTTTGGTCAATCAATCACAAACAACCCACAGTCGCATAAAAAGATTGCAAATGAGATACCTAGCGTAAGTAAAACAATGCTAAACTAACCAGGCAATGAAGAAAATCCTGCTTTTCTGGCAATTCTCTGCAGTAACAAAATCAAAATCATAGACAGCGTAGCGACATTCATCAGCAGGAAGACTTGCCGCGAAGTCCTCATACCCTTGGGTTGGTTCACCAACCTTCTCAACAACTACCTGTTTCTGTTTCTCCTCGATCTTGTACACAATAAAGCGGTATGTTCTTTTAGCTTTAAGCTCTAAGAACCTTAACTTACAATCATCATGAACAGCCATCCCAGAAGCTGCATTGGCCTGTCAAAATGGCAAGGTATAATGAGTAAACCTTTGGTATGCTGAATTGCACACCAATTTCTGCCCCCCACCCCCCAACCCCCGCCCCCCCTCCCCCGAGCAGGCAGCAATGCGACATAAGAAATTAAGAATGGCATAACCCCAATTACTCGCCAAATTAACGTAAACAGGGTAAAATCATAGCGGCCCAAAAACTTCAGACGCTCCCCAAGACAACAGAGCCATCAATGTGGGGATTTTGCAATTCTGTCATGTCAACATGGAAGATAAACAGAAAGATCCACCAATTCATGACAGAAGCAAACATACAGCGAGACATATCCGTGGCAAACAGTATCAGTATCATTAATGATTTCAGCAAGCAATCTATAACAAAAAGATCCACCAAATCATGACAGAAACAAACATACAATAAGGCAAATACATGGCAAACTGTATCATCAATGCTTTCTGTAAGCAGTCTCTTCACTTACTAGATCATACTACATCATTTTTTAAAGTCAACCATTCCATACAAGTATATGTACAATAGCAGTCGGAGAAATATGCTGTAGGCACAAACATATGACATGAATAACCCCAGGATATAAGCATGCTATTCAGATAGAATAATCAAATCACATTGCCTAGCTTAAGAATGATCAATCAAATACGCACATGAAGGTATACCCAGATCTAAATCTAACCCTGCAGTATTTACCCGATCAAAATATCGATTCCGGATTTTCAAATTATACTAGTGATAGTTAGAATGGTAGCCTGTGTATCCCGATGAGTACAGTGAAATTGAAGTCCGCGAAATGTACAGACAAGACATCAATGATCCGGAAAACAAATAGCTTGGTAAATCAAAGCCAAAACAAGGTTAAGAATGTCAGATCAACCACCAATTAAGTAAAACCTCAAGTTATAAAAAACATCAAACGACGTTCAATCTCGTAGAACAACTGAAAAGGTGCGGAAAGTACAAGTAAAAATGAAGAAGTAATCCGTTAAAACTCACCATTTTGCTTCGTCGGAAAGAAGAGGAAAACGATCAGCCAGAGAGATTCGAAGAAGATAGGCAAAAAAATGTTGCGCCGGTGAAATTTGTGTGTTCCTCTTCCTTTGGCTGGTATAAGTAGTACTCGTATTTATCTTTGCTTTGTATCGAAATTTGGACCAAACAGTTTTTTCTTCGTGAGTGCGTGGGGAATTTCTGCAGTGGCGGGACGCCGCGTAACTTTCACGTGTATACGTATCCGTATGAACCTTTCTTGTACAGCTTAGAACAAGCGGCTTTTAGCTTAACTGAAGCCGAGCCATTTTGCGAAGTCTATTGCCGTTGACGGCGTCGTTGAAGCGGGGTTTAAGCTGGTAAGGGTTTTCGGCTTCACTGGATTTCGAATTCAACAAATCGTATGGCCCGTCGGTTTGGGTATTTTGGAGTAAAATTTCATTGGGAAGAAGAGAATGCCAAATAGATTCCGGTTCAATCGGGAATTGTTTGGGCCCACCAGGGTTACATCTCTCTCCATCAGCTGCGTCAATCCAACGCTACCAGTATCTAACCTTTATCTATTTTTAGATATTTTTTTTATTAAGAATATAAAAAGGTATATTGAAAATATTAAAAGAGAATACTGAAATAGGATGATTAATAATAATTTAATTTGAAAATACTTAAAAATTAAAAAAGAATACTAAAATAGGATAATCAATAATAATTTAATTTGAAAATACCATCAAGAAAAGGAAACAAACAAAGCCCTAACATAAATTATCAATGAGAAAATCTTTCAATTGTATGTAGCTCGCATTAAAGCCTTATTATACAGTATAATAATTTTAAAAAATAAAATAAATTGTCAGGAGATTTCAATTGTCTGAAAGAGATTCAGGTTATTCTGTGCGAATCAAAATTAATTTAAATGTGATATATATTTAACCCAAAACACTATGATTAAAAAGTTTATGAACATTCATACTATTCATTTCGCCCTTTCAAAACTCCCCTCGTTCTCCTCACGAATTTTTTTTTTCAAAATTTTGGCCGCTTGTTTCATCATCGTACGAATGTGCACTAAGAATTTAAAAGTAATACACAAACTTATTTAAACCAATCAAGGTGTGGAACAGGGGGGAAGATTTGCTCTCCGTAAACTATTTATCTAGCCCAAATTTGATTTAATCAAACAGTGAATGGCCCATTTTTTAACGCACCAAAAATGTGAAATTTCATGGTAAGTCCATTTCAGTCCTTCGTTAACTTCAACTCTTCAGTCTAACGTGGAGTGAGAGTTAATCGTTTCTCCCATTGCTTATATAGGTACTCTAGAGGACTTGTTCACGCAAACTTGTACATGTATTTTTTATTTTGCCTTGCCTAAAAATTTGGAGGTTATTGTAGTAGTTGTCGAGTAGAATTTTCGGCGTTACAAAAGCCCAAATCAATAGCATGAAATAATGAATTTTAATCTTTGTTGATTTCTTCGTCAATTTTCTTAAAGGTACCAAAAAATCGTCATGGATAAATTCTACTATAATTTTCATATATTGATTTTGATATAACTTTGATAAATTAATGAATATTTAAAAGTCAAAACTACCACAGGAATTGTAAAATTGAATGGTCATTATTTTTTCACTAATTTTTGGATTACATCCAATTTTTTTTTCAGGTCACAAAAGTCGACTACCAAGCGGCAAGCAGGAAGTGAAATGCATGGCATAGCTCGGTCGGTGTGAACCTTTTTGTTCATGGAAAGTTGATGTGATTATTTATCATAGTCTCATCAGGAAAATTGTTCAAAATAGTTTACAATTCTGCATTCGTCGACATTCCCGTCGACTTTTCTAACCCAACGAATAAGTAAAACAATTCAGAAGAAAAAAATATATATATATATATATATATATATATATATATATATATACTGTGACTTTTTACATTCATAATACCAACGGATAAAGGAATATTTTAAAGTAACAATACACATTATAAATTTAATGATTAAGTTGTTCAATAAGTTTTTGAATCATATTCTGATTTACGATGACCAGTTAAAAATGAGATGCTTGTATCAAATTAAATGCTCGCTGGCTCTCACAACTTAATTTTTGTGCGGACCAATACTCCCTCCGGTCCTTAATATAAGGCATTTTGATTTCGTATTAGGTGAAACCTAGCACGCATTTTTAATTGACTAAAAAATTTTACAAATAGATCTTCATATTTGTTATGTTCTCTTGATCATTAGAAAATATTTTTAAGTTTTTTTTAATTAAAAATACGTATTAAGTGAAACTTAGTACGAAATCAAAATACCTTATATCAAGAACCGGAGGAAATATGTGATTATAAATTTATTTTTGTTATCATAAGTAAAATTCAATACTCAATTTACAAATATATAATATCTGGACGTTTGACATAGTGCGGAATAGTGAAATCCTCCTAAGACAATGTAAAAATCATTTCGATTACTGCCATATCTTTCGTTTCCAAATTGCAGTATACGCAATGCATAATAATTTCATCTAAATAGTAAACTTAATAATGTAGTTTGATTGATCTTCTCTGTAGGCACACTTACATAATTATCTCATGAATAAATCTATACTCACTTCGTCTCATAAAAATTTAATTAATATTATGTGAAAGATAGTGGAGGTGTTGTTTTTAAACAACAGTGATAGAGACAGTGAAAACTCATAGGCTCCGTTTCGTTGGATTGAATTCTAATTGAATTCAAATTACAACAACATTGAATTGAAAATGAGATATTGACATTGTATTTCAATCCTAATTTTTTTGTTTGGGAGATCTTAAAAATTGACTAGAATTAAGGTTATAATATCAATTATTGCGTTTGGATGCATGAAGATTTAGATACAATAGAATCGGGATTAGTTTGTTATATTAAACTAATACAATTTAATTCATTTCAAAAATAGAAAAATAATTTAATTTTATTATGCCAAAGTAATTAATACAGTATTATGCATATATAAAACAAAAAAAAATCATAATGAACATGTATATTAGAATTACTTTTTTTTTGTTTAACTAATTAAATCTTTACTTTTTATAAAAAATAAATTTTTGTTTAATTTTTTATATCAATGTTATGATTTATCAAGTAGATACATAATTATGGAAAACCATTTTTTATTACAAAAGAATTATTAATATAATAATTAAAGTATCCACTCAATACATAAACAAGTAACAAATACAACATCCATATTTCTCTCCATTTTATAAATTTTTCACGTACAATTTTTTATTTTCAATTTTTAATTTTTTCTTATTTTTTATTAAAAATATATATATATATATAAAGTTCAGTTTACGCATATTAATGCTCATTTATTTATAGGATTATAGTTTGAAATTAATTTGTATTTGCTAATAATTTTTTAGTATATAATATCAAATCTTATATTCAATGTATAAGTGTATTTATTATTAGTTTGTACTTGGTATAATAAACTTTACCTTACTAAATTGATCAATTAAAATAATTAATTATACCTTTACCTATATCTTTTGTATGGATATATTTTGAAAATATTGACAAAACATAATTTTTCCAAATATAAGGGTCTAGTCATTTTTTGTAAGTTTTATGTTCTATTTTGATGATAAAAAAATAAAGTACTTTCTAAGCAAAAGAAGAAAAAAAAAAACATAGGTATTGAATGATAAGCTAGTGGTTAAATTGCTGTCTTTCATGGTGATAGACTAGGGTTCGATTCCCAGGGGTTGTAAGGAAGTTTTTACCCACATTTAAGTGGGGTCATTTGGGGTGGATTTTTTTATTAAAAAAAAACAAGGAAAAAAAAACATGAAAGATTTGAAAGTAACCAAATAAAAATATGGGAAAAGATTTTAAAAATAAAATTAATTTAAAAAAAAATTGAAGAGGAGTGTTGCGCGTGGGGACTTGGGAATGTCCCGAAATGGGTTTCCTTTTGTGGAGCATGGTAACACGTGCGCGAATTATCACTACAATCTCCAACGACCCTTTTTTAATAACCCGTTTTTGACCCTTATATTGACCCGTGAGATTTTATTAAAGTTTAAGAATCTGAATTGCAATTATTACCTCCCACAAAAGAATTGAAAACAAAAAATTGAACCCTAAATATAATTATAATTTCAATTCCAGTACATCTATTTTTATCGGCCAAACAGAGGAATTGGAATTGGATTGTCTCCAATTCTTGACAACTAAACAGAGCCATAGTGAAAACTAATAGTGATTGATCCGTACAAACTAATCATTATATATATTAAATGAACACATGATAATCGACACTTGTCGCTCATTCATGTCATCAACATTAATCAGTAAAAAATATGTTGTTAAACTGTTAATCAAAGAAAATTACCTTTTTATATTTATTTGAATTACTTTTAATTAATTTATTCCATCAGAATTTCCGTTAAGATAATCTAATCAAACTCACTTGGGAATTCAAATACAACCGCAATAGCCTCTTTGTTGTTGACGTTGGAGCCATTAATCATCTTTGTTTCATCATCATTATCGTTCCAGTAGTTGTTGCTATTGCGATTGTTGCTGACATCCCGTTTCAATCTGTTTTCAAGTCAGATAACCCATTATTTTGCTTCTTCAAATCCATTTGGACCTCTCGCATTCGACTCTGGATCCTCTTCATCAAATTTTGGCCTTGCGAATGTCTGTATTGTCTTTATCGCTGCTGCCTCTAATCCGATCAGGTCACTTGTCATCGAAGCCGGAACTTCGCTAAAGAACCGCCGCCGCCTTCTCTTTTCATTTTCATGGTTAATTCTTTTATTTTCTACTTTTCACTTTGGATTCTTTAATTTTTCATTTCTTTTTGTTGATTTATCTTTATTATACTTTTGATATGGTTGTTGCTTGGTTTAGTCCAGTTTATTATTTAGCAAAAAATTAAAAAATGTGAGAAAGTAATCAAGTAGTGAATATTTTTATAAGTTACTTCTGGAATTTTTATTTTGGGATAATCAGCTTTTGAAAATTTATTTGTCGTGCTTTAAGTATTAAAAAGAGTAAATTAAATACTGCGAAAATCTGGAGACAACAAAAAAATTCTTTGTTTGGAACAATTTTCTATCTTGCCGTTGTGTTTTTTGAAGCTACATTTCGGTTTTAGATGTTGAGTTGCAACACTATTTAAAGTGAACTTCTTCTCCATTTTCTGCTTCTCAATGTCTGCCGAAGTTTCAGCAATGAACCTTTAAGCAAAACTTAATAGAAACAGAGACACAATAAGAAGGGATATTTTGCTTTAATCTAAGATAATAAGGAGGAATTAGAGAATGTATCGGGAAAGAACAAGAAAAAGGATTCATGCAATCCGGCGTGGTCTTGATATGGAAGTGCCTTCCAACAGTGTGAAAAGTGTGGCTTTTCTGTGG